AATACCACCAGCGTTCCAGCCACAGAATTACCAGTGAACACAAGCCTCCGACAAAAGCAGAAGTGAAGTCCTGAACGCCACACCATAAAGTTGCTGGAAGTCGGGAAAGCAGCAGGATCAGACGGAATTCCCCAGAAGCACTGAAAACAGAGGCGGAGACATCGGCGGACATGCTCACATCATTACTGCAGAAGGTTTGGAAGGAAGGAAGAAAATGTACCTGCAGTTGATTGGAAGAAGGGCTACCTAGCCAAACTCCCAAAGAACCTAAGTGACCAAAGTTTTGCAAGAACTGGCACGGAATCATGCTACTATCCACCCAAAGCAAGCATAATCTTAAGACACATCATTCTGGAGAGACTGAGAAATGCTCTAGATTCAACTGGATTCTGACCGTAACAGGCTGCATGGCTGGCTGGCTGGCTGGCTCCGGGAAGAACATATCATGTGTGGATCAAACTGCAACATTACGCTACGCATCATCATAGAAGAGAGCATAGAATGGCATTCAACTTCTTACCTGATATTCATCGATTTTGAAAAGGCCTTCGATAGAGTCAACCGACAAGTAATTTGGCAGCTGCTGCTTCAACACTACGGAGTGAGTGGCACAAACTTTTATCAACCTCATTCCACAGTTAGATGCTATGTGATGCTACATGCCAATTCATTCACAATGGAAAGCTCAGTGACGCATTTGGAGTGAAGACAGGATTAAGACAAGGCTGCCCACCATCATCGACGATCTTGCTGATTGTGGTCGACTGGACTGGATCATACAAGAAACGGTGAGGAGAGAGAAGATGGGCATACGCTGGCAGGACTAATGCAAAGACCCTAGAAGATTTGGATTTCGCCAACGATGATGATTTGTGTCTAATATCTCGTCGCACAAACCCGTAGATCTGCAGGCGAAAATCAAGAAGTTGACAGAAGAGGCGAGGCAGCGAAGATGTGACTTCCTTGAGGTGTATGTGGATGAGACGGGTGTGATGAGGATACCCAATTAACAACAGCATCAACAACAAGCACCAATCACCATCAACGGGAGATACGTAGGTGTAGTTTCCTCTTTCACCCACCTAGGCAGTATCGTTTCAACCACAGATGACACAGGCACAGATGGGGATATCAAATCCAGGATTGGAAAGACAGCAAGACAGGCTTTCGTTAATCTGAAATCAGTGTGGAGATCTACTGCACTGCACTCGGCGCAAAGCGTGCACCAGATCCGAATTTTCAACACTAACGTCGGTCAAGTCAGTGCTTCTGTGTGATGGCTGAGGGAGTTGGCGTGTTACGAAGGGCATTTCAACAAACTACAGATGTACGTCATCAACAGCTGCCACCTACACTCACTTGATACTGAAGATCGTATGGCCAGAAAGATATGCAACAAGGAGCAGTAGCTGGCAACGAACGAACCAACCAAGAACCCATTGCTCAACAAATATACAGAAGAAAGTGTGGATGAATTGGATTGAGCATACACTGAGGAGACCATTCAGTGATATCACGCACCAGGCCCTCGAGTGTAACTCGAAAGGGAAAGGACGAGTTGGGATTCCGAGTCGAGGGTGACGTGGAGATGGTGTGAGGAAGAAATGAAAGTATGTATGTAGTGGTGGAGCCAGGTTGAAAAGACTTCAGAGAAGAGAGTGAAGTAACGACATGCTGCTGAAGCCCTATGTTCCAGTAGGAACCCAAAAGACAAATAAGTGCATTATTATTATTATTATTCTTGGGGCACCGGCAGGGTTCACTTTGCTAGGCCTGGGCTTGATACATGCGTCTATGAAACGTGGTGGGAATCCTTTTTTGATGAGTATATTGCTTGAAACAGAAACTTCCTATAACAACACAATATACCGGGACTTCAGATGCGTGTAATGTGAGTGACAAGAGTTATGATCAGATTCCGTTAGCGACTCGTAGGCACCCATCTCTGAGTAATCAGAACCTCTGAATTAGTTGTTACCTAATCATGTTTAACATTATTTATGATATCAGTTACAATTTTACTAAACCAATATCGGAAGTTGGTGGAGTTATGTTGAAACTAGGTGTCTTTTATGGCACGCACACTCATTTATTAGCACACCAAACCAAATGGTCCTCGGTCCGTTCATATATAAGTTATGATTTTACTACGCTTTTAGAAGCAACTTTCAGGAGGATGTTGACTTTGATCTCCCACTTATGAACATTATTCTGCAGTGCTTCTCTGCTAGTTGGAGGCAAATGACATCGCCTTTAAGAACTGAGCTTGCTCGACCAGTTATTTCAGTCGGAGGAAACCGTATGACTAAGCTATTTGAGACACAAGTGGCCAGCAGGAATGTGTGGTGTACGTTAAATGACCACCAGGGAGGAACAGATTTCATGAAGTAAAGTTTTAATTGCTGGTCGGATTCTATCGACCAGATCTACTGTAAATTAAATTGAAGAGAAAATGAGTACCTCTAAATGCAGTGTTCATGATATCCAAATATTCATGAGCCCCTTAAAATACACTCCATTTAGAGGAAAGGAAATCGCATTGAAGTTAATTGTCTCAGTAAGAAACTCCATTGTTGCTGACGATGAAGAATGTTTCAATTAGTTTTATCTGAGTAAATACGCTTGCGCATTGTTCAGACAACAGCAAATTCGATTAGTTTCGTATGAAAACTTCAACTTTATAATGATATCTGCATGTCACAGCAGAGTGGAGGCAGAAATTTAGCTGATATACAGTGAACTTAAGATGGTAAATGAACTGTACATTCTATCTATGTGAATACGCTATTTGAATAGTGAAAAACAAGATCCTCTTTTAGGTTAGTTAATCGAGCCTTTTATATGCAGCGTCGTATCCCTCTTGAAATCAAGCTATTTCATTAATTGAGCTATTTAGATACAAGTTGCCTGCCACAGCATAACCGTATTCATGTTCATCAATGAATCGCAATGATCAAGTAATATTACACATCTAGTCTCGAATGTAGAAATGAAATTCTTAAGTAGACAATGAACACATGGCTAACTGAGTGGAGTCGCCAGTTTCGATAATCAGAGAAATTTAACACAATATTTAATCTGTGAGAACCAAGAGTAAGTGTATTGAGAGATGTTAATCAGCCTGAAAAATGTAAGCTCAGTTCATGTGCGAATTTACATGCACAAATGGCAAACTGCATTGCAGCTTAGCGTTCCCCCTCAGTTAAAATAGCTCTATCGATTTTTGTTTGCATTGATAATTCGCTCGTGTCACGGTATATAGACCAGATTTTAAACTGATTGAATATGAAATCCACGTAACTGTCAGACATTTGTCTTCCTTCTTCTGACCTACAAAGTGAATCTACTAGTTTCAAAAATCTATTTCCCTTTTTGTTGGTAAGTACAAGCTCCACAAAAGATCACTCACTTGCAAGCATGGCAAGTAAAAGATACCAGCATAGTATAGATTTACCGATAGGCTAAGTGTAAGCGGCGGCAATCGGAGGGGAATAATTGAATCCGGTCAATGCTAACCAAGCACCATTTGGTTTTCTTCGGTAGAAATTAGATTGTCCATATCGCACAAATGAACTATTTACTGAACTAAAAATGGTCACCTAACAATGAAATACTGTGTAAATCCCTTTAATTGGATGAAATTTCAGATGAGTGTTGTGCAACACTTTCACGTAATTAGTAACAGTGCTGTTCACAATTCAAGGAAATCGCAAAACCTGTTCAGCGACTGAGTAATAGTTCAAATTTACCAATTTCATAAGGTTAAAAGAGTCAACAGATGAATAAGAGAAAAGTAGTGTTTATTCAGTTCGCTGGAGTCTCTCAGCTCATCTAACCTTCTGATAAAATAAATTTATCTGCCATGAAAGTACCAAAGGCGACAAATGAGATACTCGACTAGTTTCATAGTTGATTAAAAACACCACACTTGATAAAATTGTGATCAACACCGCCGGACACTTGGTTGTAAAATGATCTTCGACTCAGTGGATTAGTTATCTATGATTTGAGGTGAATTACTTTGGTTACAATTTATCTATTAATCCATCAACTTTGTAACTACATATACTTGATTGATAGTGAGGCATCCATATTCCAACTTTTACAATAAGACTTATACTTGAACTATTTGAAAGTAAACCGAAATGGTTTGTTGTGGTTCTAATATCTACATAAACTGTTTTGAAAGTCATAATCAAACTATGTAAATTCACCAGGTTGGAAGTTTTCAGAAATTAAAAAATACTGATTGCTTCCAAATAATTGTCTGTATTCTACGCAGTGAACGCCTAATTTGCATCATGGATCACTGAGACCATACGAATACATAAGGAATCATATATTGGTTATTTGTTGATTTTGTGATATAAACGGAATCTACTTCAATACCTCGAGAAAGAATACATCCAACCATATGAAGTTGTTTAAAAATGTAAACCACCTAAAAAAACTGGCTAAGTTAATCTATCAGACTAGTGTTTATAAGAAATGAATTTATTCCCATCGATATTCAAAAAGCCTAGATAAATTAAAGATACGAGACTATGTGAGCCAGTAATTATGTACTAGTAAAACGGAGAATAGGAAGAGAAGAGAAACATACGTGTAGTGATATTAATGTTAAACACTACAGATAACACCAACGAGTAGAAGTGAATTAAGCTTTTATACCTTGAAAGAAAGAGAGGTGTATTAACCAACAAAAGTGGCCAAAACATAAAACGTTTAAAAGGAGACAGCATACTTTCTCTAGATTAATTACAAAAGGACAACAATAGAATAGAAAGCAATCAAGAAGTAATAACGGTATGAAAGGAAACGTTTGAAAGGATGTCACAAGGAAAGAAAGCACGGTAAGTCAAGATTCGCAATGCACAGGGTGTAAATGTGTACAACCATCACAAGAAAAGAGACAAAATATTCTCTTACTCTCAAGTATTGCATAATAACAGTGATAGTGATAATAATAATACTAATGAATTCTCTCCAATCCCATTCCCTTAAATTTCCTGATGACACTTCGCTGATACTGAAAGTTTGCTTATCTTATGAAGTGAGCCTGATGTATGACTTTTACGTAACAATGGAATAGGCTGTTGATAAGGCTGTTCCCTTTCAACATCGTGTGATGTACTACTTCTCAGCAGAGTAGAAGTTTGATGACTTGCAGGGAAAGATGTGCAAGAAATAGAAGAATACTTAAAAGTTAGCCAACGCATCAATTGTTTTGCAGATAACGCTTTCATTGTGCGCACTGAAGGGAATCGTCTTATCCCAATTTGTGAAGAATCTAAATTTTCAACGAAGTCTTTGACATCATTATTCTGATCTGAGCTATGTCTACGTATACAAGAAATTTGTTGTGTTGTCTTTGATTTAAAGATTTGTGTCAAAGTTGACTTTTTTGAAGTTGTTGGAGTGCCCTGGAAGTTGATAATTACCATAGGACTTCCAAGTTCTTCAGATGGTCGAGATAAAGTGATTAAGGTCGGACGTGATTCCAGTCTTGTATTTTGGTTGATATTTTGAATTGAACTGATCCATTTCAGCATGATTTCCGCACTTGGAGCCTAAATTATAGTATAAGAACAACAAGCATTTCTGATTATGTGAACCATATTTATATTCGATAAGAGTTTGGTTAAGAATTTGAGTATTTCGCAAGATTGCTTAAGTATGAAGCTCATATTCTGAGGCCACAAATTCATATCTATTGACCTCATTGTTTAATTCAGACACACAAATGTGTCTGATTTTGTTTGTTCTCCAGTTAAAGAGTAGTAAACTGTAAAACTTAGTACCAGGACCGTCAAACAATTTAAACACACTACATAGCTTGATGAAGCTTTCTGAATGAACAGACCATTTTTAAATGTAGTGAAATATAGTCAAAATCATAAGAAAACAAATATTGTAATAGGTACAGGCCAACTGAAATCTTTTCCTTGCTTTAATTACAATGCAATTCTACGAATAATTGATGAACTACTTATTCATCTACTTAAACAACGATCTCACTCTGTAAGCAGATGAATAATTTAGGCAGAATTATTAATTAGAATTTACAGAAGTGAACTCATTGGTTCCAATTATGTTATCATCAGGTGACTTGATGTCATTCCTTGTATTACGGTGCATTTTAATGATAACATTGGTAGCTAGCTTACAAACTACGGTTCGGTACATTTTCATTTATACATTGATAAATTCATATGACCGCTCAAATTATGTGGGATACCATTTTTTAATATTCCTAACCTTAAACTGTCTGTATTTGAGGTCTAGATTGAGGCTAGTCATAAATGATTTCAATAACTATGTTTTCATAACAGATTTCAGTTTCTCAAAAAAATATGTCATGTGACCCGAGCTTTAATGCTAAGTACTCATTAAATGGCTACAAGTTATTGACTAGGCTGAGATGAACTGATACAGTATGCAGTCATCATTAATCCTCTATGTCAGTAGATGGTAGAAAGATGAGGGATTTTTTAGGGAAATTCATTATCGCAACACAACAGGACGGAAAATGTTTTCTTAGCAGAGTGTAGGGAAATATTCATCAATGGGCTTACAATTGTACACCATCTTACTTTTACACCTGCACAATCAAAATCGAATGTCGAAAATTAAAGCGAAATTCATATTCTACTTAACGCAATGGTTTGTATCCGTGAATGGAAATTTAAGGGAAATTTGATGAACTTGCGAACTCTTATTTAAAACGTAAGAGTGAGGCGTGAAATATGTGGTAGTAGATGAAGACATAATAGATTGGCCTATTCATGCACACAACTGGTAGGTTTGTGTGACTTACAGTTGATGATTAGATCAGAAAAATTATTAACCTTACGAAGACACGCAGTGGTTCTGAAGTTAAGATCAAATTAATGAATCAGGATCATTTAGCTTGTCTGAGCACGTAAATTCAGCTAGATCAACATCGGTAGACCCAAATGAGATAGGGAGTCTAGATAAATGCTTGTCCGTGACTAGCCCTTCGTGCAATTGCAAACAACAACTCAAAAGGATGGGACAGAGTGAATGTCGTTTAGAATTAACTTAGTGAGGTGAAGAGAGAGATTGAGTACTGAATCTTTGTTTATTGAATCAGCACTAAATAGATACAACGGGAATGACTCATTACATGTCCCAGATGCATGTAAAATTCTGATACTCATCTCATGAAGGAGGAGAGGGAATTACGATAGAGCTATATAAACCATATCTCTAGTTGCTCAGTTTCCTTGATATAAATGTGAACATTAAATTTGATCTGAAAAATTATATAGTGAACAATGCTACTTCAATCCGTGATACATCTAATAAATCACCTAATATTAAACCGAAATAATTTTAATGGATGTAACAGCATATGCGTATTTACTGTGCATCAACCTCGTAAAAGTAAGTTTCCAGTAATTTTTATGTAACTTCGATCTTTCTGTTTGGTTTCCCATAATCTATCCTCCACTTGAAGCTGAATATTTTGGAAAAGAAATATTTAATCCATTGTATAGAATGTATTTTCGCTTGTGTGATCCCGGCGTAGTATATTAGAACAAATAACAAAATAAACAAATATTTTGTATTATTCCACAACGTTTCGATCTTGCTAGGAAGATCCTTTTCAAGAGTATGAATCTGACACTAAGTTTTCAGGTTAATATTCAAGTTTTGGTACGGAAAGTGGTGACCTTTACAATCATCCAATTACATAGTGATATGGAGCAAGGATCAATGTAATACAGGTGAGTGAATAAGCAACTGGGTCAGAGAGGTTTTCCGTTGTGCGAGTAAGGTGGAACAAAAAAATAGGATGGGGAATGTAGATTGTCTAGTCCTATTACATACACCTTATTGATCTACTATTTTCATCAATTTTACACTACTCTCTAAGCCATATACATTCGTTGAACCATAACGTAGCCATTTTGTTATCACTCATACTTCAAGTGTTATTAAAAGTACATTTACGGTTATCGTTATTATTATGTATTTAAGATATATTGTCTCATCTTCAAATATTCATCCTTCCAAACTAGTAATCTATTCTTTATCACCCTTGATATCTCACAACCCCATTGTACTTTTCATAGACGAACTAAAAAATTTCCCCACCCTATTTTTTTGTTCCACCTTACTCGCACAACGGAAAACCTCTCTGACCCAGTTGCTTATTCACTCACCTGTATTACATTGATCCTTGCTCCATATCACTATGTAACTGGATGATTGTAAAGGTCACCACTTTGTATACCAAAACTTGAATATTAACCTGAAAACTTAGTGTCAGATTCATACTCTTGAAAAGGATCTTCCTAGCAAGATCGAAACGTTGTGGAATAATACGAAATATTTGTTTATTTTGTTATTTGTTCTAATATACTACGCCGGGATCACACAAGCGAAAATACATCCTATACAATGAATCATACTAACTCGGTGCCCAGGTTTTTTAAACCACCCAGTTCATTGTTGGCCAGGATACCTTCAAACTTATTTCTAATCGCATTAAGTTTTCAAAGAAATGTTTAATTGTTGATACATGTCTCCTTCTTATTCAAAAATGAGCAGTACTCCTGAATGGATTTATGTAGCTGAAACAAAACTTCCGGTTAATCCAGTTGTCTGTTAAGGGTCGCGTGTACTGCACAGCAGTCCGGTCTGTTCTGTTGTATGGCTGTGGGACATGGCCACTAAAGTGGAAGATATGAGAAGGTTTCAGGTGTTTGACCAACGTTGCCTTCGTAGTATAAGCCGTATTCCATGGTGTCACCAAGTGAGTAATGCAGAAGTCAGGTGTAAGTGTAGAGTTTTAGAGAGTAGAGGTAAGTCGATTGAGATGGTTGGGGCACGTATTACGCATGCCTAGTCACCGATTGCCTCATCACACAATGTTGGCCGAAGTAGGCCCAGGCTGGAAAAAGGCCCGAGGTGGCCAGACTAAAACATGGCATCAGTGTATGAAGTCTCTGATTGTTGGTTTGAGCTATGTGGGGCGATGCATACTAGATGGTTGGGTTGCGCGGGGCAAGAGGAACCAGTGGTTAGAGACTCTAGGTGATCACATGGCTGAGAACCGATGTCAGTGGCGCAGATGTATGCATACATTATCCTCATCTTAACGACGCTATACCGAATCTCACAACTTTCTCATTCTTCGTTTCTCTCTTTTCGTACTTTATATTCCTTTTGATTGAATTTCCTTATCTTCATCTTGCACTTCACTGCCTTTTTACTTGATGTACTGATATGAGCTGTGGCAACTCGGACCGTTACGCAGTAATGCCTGGTCCTACGTTGATCTGGATGGATGGATGGATTGACTTAAATCAGCCCATTCCCACGGTCTACAGATCGGAAGATATTGAAATTTAAGTAGTAATCACACTCAATGTTCTGGTCAAGTATTCTGTGAGCAATACACTTGTACGTGTAAGCAGAAGATATCACGATTCGTCTCCCAACGTGTTTTTACTTCTTGGACTGGAGAAAGACATGAGCAGTTCACTGAAAACAGTTGATCGTGAATAAAAAAAGGAACATTTATGATATCATAAATGTCTTCCATATATTAAGCATTTGTTTCCTTCTGGTGGACTTTGAAAATCTTACCAAGCATTTTGTCTCACTCAGCTTCTACAGTAGGTTTTCTATCTTTATTCCAGCTAACAAGCCGGTTTGTAATGTAAACAAGTAACGAGATCAGCTTCAAGAAAAACTGCCTGTGAATGAAAGGGGGAACTGATCTACAGTAACCAATTTCCTAATACACCTAACTATTCTTAAGTTATGCTTTACATTCTTCCAGTTCTGTAATGATCACCGATCCATTGACTTTACGATATCTTTCACACTACAATAAACCCTGGATTGTTTTGAATTTTCGAATATTGCATAAGGTAATTTGGTCACACCTTGGACTTTTACATCAAGCATATACATAGGAAGTAAGATAGGTCAGCTATTTTATAGCCTTTAGAGGAGAAATGTGATTCAAATATCATTGATTAACAACATCGAATTCTAAATAAACACTACTGTAGTTTCTTCGTCAGAAAAACAAGTATTTGGTGGCTGAAGATACCAAATCTTTGAGAAATTCTGTGGTATTACTTTTATTAGGCTCTATGAAATTATTAAAATGATACAGAAGCCAATACCATTTTTTCTGATCCAACTTCACTCTTACTGCATATGCTGCAAAGCCGCTGCAGCTACGTGGATATATAAAATTTTGAAGGGAATTTTGATTGTGAATTCAGAACACTTTGACCATTTTTCCCCATCATATCGTGAACGGAGCTGATAGACATTTATTCTCAAACAATATCTGAGTTCGTACAACAAAGGAAACTCAAGGATTTCGTTTCTCAGTTAAAATCTTGATGTGAAAATGAATTGTTTCGTGGAAAAGTTACTCAAGGACAACATCTGCAGCAGTCATAACCTCCTGAGGCGCTGAAACCTAGCTGTGTCTAACTGTCCAACTGTAATCAATAGGCTGCTCATGAAATGAAACACTGTTGAGTGTTTACTGCAGAAGCTTGATGGATTTTTTCATTTATACTTAACACCGGGTGTTTTTGTTGAGGAGCATCAACTTCTTTACCGTTGAAGGAGAGATGTTGGTCGATGAAAAGCACGGCATCAATTTGATTCGGTGCGCGTTGACTTCAACTCTCTAGATCACCCTCCTATTTATCTACTCAGCCTTTGGCACAAGTGCCATGCAAGGATTAACTCCCGTGTAGCAGGTGATTTGAAATCACACAATGCACAGATTGCCACACACGTTTCCTACCTTCATGGCTTCCTTGGCAATACAAACCATAATAAAATGTATAACAGCCTGAACAGAGAACTTCATTAGTTGACATAATACTGCAGCCACGATGCATAAGACAGACGGACACTCTTCTTATGGAACCTAGGAGATTAATTCTGCATGCCCCACAATCGTAATCTGATGAAACTTCATCAGGAAATGCAAAGACGAAAAAGTAATTCTGCGTCAGTGAATGATTGAGTAAAACAACATATATTGCTTCAAAAACACTAGATAAATCCAAGTAGGTACAACTCACTTGAAATAGATACTGGGCTCCAGTGTGTGTGACAGTGACACGAAATGTATTTGGTCGTTTGGTATAATCCAACGTTTCACTAGCAGTTATCAAGTTCGGACCGACAAGTAGTCCCATCTCCCCGTGAAAGGTATTTCGCTGTGGACTTAAATTAAGAAGAAAAGAAACTTTTTGCCAATCGATAGGTTCCGTATTTCTTCAAGCAGTCGAAAAGAAATTTTTTTTAACATGAGGCCAATACCTTGGTTATGTTTGAAACAGAAAAATCAAACTGAATATTCACTGTGATATGTCGCAGTGGTGGAAACTCACAAACGTGATAACTACTTACACCTATGAATATTTTCAACAGAATGAAATATCAGGTAAACAAGTTCACTAAAGTAGTCAAACTACAAGACTGTATCCCTAGAACCCTGTTGTCCTAAATCAAATGGAAAGTAGGTGTGTGAGTAGGCAAGAAAAAAATGGAAGCAGGATAAAGCAGATCCATCTAGTTTCAGCCTTATCTTGTCAACTGCCTCTAACGTAGAATATCAAAATATATAGTCTAAATAAAAACTTAACATACTTTGATTCACTGAAAAGAAACAATATCGGTTAGTGGTTAGTACAACCAGAAGCAGTCACCGTATAGTAACAAATTAAAACGATAGATTCAAGGAAGGTTAATAATAAATGAAAACATTTGTCACATGCATGGTATGAAGTGTATTTTACATTTGTTATCCCGGTGAAAGTATATTACAATAAATGACAAAATAAACAAATATTTTGTATCATTCCTCAACATTCCGATCTTGCGAGGGCGTTACTTTTCCAGAGTATGAATCTTACATTAGGTTTTCAGGTTAATATTCAAGTAGGGAATATGTAATATACAGAAGCCCTTATGCCAGCAGAGGTCGGACAATTCGATCCAGTATAACAACGAAGAATTACAAGTATATCAACAAATAGTTATATAGGACTACTCATATGATGTAATAACTTAGAAAAGAGAGAAGAACTGGTGAAAATAATAAATCAGTCAGGTATTGTGTAATAAGATTAGACAGGTTATTAAAATAAAAAAAGAGTTCTTGAAAAGATTAAGGTGAATAATTGATGTAACATTAGAAAATATTCAAAGATGAGTACGTTCGAAAAAAATCATGTAGAACAGTGTGATATGAAGTTGTGTTCTACCTTGACTTCATATATTGTTTGGAACTGTCTATGTAAGTCATTAATGTTAACCGTATTTCTGTGATGTCTAACCAATCATTCCTGTTGTCTGTAGAAGGGTGAGAACATATATCTAAAGTTTTCACAATGGTCTACTCTTTGTGAGACATGAAACCCTTTTCAAGAATTTTTCCTTTTTCAATGATATTTTATCACCTGAGTAAAAGGAATTAGCCATGATGACAGAGCTTTTTCAAGTTTTTCCAGACTACAGACATTTTTTGGTTACTGCTTGCAACTTCGACCATGTTCGATTAGACTTGTTAGTACGGTACGTGATGCCTCCCCAAAGTATGTGGCATCGGATGCAATACAGTCTACTCATAAGTTGTATTTTTATTTGTATAGTCCCAGAGTAGTATATTACAACGAATAATAGAGTAGATAGATATTTTGTATTATTCCTCAACCTTTTGATCTTGCTAGAGGGATCCTTTACAAGAGTGTGAATCAGGTTAAGATTAAAGTTTTAGTACAGAAGGTGGTGACGTTTACAATTATCCAATTACATCATGATATGGAGCAAAGATCATTATAATACGGGTGAGTGAATAAGCAAATCTGTCAGAGAGGCTTTTATCAGTTGTGCGAGTAAGGTGGAACAAAAATATGGTGGGGAAATTTAGTTCGACTATGAAAAGTACAATGTAATTGTGAGTCATCATGGGTGAGAAAGAACAGTTTGAAAAGATGAATATTTGAACATGAAACAACATATAATAAATAAATAATGATAACGATAACGATGAAGGTACTTTTGATAACAGTTGTCACAACAAAGTGGATTATGTAATATATAGAATGGCATGTCACTCAGAAAGGAGCGTAAAACTGATGAAAATAGTAGATTAATAAAGTGTTGCGTAATAGGACTAGACAAGTTGTTAAAATACAACCAAAATTTCTGAAGTGATTAAGACGATTGAGCGAAATAACACCGGAAATAATTCAAACGTGAGTAAATTCCGAATAAATCACGCGGAATGAAATTGTGTTCTATCTTCTCTTCACATATTACTCACAACTGTCTATGCGCGTCATAAATGTTTGCCATACTTTTGGCATGTCTATCCCATCTCTCCTGTTGACCGAAGAAGGGTGCGAACAGATGTGCAAAGCTTCTGCAATGACCCGCTCTACGTGAGAGGGAAAATCCTTTTGCTGGACTTTTGTCTTTTCGAATGATATTTTATGACCTGAATAGGGTATGAGCAGCAGTGACAGAGCCTTTTTCAAGTTTTTCCAAATCAGGAATTTTTCGGTGGTTTTTTGCAACTTCGACCATGTTCAGCTAGACGTGTTAGCACTTGACGTGATGTCTCTCCAATATGTGTGGCATTGCATTCACTACAGTCCACTCCATAAACACAGTTCTGTTGTTCAAAATTGGAAATCGGATCTTTTAACTTACATAGGTGTGTGTATTGTGTCCATAACGTCGAAGAATACTGTGATGTCGTAACTATTAACTATTATTTCTTCTGTTGTGGATGTTTCATAGGAAAGTACTTATCCAATCTTTCTGGCTTGGTTTTTCCGTGTCTTTCTTTGATAGACTTTTTCCTATCCCTTTTTCATAGCTTTCTGGATAGTTGTTTTGCTTTAAGATTTTCCGAAGATGTTGCCTATCTGCTTGCTAAGATTCCACTTTATTTGGTATCTTTTGTGATCTCGTTAACAGATTTTTGGCAACGTTCAACTTAGTTTCCGTTAGATGAGCCGAATCGAAGTCAAGGTACTTGTTAGAATGTGTATCTTTTCCGTAGATATCGACTTCAAGTGCACCATCATTTTTTCGCATGGCCTTGCAGTCTATGAAAGCTAACGTTCTGAATTCTGTTTCTAGTTCATATGTGAATTTTATGGAATTGAAACGATTGTTAAGATATTCGAAAAGATTTCCCAGACTTTGCTTTTTGGTCATGACAAAGGTGTCGTCAACGAAACTCCACAAAATTCTTGGTTTTAAATCGTGTTAGATAAATAGGTCTATTTCCACTTTGTACATGTAGAGACTAGCTACAATAGATGAGACCGGAGCGCTAATTGCTACCCTATGGGTTTGATGATAAACGTTTCTTCGGAACGTAAGAGGGTTTGAAGCTAAACATAATTTCAGTGCATCACAGATTTCACTGATGGAAGTATTGCATCTAAGCGACAAAAAAGTATCTGACTCTAATAAAGATCTAACAACTTACATGCTTTCATTAATCGGAATATTTGTAGGCAAAGAAACAACGTCAAAGCTAACCATTGTTTTACTATCTTCAATGTTTATTTGTAATAATTTATGTTTAAAGTCTGATGAGTTTTTAATGACAGTTACCAAGTTGTCTTGTAATGGTTTAAGCATTTTTGTGAGATATTTGAAAAGGTTATGTGTTGTTGGAGAATCGGTAAAATCCACAACTGACCTTTGTCTCACATCACGATGTAATTGGATGATTATAAAGATCACCTTCTGCACCACACCTGAATATTAACCTGAACTCCTTATTTCAGACTAATACTCTTGGAAAAGACCTTCCTAGCGAGATTGGAACGCTGAAGAATGATAAAAAATTACTGTTTATTTTATTATTTGTTGTAATATGCTTTCGCCGGGATAGCAAAAGTGAAATACAAGTTATGCAATGAATCATACTAGCTCAGTGCCCAAATTTTTCCAAGCCAAAAAGTTCATTGTTGGTCACGTAGGACATAAAATATTATGAACTAAGCTTAATTAGTTTCAAATAGTCTGTGTAGAAAAAGGATGTTACTACTAAATAAGTGTGAAGGAATAAACATCCGAATTCGATAAGCAGTGACGTAATCACATAACAGTCCTTGGTAAACTTCAGGACAACTGAGCTTATCTGTTTGTTTATTTTCTTGAAGAAATGGTAGATGGTTATCTGATATCCATCATCAATCAAATTCTGAGTGATTGCACTGTTCAATGTTACTTTCCCTCAGCTGTAGACTCTTCAGAATATGTTTAGAAAATATAATTCCTTTCTTCTGTTCCTCTACTGTATCTGCTTCGATGGATAGACGTAATGCGATATGCACATTTAGAGGTAACATAAACAGGATAACTGTCAACTTTTGACTGCAGTAAAGAGCATATTGTTTGGCATACGGGGAATAACCTGCTTGCAGAGAAAGTTGCAGGCAGTAATATCATCAATCGTCTGTTTGCATACTGTGATCACCATTGAAATCGAAAGGAATCAACATAAGCCTTTTTCTTTCCATTCTTTCATATCTCTTTACAAAAGTTCGTCAGTGCCCATTTTCCCGTAGATATTTTTCAACTATTCGCAACTCTCCCCCAAATTTATCATATATAACTTTCAATCAAAGTATGAAGATTACTGTCACAGTAGCTAATTCGCATATTAACTGCATGATAAGTTTCTGAGTGTTTGAGCAGGTTGTTACATAACTGATAACTAGTAAATCGCTTTAGGAGAGATCATGTTCGCACACTTTGTGACTAGGTTATTAATGATAAATTTACCTGTGTTATCAGCCAAATCATGAAGAAGAAACCATGGAATTTAAAGAAAGTGACATCATTACAATCTCCTCTGTTAGCTACGAATACTCTCCACCACTTCTACAATGAAATGAAAACGGCATTCGCAGCTGAAAAGTGAAGTAGAGAGGAAATCTGTCATTAGGAGGATTGTATTCCGCCTACTAAATAGGATGATTTGATTGACTGGAGTGCACACACAGTGAGGCAATATCCATGTGTCAAGGTAGCTCAATTAGACAAGCATGTTAGAATGACAACAGATGGATGTATAGAAGTAGATCTTAAGAGGATGAAGATTCTACAAAAAACCTTATCCATAGTTGTCCCTACAATCAGATTCAAAAATACAGTAAGCTGAGTTTGGGAAACGGCGTTAAGAACTGAGTTATGCTGGTAAAAGTGAGGATGTCTAAAATTTATTTATTGAGTCAGCTTAAAACACATGTGATAAGGTTTATGCAATCGTTTTCGCCTCTGTATGGAAGGCACCAGTGCATATATACTCAGTGGACAGACAGACTGAAAGCAGAGCTGCTTCAGAGTGCAGTGCTTACAAAATTTCAGAGTAGAAAATTATTGCTAATAAACAGGGAATACTGAGACCAGAAGAACCCAATTTACAAAAAACATCAGGAATCTCAAATTTCGATAACTGAAAATCGATGCATCAGATGACACTGGGCAAGATAAGAATTAATCCAAGCAGTAAAACTTACTTATTTTCATCATAATCTGATTTCGCTTTATAGGCTAATAACTGCCTCACTGACATATTCAGTACCATGAATAATTCATACCATGAACGATCACGAGACTTACAGTTACGACTGCTCCACTCATGTTTTCTCATTAAGTAGTCACTGATGGTTTCTGTGAATACAATCCAAAAATAGCAGCAAAAACAGACTATAAAGCGAATTTATTCGAAAATAAACAGACAGCATTTATTTTCAGAATAAACAAAATTGAGTAGTTTTCGCTCATTCGACCTGTCAAAGTTAAGACACAGTGAAATAATTCTGTTGGTAGTTTCGAAGGTAGTTCACTTGCTTATCTGTTGATCCATGTCATATTCCACTATACCCTAAAATGAGCTGAATCGATTGGTCTATTTAAATATATAGTTCCATCGAACGGATATAAGAATGTCGCTTCAATAGTGCTCTGGCGACGTTATCAATGTTAGTGCAGGGGTCAAATCACAGTGAAGAAAGCAGAACGGCTGAGGCACTTCTGGTAAGCCATCTGCGAGAGTATGAAATCTCAAATTACTCTGCTAGCAACAACAAGACAGTTTACACCATAATCTGTTCGTTTTCTGCGATACGTCTTGGTATTTTGGTGGTTATACCGAATAAGGAATAATATACAGTAGTCACTAGTCAATAAAAGCCTACCCCTGCTTCAAATTTGCTAATCATTTTCGCCATTTATATGAACAGACCCACCAAATTTCGTTCTTATCTGATGCGCTATTATCACCGTCGTAGATACTGTCGCTGTGTGTGTGTGTGTGTTAACAGATCATAGCATTTCAACCAGAATCTGAACACAGAAAGCGGGAATTCTAGGCCCACATTAGTTGTTAATAAGCCTAAGCAATCACGAATGCCAGTTGGCAAATATTGGATAGAAGATGTTTAAATGCGATTAAAAATGAAACAGAAATATTAGGTTGCGAAGTTTTGTATTTCAGTGGTCCGACTGCTGCTTTCTAGATGCGATTGATAACGTCACTTATAGCACCGGTTATCCCTTTGACAAGAATTCGAAATAACATTGTCACCCATTGCAAACTGCAGAAAAATGCGGTGAAATTCGCAAGGAATCCCTCACTTATTATCCATATTTATTTTTGTTTGCTACTACGCTTTGTTACCAGGTAGATGCTCACAGAAAAACTTTCAGAAGCGTCATGAAAGCCAGATACAGCACGTTGAATGAATATGCCTCCTACAATCACTTTAAGATTAAATCTCGGTAATGAATTAACTTACCTAATGCATTCGCCATTGCAACCAAATACCTAGGCATAATTTCACTTAAGGATTTTACATTCTAGGATTTCTAAAAACCATAAGCCATTTGTGACATAGCAAGTGGGTGTAGTTTTGCACCAACAGATGACAGGTCAAAAGTAGACGCGATCAAGCAGACTAGTGCGAGTTAATAAAGGCAGGCTGATAAACATTTTCAGAATTGACCGGTGAAGGATGACAAATGCTAGTTGGCAATCAGTTAACCAGAAAAGTTTGTAATTATGATCTGAATAAAACAGCTAATCATTTTTAAGGACAGCTTGTTTATATTTTGCATGGTGAATGTTGTTTGTAAGCGCATCTATGAGCGTGATTCTGCTAGGCTGTTAAAAGGAAATCAAAACCAGTGGGTGGCTTCCTTCTTCAGAATATGCTGACCTCTAGTTACACAACTTCACCAAGGCTTTTTCATATCTACCGAAAACCAAGTAAACGCTTGAAGACTATCATCGATTCATCTGCCAGGTATTGGTAGTTTATCACTACTATCTGTTGTGTTCGCAAAAGATATACACTACAGCTCCACGTTTTCTGTGATAACAAACATTCTTCGATATCTGTCGACTTGTGAATCACAAAATTTATCACTTTTGAAATGTTGGTATTTATTGTTGTGACGAATTGAGGGCTTTTTCTTACCAATTTACTGGCTTTAACCTAGGCAACATTACAACGTCCCTTCATTTCTAGATACAAACCAGCGATTTCCTGTCGATCACTTTGTTGTGACGTAATGTCTTTCGCAAAGTGAATAATTGATTTGCTTGTTTGTGATTGCGCTGCTGTAGTAATTCCACCTTCAATAATCCCTTTCCATTGTTCACCACATTTCACTGCGCTCCCCTCGACAGTTGTACAAAGTTGTTACCTAAAGAAGCACTTCGATATCTTCAAAAGTATCATGTGGATAAAGAACGTACATGCGATATAAATCACTCACTCGATTACCTACCGATTTAATTATTTGTGTTTCATTATTCTAAATCATCCTTGGAAAGTGCATAACGGAAACTTAAACCACATGAACTTCAGTCATCTGCATTTCGTGACAGCGTGGTCAATTCACTTGCTTAGTGAATTACTGAAAATGAAATGTACACCAAGTTTGTGGTATTACATTTCTAACGGATACAAAATTCTGCCGGAATTAATCATATGAAATCAGTCTGATACTTTCAGTATTGTAGCAACTAGAACAATGTTTATAAATCTCGTTTCGGATGCCTAAGCAGGAGAATGAAATAGAAAGCTGGAGTACAGCGCTAATTATTATAAAGCAGGTGATTTTCTTAATTTATTGCTCACTGGAAATCATTTTCCTACCGGTGTGTTTTCAAATAACATTATATATATATATATATATATATATATATATATATATATATATATATATATATATATATATATATGGGATGAATGAACAGTTTTTTGTCACACCTTAACAAAGGGGCTAGACAGTATACGATTGCCATCCAGGCAGCAGTTAGGTCTTGTTACGTAGTCGGTAGGGTGCCAAAAGTGTAACCCAGATTTCGTTAGTAGAAATACTGTCGCATTTCATCTTCAATCACCACTAGGTATTATTAATAGCAGTCTATCAAATTTTGATTATTGCAGATGGTTATACAAATAAGTGAACAATAAACTTACGGAAGAAAGTTGTTTGGTTTTCCATAACTTTGCCATTATGCCCCATTAATTCAGTGATATCTCGCAAATCACAGTCACTTCTTTCTTCATTTCTCAGAGGATCAGTCTGATCATTCAATTCTCGACTTCTGACTAATCCATAGTGGTACAAAAGTGTTTCCAATTCCTCCATGTCCGAACTGTGACTTATATTCACACAGCTTATTGGTTGATTCATCAAATTTTCCCCTTTATCAATTAGTTCGAACTGAAGTGAATAGAGTAAAATGAAACAGGACTACCTGTAGACACTAACTGTTTATCAGTGAAGATCTTGTGCATGGTTGAATGAATAAATTCAGTGGAAATAATTCATTTTCGAGGTTTATGGGAATTGATTGATTTCAAGGTGATATTCATCACGAACTGATATGAGATGGAAAGAAGTTCCATATTAGGACAAAACGGATCTCCAGTGCTTGCCAGTGGTTCTTCAGTTGACTTCACTCCGTGATGAATACAATCTCAGCATAGATAAATTTTCATGAAATGCTTTACACCATAGTAATCAGTTTTTAGGCTCCCAATAGTAGTAAGTTATATCATCAACTGACCATGAAATATCATGTTTTTGTCTTGCTAGTTGGCCTGTCCATTCAACGCAGTGTTCTACATTGCTCACAATTTTACGAGGTCATACATTTTGTATGCCTTAGGTTTAACATGAATGAGTATGGACTGAGTTATTAAGCTTTCCTTCCATCTATCCACATTGGAGATGCATTTTACTCAACGATATGCTTTACTTCCGATTCTGCCAACCTTATAGATGAACTGTTTACCTGTTGTTTATACTCTTATGCACCGTTAGACTGACCTTCGCTCGCTGTGACCTTGAATGGTCTTGAAGTAGGTCGTACATAATTTATATGCTTCTTTGCAAAGGATATTTTATTTATTACGTTGTTACTATCCGATGCACTGACCAGTTCCTTTGAACTGATTCAGTTTATTCCAAATGAAATTTGTTCATTCAGATTCAGTATAAATGCCCGTTCTTCTAAAAATTGTTGTTGCTGCTGAAGTGTCTTTAGTGTCCGGTAACAGCACGGTCTTTTTTACTATCAGTGTTCCTGTTAACTCTGTTTAGATAGCTTGTTTCTTTTCACTTTTAGTAGATTTCATTTGACAGTGTTGACCTTACATTTTGAATAAAACATTCATTTTTATAAGTTTATCCTCAAGAAATGTTGTTAGACTAAATACTCTGTTTGCGAGACTTTGTATTTACCTGTATTTCACGGGAGCTGGATGAGTAAAATGCAGAAACCTTCCGCAATGCGTTGGCTTGTAATAAATAATTAGTTCGTGGACTTCCATCTGTGTTTCCTTTGTGTAAGCGGTTTGAAGTCACCCCGATGACAGAATATTCACCTAAGACATGAAGATATTACATGTACAGAGATTCTACAACTTCCTCAACAAGGTAATCACCTCTCAGGGGGTTTTAAATGAGCTTAAAGGGACAGTTTAGTGAACTAAAGACAACAACAAAAGACCCCTTGCAGTCAATACTGGTTGACTCATTTGAACACTCAAAAGATAGAAAGATATTTAAATCGTCGGTTTTCACTCCAAATCCATTATTCAAAGAAATAGGTAGAAGTTGCTGTGGATAAAGTAAAGACATGACTGGACAGTGATAGCAACGTAGAAGACTAAACCTGGTTGTTTGCAGAAGATGGACGGTATCTACATCACTATAATTGGATGAGAACTTTCCGACAGACTTGTCGAATGTGAATGCAGGCATTTGCAATACATAAAATAACCACCTAACTAACACACTTAGACCGTCTTTATCTTACAAACAAGGTTTCATATTATTCGCTGAGTTAAGTGAAAGTCGAGGTGTTTGTTGGAATGTATATCATTTTGACAGATATAGACATCGAAATAACCATGGTAATAAAGAAAATGTTAGCAACAACAAAACACCAATCAATGAGACTGTCGATGGAAAGATGCATGAAATAAAGATATTGAAATATTGTGAAAGTGAGTGAGTGAAAAGTCACTGATTATCAGGGCAATACAAAACTAGTAAGTGTCTCCTTCTGAACACGATTCCCGCTGAACTCATCAGGCAATGTGACAACTTTAGAAATTCGAGGTTGACAAGGGATGGTTTTTCTGTTAATTATTATGAAAGTCTGTACTGCATCTACTTTTTGTGGTACACTTAATTCTTCACTAACTGTGAAACATGAGAAAAGCAATGTATCATGAAGCATTTATAAGTCAACCAATGTAGGCTGAAACAATATTTACAAACAAACCTTTGTGAGTTGTTTAACCCTTTCATATCTTTCATTTTGTGGTAGAAAATTGCGCTCCAGTATGTCAAGTCGGTCAATCAAAGTTAGCGTTTCCTTGATTGAATCACCTGTGTCCAGACTCTCCACTTCTGATGAATGAAGTACGAGCCAGTGTTCTAACGAATCTGCAACACTTCAGACAATAAGAATAGTTCAACAGATAATAGAGGCTTTTCAAAGATATTTTAAACACACAATTTACACATTAGTGGAAGCATTATCATCTGGTTGAGCACTAGAAAAATGTAATGATAACAAATATTCAATAATTTTTCCACTTCAGTATGGCTTCTATTTTCCTTAACATGATATCTGTTACTGTAATAATAAGGCGTCATTTTTTCTGTTCAACCACATTAGCGAAGAGATATTAATTTAACAATACACCGGTAGAAAAAACAACGCAATATCTTAGTTAAGACTAACCTGGCAAATTCATTGATGCCAAGTTGTAACTCTAGTCGTCTGTATATGTGATGCCACTTTATATGCAAACTGTGCCATGATGTTAGCAGCTGTGTCATCCGCAGTTGAAGATCCTCAATTATTTGATCATTCTCATCATCAAAATGGTCATCAATCTGTACAGTAGTCTGACTTAATGATGACGCGTCTGACTTTTGTTCATGCTTCTCGTTTATTCTCACAGATTTCAAGTGACAGTCAAAATATTCTGGTCGAACAGGTATAACTTCACTATCTGTATCTTCCTTTTTAACAGAAGTATCTACAATTGGTGTTTTCTGACCTGTTTTGGTTAAGCTGCTAGTAGTGTGCTGTTCTTCTTCTCCTCCTCCAATTGAGGTGGGAGTTTGCTGTTGGATCTCGGTTGTAATGAGTATATTCGGTGGCGATATTTCACCTGACCGAAGAGACTGTTGACTATTTGACTTAAAATACTGTTTCTCTTGTCGTTGAAATGAAATGCTGAGTTGTTTACCTTCATCCAAACATGATCTAACCTTATCTTGTCGTGCGTTCAATTCTGCACGTAACTGAAGTGTCTGGCCAATGGCATATTTGATATTCTCAGTAGTTCTGAAATGAAAAGAAGAAGTGGACCCATTGAGTCTCTAAGCTAATTCAACAATATGGTGCATAAGTTCGAAATTGACTGACTTGAATAGCGGTTTGATATACAGTCAAAATATTCGGTCTATCATTAATGAATAAATTATGAGTATTTGACTACAAACCTGCCAAGTTTTTGACTAATTAAATTTCTACCTGCTGCTTTCACACTTATCCGTCAAGTTAAATCTATGTGAATTTGTTCGATAAAATCTTGTCTAAACTGCATACAAGGTAACATTTTTAGATCACGAAAAACGGATTCATTACTCATGTAATTAGTGATGTGTTCTAGAAAGAGTAAACATTTTATGGTGCAGTTTCGAGTTTTATGAGCACTCATTGATTCCTAGATGGTATTTATCATGAAGCGAAATCAGTTGGAGAATCATTGAAACTCTGGGAGCATTGGACAGATGTTTTTTACCCGTATAGGACTGCTCATCAGTGTGCACTCATGACCCCTCCGCGGCTCGAACCCAGGACATTCGAGTTTCGAGGTGAGCACGGTACCACTGAGCCCCTAGATCAGAATCCAATGGTCCCCACTTCGCTGCTTAAGTCAGTTAGCGATATATTATACGAATATCATTCGTAGCCATCAGCAAGTATTAAACCTCAACTTCAAAATGTTTGACCACATAGGTTGCGCTGCCGCACTCGAACTTCGGGAAAACTATCTCGGAGGTTGTTACTAAAGAGCGGTGTTGAGCAGTTACATGTTAGGACGAAATATACCTGTCAAGCCCTCTAAGGTTTCCAATGGTTCTCCAAATGATGTCAGCACGTGATGAATAGCACACAGAAAACACTGAGTTATCTCTTGTGTGGTAGTTTACGGCTGAAGAGTCATCAAAGAAGAATCTTAGAGTTCAGGGTTGCTTGAGCGATTCAAAACGGGTATGGAAAAGCACAACAGGAGCTTGAAGGCGTGATGGAGTCAGAGAGTTTACTATTATTATCCCTGTTCCACAAGGACAAAGTAGAACTCCTAGAACTGAAGCGCAGTACAATCGACCCTTAATAGAAAATGGGATATATATATATATATATATGGCGGCAGGATAGAAGGCTTTAGTTAGCCAGCGCCAATCGTAATTTTGTATCCATGCAGAGATTGCTTCTACCACTGAATCACCGGTGCCGATCCGACTTCCTAGATAAGTCAAGTGTTCAATACACACAAACTCTTCACTACCTCGTACTGCTACGCAAAAACTTAGACCAATCATGGAGCAACAGTTTGCATTAAGGTGGAGAGAAACACATCCCAAACACCACTCACTTGCCATTAAAAGGTTTCAGAAGACTGTGTATCTTGTCAGGGTCTTAGCTGAACAGGACTTCGTCATCCGTGTACTACAAACTAACCAAGGATTCCCTGTGGCAGTATCATTTCCTATGGAGTCAGAAGATTAGGACGAGACCCACATGAGTGCATCCATGATAAAGTTGGATAAGAATGGAGAGAGTTAGCGTCCTTGACAAATACCACTTCACGTACACAACCCACCTGATAACTTACCATAGGTACACACACGGCCTTGCGACCAACGAAATCGAATGTCACCTTCAGTTCAGGGGATGTAGCTAGTATTGGAAATCAGCATGTGTGTGTGTGTGTCTGTGTTGTATAGCCCTTCTGAGGGTGAATATGTGGTCGATGCACCCACCCATAGTCAAATCTAAAACCTACCTGGTTTCCCCAGGTTCACTGTTCGCTAGCTCTACCCAGACAGCTAATGGTTGTAGAATCTAGAATCTTAGGCAATGTATCTGGTTGGCCCCTCTCCCTCTGTGGTTATTACAAGCTCATTTCTCTTCCTTCTTCAAGGCTGGGACAATCAGTGACTGAGACCAGCCACGGGAGATCATATTCGACCTGCATACACTAACTAACACTCCAGTCGATCTAACCAGCAATCCTTGACCATCATCTTTAAATACCTCCAGTACTGACCCATCAGGCACTGCTGTCCATGATCGCTTCATATGAAGTAGCTCCCTAATATTCAAGTGACAGTCTGTAATCCGAGGAGAGTTGCCTATCAAGTCATGAAGGAGATAGAAGGGAAACTAACGAAGAATCGTCTCCCCAATGATGCCACTTTTAAAAGCATACTATCTATCGTATTTACAAGTACATATACATATGACAGTCGGTAATGGAATGAAAGTGTATTGTTGCATCGTTAATACAGCATTGAATTCGACTTGTCTGCATCACCAAACAGCTGGGGAGTATTCGACTCTACTTGTGGCTCCAGTTGGTTTGAAACATCTTAAGTAAGCGAAGTGAGACACCCTACCTGAGTATTATCTCATTACATTAGTTAATGAAAGCTGAAACCCTGATGGAAGGTGCTTGAGGACATTTTTTCACTCATGTGAACATTGACTGAGAGAGAAATTCATAACCGTGTAGAATCAGATTCCAAAACACACAGCCTTAATTTGTGAGCTATGCAAACTTTGATTGGTCGGAAATATGAGGCGAGAGAGCAAGCTGAACTCAAGACGTGAAGATCTGGTCAACCCTTAAATGCCATTTCTTTTCAATTATCTGCAGACATTTGAATACACAACTCGGAGGGCCGGAAATTTAGAATATTCAACAAATTTTGCATAATTCGTCAAAATAGAAATTTCATCCTGTCTTTATTTATTCTTTAGCAACACACAATCAAGAATTCCGAAAATTTATGAATTGTCTGGTATGCACTCAAGGCCTGAAATTTATAGCTATTTATCCATCTTTCAAAATGTCAGTAAACCTTCCATCCCCGCCTTTCAGTTTGTCTGAAAAAGATAATGACTTGAAATATGAAGAGAAATTTGTTTTAATGAGTAAAACAAGATAAATCGGTGTATCATGTTATAAATTTGATTATCTTATCCCAACGGCAGACATAGCTAATCAGTTTTGCTTAATTTGCTGATAAAATCCTTTCTTCAATAAATTTAGATGCAAAAATGAGAAAATCAATGCTGGCAAAATCAACTACTCCACTGATCATCTTCGTAAGTTACGATAATTCTACCGACCGGGAAGCACTCCACATAGGTGATTAACAATGACCCATTCCACTCGTTTAGAGTGAGAACCAATTTCGTTATAGCGAATACGATGAACAAACAGGTGATAGGTGATTCAATTCCATGAAGAGCAAGAAAATGTCTCAGTGAGTCAAACGAAAGTGGGACAGTATTAGCATATTTTGAGTGGTAATTCACAGGCCATTTTTCTCATCATGGCATGAAACAGCCTCATCGAGAACAGATTAGTTAACGGGTGTTCAAATTCTGTCTAGCTGGAAGCTAAACTATAGTCTTAGTCATTCAGAGGAAATTAGCCTGAATTCATTTCCTCATTTTCCCAAATATATATGTGTATCAGCGCAGTTAACCACGAAACAGTTCTGTTCCCTTCAAATACTACTCATAATGCATCAACACAACTCTTTTCTTATTACATCATATTCAGGTGTTGTTTAACACACTTGAGAAATGCTAATGGACCACAAAATATGATGTTGTTCCCATTCGTTTTTGACACCATATTCTGTTGATGATAAAACAGTTCTAGACTGAAGAGAAGTATGAGCACTTGGTAAATATTGTCCATTATTCTGATATTTTAGTGCACCAGTGAACGGAGAGCAACAAAATCACCATCTAGAATAGACTAGAAGTAAACTGTTAGGGGGAATAAATTGGAACTATTTTATTCTTTCATGGGTTCAAGCCAGCTGCATGGAATCTAAAAAATTGAAAGATCAAATTCCACCAGAACCTTAAAACAATTAACTGCGATGCATAGAAATCATTCAGTGAGTAAGGTGAATTATGAACGTAGTGAGTGAGATTGACGAAAGAGTACGCGGGAAGATGATTGATGACATGATATGTATGACTGTATAGACATTATGTTCTGTTCGAACAATACTTCTCGGTAAATTACAATGTTGGCAGTAACACGAATTTTAGACAAATCAGGAGACGAGCTTACATAATTCGGTGTATGAACAAGTGAATCATAATCAGAAAACAAAATAGTATGGAATGTGGTAAGTAGACTACTGTCAATTAAGACTCAGTCTTAATGTCATTGGAAAATCTCTGAAACAGGTGATGGTGTAATCGAACAAGTAGAGAGTAAAGGATTACGTTATCGGAGAGATAGGAGGGTTAAGGACAGATTCATTTTGAATGTGAAAATATAGTCTGTGGTGTTTGATTTCAATGACCTTATGAGGACGTAATAATAAGATAATAATAATAATACGATCATAATGATAAGATATGATCCGCTTTATTCCATCCAGTTCGCATAGTCTCTTCCCTGTGCAGTGCTATTTTTCCGTTTCACCTCACTAACGGACTGATTTCCACTCAATGCATTGAATTCTGGCAACGTTCTGTTGCAACGTGAGGCTTCAAATAGTTAAGGCTGTGTGTAGCTGGTGAGAACCGATGGCATAGTAAACTGTTACCACGTAATTCTCTTCCACTCTTTGCTCTTTATCTACTCCAGCGATAAGCAGATAAACGGATATAACAAAAAATACATTTGTTGACACTTGGCTATTTGTCACCCATAGTTTTGCCAAGATGAAAAGGGATTATAAGTGTAACTCAGTGAAAGATCTTCTGAGTAGATGATTCTGTATGTTCAGTGTGGGGGGGATACTGGGTGTAATGTGAGTATAAATTACAGGTTAAGGGTTACAGGTGTGCATGAAATTACAATTCTCGCCAAATCTGCTTTGATGAAGTCAGTTCGTGGGAGAAGGTCACTTGAATCACGCCAAACTTTGTCTGATTTCTTCATTCCCATCTCCACTATTCGGATTCCATTTTATCTTACAAAAATTAGCAAGATAATATTCCTTTCAAAATTTGGACTGTCAAAAGCTGTGACTAAATATGTGCTCTCATTTGCAGTTAATGAATCCAGTAAACACTTGTTGAACTCGTTCTCAGTCTATAACAATCAAGTATATTTCTTATCAGGTTACATGGATTTTGACAGCAAAACATCTTCATCTTTCATGTGGCACTGCGACTTCCACCGAGTGCTTATTTTAACCTCAATTGCTGTTTGCGCACATTGGCGATTCCAGCTGTAAGCTTCACACTGACCCTTACTGGAACATATTCAATCAATTGTCAGCAGAGTGATTCAGTCGCGTTGAAAAAAGTGATTAGAATTGTTTTACTGTTCATTGGGTTTTGTAGTGAAAATATGATAAGAAAGTCTGAAGGCAGCACATGCCTCCTTTAAGTGGACAAGACATTTCAGACGACTTACAATGCAGATTTCGTCTTCCTTTTTATTCAGATTGGTTATCACTTTTCGTCTTTCTCAATAAAATGTTACACGTTTAGTTGTACAGTATAAGTAGGGAATTGCTGAAGTATTTCCCATGGAAATTTTCATGCATGATTAAATTTCCCCGCCTATATTAGGATTATTTTTCAAAGCCACTTTACTGAGTAAATTATCCACAATAGTGTTTCGTATTTGAGAACTGGTCAAAGTTACTTGAAGTCATCTCAAATCTGCCATCTTTATGCAACATTCTATTGAAGGGATTCGGCGAGATTCATTGTTTGTCAAAATCATCTTTAACTGGCTGTAAAGATTATCTCATTAGTGATCAGTATACACTTGTTATGAGCGATTATCATTCAGTTGCGTTTACTAACCATCAAATGCATCAAAGAACAGATAAATAGTGATGGGATTCCATGTATTCCGATTAGGCAAACCATTTATGTAATAGTTTGCATTGTAGTCTCTTTGTTGAGTGGCAGTGTAATCTACGATACATGTTTCGTCTTATTTTGGACTGGTCAGTTGGATGCAACTGCACCCCACTGAGTTGTGTTTCCATCAAGACTGTAACCCACGACCGATTGCATTAAACACCAAAGTGGATGTATTCAGGCAGTATCGAGGCACTCGCATAGGAGCTCATCTGCTAACTGAGGTTGAGCGATCTGAACGAGTATAGCCACGGGAAATAACAAGTACCAATACGCAAGAAGTATACACCCTCAAGTAATGCCGCATTAATCCAGTTAAGAAATCCCAACTAATGGCTATCCTTGCTTGGATAACATGAAGTCAGTTAACGACACACATAGGATCATTTGAATTCATCCTTGTTCACTCAAGTTTCCTCCTGGAGGGTTCATTCCAGGATCAAGAGTCTCTAGCAAGTGCTAACAACTCTTTTCTCTGTTACACGTTAGACTGCCAACCATCAGAATGCACTACACAACCCTGATTTCCTGTTTATTGGGACTTATCAATAAGGCGTGTTTGCAACTTGTAGAAACATCACTTTTCCTCATAAATTCGTAGAATCACCAATCATTACTGAAGTTGGAAACTTTTCCACCCAAGTACACAAGTCTGGTTCGATAATGTGGATATGATTTGAGAAGTCAAGTAGGATGATCACAAGATTGCAAACAACACGACTATCAAGTCATCAGTAGCATCTGAAATTTCTCAAACATGTTAACATTTCTATTCTCATTCGAATGAATTCCAAACATCTTACAATATAGTACAATGAACCTCCATATCTCAGCATTTAATTTAGCAAGCACATTGCAAAATAAATCGATCAACGTTAATTGGCTACTTCATTCACCTTATTGACACTGATTCATCTACACAATGTCCTGTGTTAAGTGGAGCATGTATAGGAACTGAGACTCTACGTCTGTTGTAAACTCAATCTTATCTTTCTCCCACATTCGATTATTTATTTGGTATGACACAGCGAAAAAATCATTTTTTGCTGGATTCTATGACGTGATACTGTTTCCCTGTGTACACTACCAGATTAACTATCAAAATCGAATCATACTGTACCACACTGTCCGAATTTTACTCTTCACTCCTCTTTCTTCATTGCTACATGCAGCAGAATTGAGCATAGTAAAGCGTTTCCCAAATCATGCATTTCAGTTGGAGAGGAAATAAGTGAACTAGCTAATTAGCCTACTGACTTCATCAGTTTCCAACAAACAAGACATCCATAAAGGCTGGCCTCTCGACTGAAGATTCTATTATTGGAAACAGGTGACCGAACGTTTCATAAAATGTAGAAGCCTTGGATTTCTCACATTCGTCAAGCAAGAAATGAACTGATGGCTAGCTACAGCTTCGAAGATTCATGTCAAGGACCCATTTTGAATAGTCACGGCTGTCAAGTTTCCTCGTTGTATTAATTAAAACATGGTGAAAAGGAGAAGACCAGATATCGGTTGCTATTGTCTTTGGACAGTAGTTAGTGTTACATTGTGATTGTTATAGATTCGAAAGTGACTTTTAATCTCAGAGATGCAGTCCTTCTGAATCATCTACATAATTACTTCCTACACTCAAAATGGGAATTTTTCTAAAGAATTCGGAGATATGAAACAGAACATAGTACTATAGAAATAGACTACTCCTTAAACATTCTCAGAAGCAGCTTTGCCATATGATATTGTCATTGTTGGTATTCTTCAGTTCGTTCTCGTCATATTTTCGGAACTTGTCATTTTATCCATCTGCCTGACAATGCCCTTTTCATGTTTTCTCCAATCATGTTGACTAGTTTTTGAATGATTACAACTTTCAGTAGTTTATGAACTTGGAATTCTCGCCCAACTGGAGATATTCATCCACCTTCGATACCGCTTTCTAGCTGACAACAATCAATCTGTGCACTTCAGTTGCCTTTCATTTCCATTCTCACTCTTTAACTGTATGAACCAGTGGTAAAGTGAGTTGACGTGAACATATTCCAGACCGACGAACTGTTTAGAGGGATGAGGTGGCAAGTCGTTAACTTCTTTCTGAGCTGCAAATGAACACAACTACTCAGTTTGCTAACTCTTAATTCTTCCTTAACCACAAGGGTTCAGTATTGTAATCTTTCAGTAAACCCCCTGGATGCTGATCCCATGTGATTTGATTAGACTAAGTATGCGAATACTCGGAGAGACGTAACAGGTCTTAAGCTATTTTCAGTGTATTTCAGATTTCGAAATTTAATGAATGATACAACTGGAGATGTGTTGACATCCTGTAGGAGATGGATTTCAGTACATGGCTCATAGTGCACCCATCCTCCCTTCTGCAATCTACTATTACTACCAGCATGTGTATTTGTATTCTTTTCGTGAATGTTGACTGTGTAATTTTCGAATTCCTTTACAGAAAGAACAATGCGCAGTGAGAAATACACAGATTTGTTGACATGGAAAATGGTCATGAGAAGTGTCCTGAATAAAAGTGACATGAATAACTAATCCCTCATTAGAATGATCTGATCATTTTATCCTACCGATCAATCAGTCTACAGCAGAAATGAGAAAAGTGATCCAAATGACAAAAATGGTTTCCTTACATGTTATCAGTATTCCTTATCATTGTTTGCAAATTCACATTCCATATATCCATTTCAATACGCTCTAATTCCTTTTGACAATGTTGGATCCAGTTGAACAGAATATCCAAATTTGATATCCAACGATATAAAGCGATGGCACGTTTCAATCTTATTCGACGTAGCTTAGTTCTTTGCCTAAGTTGACACCAAAGAGAAAGGAGATTATCACGTGGTTGCCTCAATCGTTTAATCCATTGTCCAGAATATAGGGGAAGAAGGCAGTCAGCTGCATTTTCTACCCATTTCACCTGTGTATTACATAGCAGTTAAAAAATAGAAATATGGTTACTTTTGTTCAACTCTCATTTTTTACGATTACTGCAAATCCAGTAAAATGCAAGCCCATGTCTGCATATATTCGGCACTGAGGGACAGACGTAATAGTTGATTCTTCTAGTGAGTGACTCATTATGCTCAGACAGAACTTTCCTTGTTTACCTGAGTTCCCAATCTTCAATACTCTGATTAACTGTGATGAAGTTTATTTATGTTCTATGCCTCTTATTACTGTATCATTTATGTGGCAGTCTTTGAATAACATTGCTGTCTTTAGTGGCTATCTTATGCAGGTGTTGTGCAGCATTTCAAACGATCGCACATTTGATAAGGTGACAAAGGCTTCAAACTGATCTACTGTTTAGTTGGAGTTGCTAACATGGTGACTGAGTTTCCTTATCATGTACCTTTCAACGAGTTCCTGCCTATTGGTGATGATCTTAGTTGTTCACCCAATGATCTGGTTGTCTCATTCTCCTAGTGAGAACTGTAGCCAAACTACACCAACGCTTGACCAGGCCGACTTCAGTTATACTTACAATCTTCCATCATATCATGGTTCAACCTTTCCTAAACAGCTTATTCTTATATCACAGCTTCTGTTGTTAGTCAAACGCACTTATTTTTCAAAGTGTCACGGTTAGTCCGTCACCATTATCAGTTTTCGGTTTGTCGAAGCTTGTAACGGGAGCCTATTGAAAATAGATCTGTAAGACTTCAAAGTATGGTAGGAAGCAATTGCTTTTTAATTGGATTTGGGGGCTTGTGGGGGTTTAGAGCTATTTCAAGTTGGCATTCATCATAGACTGACATCGGTTGGAGGAACATTGGAAAGTTGAGGGCACTGGAGATCTGTTTCATCCTGGTGTGGGGCTCCTCAACAGTGCTCACCCACCACCCCGCCAGGGATCGAACCCGCGACTTTCAGGTTCCGTGGCCAGCACGTTACCACGAAGTCACTAGGCTGGAATCTAATGGTCCATATTTTCAACTTCTGTCAGTTCACGACATAGTGCGAACGCCACCCAATGTCATCACTGAGTATTTGTCCTCATGGCCACCAGGTTTGCTCCACTGATCACGACTTCTCACTTGAACTTCGGGAATCACCTCTTAAGCTAGTCACCAATGAGCACTAGTTCGCACTGCTGAAGACTCCCAAACGAGGAAGAAACAGCTGTCCAGTGCTCCCAGGTTTCCAACGTTCCTCCAACTCATATCAGTCTATGATGAATACCGACTTGAAAAATTCCTTTCTACTTTCGGAGAGTAAAGATATTCATTTACCCATTCATTTTTTTCTATGCAATCACTGTGAAGACTTCATTCCCAGATTCTGCTTCATTGGTGATATATAGTTCTGCCAGTTCTAATGAATCACAAAGTGAGGTTAAGCATTTACTTATCATTCTAATTCAGCTGTTGTGTTTGAGTAATGCGGATACTCTTCATAGTGACAAGTCGACAAAACACAGAGTATAGCGAAGGTGGTACAACTTTCCTCTGCGACCAAAATGAACTGATTGAGCAAATGTAAACGTCACCCTGCGTACTACACGATACTCACCCGATATGTATCAAAATAGGCAACGAGCACTATGCAGATCTATGTATTAATGATGGACGTATGCTGAAGAATCTCATTTCAAGTAATCGCTTCAAGTTCAGTTGTTTTAAGAGATTTATTCCTCAACAAGTAGTATCACTGAAGTCACTACAGTAACTAAGCATTGTATGATGCTTCCCTACTAAGATGACATGATTCAGTTTAATTTTAATTGGCTTATTTGGCAAGTTGATTTAACAGATAAATTTCGATCACACGCAGCATGTTCTTCAACTTGCATGCTGTTAATAGAACTGATAACTAACTAACTTTACACAGTGAACTCAATGACAACCTAGTGACTTACCAATGGTTGCAGGGCTTGTACGTCCTGTTCGAATGCAGACAACAGTGACAATTGTTTGCAAATGACTTGAACATCCTTGCCAGTTGACTGTGATAATTGGTCGAATTTCTCCTGAACCAGTTTAAGAGTTTCCTTCAATCAAGAAAAATCAGTTATAAGTTGTAGGTTGGAATACTTGCAGTAACCACACTTTAGCAAACTGTCCCTTCTGTGTAAAGGAGTAATGACGGAAGTTAAAATCAGCATCTAAATCATGGCACGATTTGGAGGTCATGTGTTGGAACTCTGACTTGAAACGCACTTTCGCTTCAGATTTGATCATCATTCCAGTAATACGTTATAAAGTTCTCCTCATAACCAGAAGACAATATTTTAATTCGAAAAATACTTCGGCTAATCAGCAGCACATCTTACAGATTTTATGGAGCACTTTGTACTGCATGACGCTTCTTTTGCATTAAGATTTCTTCTTTATTCAAGCAGTGATCGAAATCCCTGGAAGCCTAATTATGCTGGAAGTCACTGCCAGTGATTTTTAATCCCAATATTATATATATATTATATATTATATTATATATATTAGTTTACGCTTAAGCAATGAAAGTGATTTTCATGAACATGAGACATAACTGCAAGTTATGATGAAGCGTGAACATGAACTGTTTGAATATGCCTAGCATTTAGTAACGGGACATAGACCAATTCCGTACACCAGACTGTTGTGGTAAACAAAATTCCATTTGATAACCTTCACGATGTGTTCACCGAGTTAAGCTAAAGGAAGGTGGAATACGCTGGTAACACGACCCCATCTTCGAACTCTGTGTCGAATAACCCAGATAAGTTATGCTAAGAAAGGAAACCTGACCCAACAAGGTCATGAAATATGCGTTAGGCATTGCTTTACTGACGTTAGTCAGCTTGTAACTTTGCTAAGTTTTATTACGTGGGGTTAAGACGTAGTCTACTTCGAAAATCTGATTTGTTTACACAGTGCACTCATGAAGGCGTTTTAAATTAGGCCTATAAGTGGGATGGACTTTAACGAAGTAATAAGGCTAATTGATGTGAAATGAGGGCAAGGTGAGGTGGGTGAGGTGGTGTTTCCGGATAAAAGCTGGGCTTCTAACAAATTGTGTATTATTGAAGAATATCAGGGTAGGAATAATGTGCTTTCACAATTTAGTTGAGTACTTGCTTGCAATGGCTTATCCAAGAATGCAAGAATATGGTTGACTAGTCCTCCCAGTGCATGCCATTTTAGTGACATCTAAACTAATATCTACGTTGATAAATGGACAAATCGTGGATCCCTTGTTACAGATATTATTGAAGAGTGAATTTTCACAAATTCGACTAGTCTGTATACACAATGCATCTTAAGGGACTAGAATTTGAGTGAACACGTATTTTCGTGGAAGTCGTATTTTCCCTCAAATACCCTCAAACACACTGTTCCATCCACCCTACGAGACATATTCACACCAAGTGATTGCATGAACTTGAATGTCAACAGTTGTCTCTGCATTCGCCTACTCTTGAGATTGAAATTGTGCAAAAGTTTAGTTCATAGGATTCTGGAAAATTATTGAATGCAGTGTTCAAGAGATATTAGGATTATCCAATACGATTGTACAAAACTTCAACATCACAGTTGGCAGTGAAAAACTGTGGAGATCTGGTCAATCAATGGAGACAGTAACATAAAACACTTTCTCTTCTTACAAAGCATACTGAGATTTCATAGGAAAATCATGTTGCTTACTGTTCACATCTGCAACAGACACATACAACTTCTTTTTCAGAACCAAACAGAGAATATGTTCCAATGGCTTTGTTTCTACATCTGTTTGAAAACTTCAGAAGGACTGATTATCTCACTAGTTATTTAGTCAACGCTTTGTCCTTCACATTCAGTATGTCTGTCGTACAACTACTTGGATTCATTCAGATAAACCCTAACAACTCTGTTTTCAGTGCATTCGGTAGTGATGTTTCCAAGTGAACTCCCTATTTACTGACATCTTCACTGACAGCTGTTCGTGTCAATCGTGAGTTGAAAGACAGTGGGCTTCTGCCAATTTATTAGTCACACGATGATCTAATTGGAATTTGTAATATTCAGTTTCACATATTGGTGTGTTTTGTTATCTTACATGGTCAATATTGCCATGAAATCACTAACAATTATCAGACGAAGATGAAATTAGTTGATAAATCAACAACCAGAATTTCTACATGTAATACTCGGAATTTAGCTAACAGCAGTTCTAAGCAACTGCTCGTAGCAACAACACTAACCTTTCTGAGGCGTTCAATTTTAAACATGAAAAGAATCTAGTCAGTGCACAGCGGTCACCGCTCGTTCAAATGTGTGAAAGCTTTTACCAATAACAAATTATTCAAAATAACAACGAAAGTCATTATTCCAAGCCTTTTATTACCTTCAGCTATTCTCCTAATCCCGATTCATTTGTGTGCTTCACAGAAAACATCTCACAAAGTGAATGAGCGATCGAATGGTTCGAAATGTCTCGCACACATATAACAAAGTTTTCAGGTTCACATAGATCTAACTGTTTAACTGAACGCATCAGCAGTGCAACTAACATTTGTGGAGAGAAAACAGAATTGTAGGTCATGAATTTACATATGATTCAGATGCGACTGGAGGGTCACTCACCAGACTACTGTCAACTCCTGTACTACAAGCGAAACCTTACCGCTTCAAATTTAGAGGCTGAATCAGTTATTTACTCCATAATGCCTGGGTCAAAACACGTCTTAAACCAGGCTGAGATTCCTGATCACTGCACATCTAACCGATTTTTCACAGTTGATATTGTCTGCCGAAATACATTGTCTCTGTCTTCCTGGTAGCCACTAGGCTAATCTATCAGCCTATTATATTGAAAAGGGCCACTGAACAGCATGTGCAATTTCTCGCACATAAACTCATTCTTTTTCATTCTTTTGATGAATAATTTGACGACAAGAATAAAAGGAATCGTGAAAGTTGAAAGCCCAAGTCTGATATGCATCGACGATAACGCAAATTTACACAAGACACCTTCAATGATTTGCACAGTTAGCTGCGGTCAACAAATACACAGGGTGACAGAGGGGAGGGAGTACGAACTTACTGAACAGCGAGTGATGAATATAAATCGATGAGCAGTAGAGACTAGCAACTTCACTCTGGAATGAATTAATTCACGTAAATCAGCCCACGTTTCTAGTAGAATGTCTTGCCAAAATGCAATACGTGGTGAATCCGAATGTTTTGTACATATCAAACATCGGCACATATTCATTACTCTTGCAATGCGTTCAACAGCAAAACCTGGTGAGTGTACAAACTGATCAGTTATATTCACGGTGAATTCAGGTGATAGTGAAATAGGATCCAGTGAGCGTAGTTCTCCTTCTACAAACCTTGCAAAACATTCACCTAGAAGATTTTCACCAAAATTGACGAACCGATTGATTATGCGCACGCATTCGTTGAGATTGCGACCAGTGTATGTCGATGAAGCCATAATAATTTGTTGATTCAGCCAGTTCTAGTGGATTACGGAAAGTGGGAAAAGGGAACAACAATGTGACGAATGTTTTTTACAGCATCAAGTTACTTTTGTTCATCTTAGGAATAAATGGAAGATTTCGCAAATTGTGAATTCATATTAAAAACAATAATTTCACAAGCTCTCTTCTACTGCCACAAATACCCTGTTTTATTTCCCACTGATAATTGAACCATTAAAAGAGAGAATATTGTATTATGTCCAGAGTGGATTTCAGCTGCCACAGGTTTCAATGTCATGCTAGACAGAGGTGAATATCATTGCATCGCACCTTCTTTGTGAAGATGAGACCCTAGTTCAGAGGACTATTCACTGGGAACATCTACATTCTGAGTGCAATACATATGCACCAGAAATGACTATATTACAATATAGACCTAATTTCAAGAATGCTGGGATTGTTTTTCAAGACCTTCATTGACTCACAAGTAAACGCTGTGTGAAGTAAATCTCAGTATATGGAGGTTCAAACTCTGTGTACACATGAAAGCTTTGCGTGAAATGAAAAGGTTGCTGAAAGACCCATGAAACTGTCACTTGTCACACTGGTCCGTCTCACTGCACTCAAGTTAGTGTAGTAAGGGTAAGGGTTATTTCCTTAATGGTCACGCTTAGGAAGATTACTGTTGTAGCAGCTTACTGAAGAGTGACCAACTGTACAGTCAGTTTATCGTATGAAATCGAAGGCACTGAAGTGTTCCGTTTCTATACCAGAATCTCATTTTTCAACCCTTAAATAATTGTTGCATTATTCACAATTCACTTTTTGGTTGAATAGCTAAGGTAGGTACAGTACTGCATGGCACATGTTCAAATGATTTGGATTATTCAGAAGTTTCAAGAGATTTTCCATGTCAACGGCATACCTGACTTCTGATTACGCTCACTGAGTACTCAACATATGTATCACCTGAAAGGGAACGTACCCTTGGTAACTACACAGTATGCATAGTTATCAGTAGAAAACAGTAAAATATCAGAATTTTTATACTAAATGAAAAATCTATTTCCTAATGCTATATGGCTAGATGAATTGTGTCATAATAATACTTACTGTATTACTGTATTGTTGCATTATGAGATATATACGTATTGCATATTATAGTTTTGTGGAAATAAAATAAATTACTTCCCTTTATTTCTGCCGTAATGTGCAACTGTTATCAGACTACCAACTGTTTCCTTGACAAACGTACTTCAATTTGCCATGAAACGATACCAATTCGAGGGTTGGATAGGTTAAATATGACTGGAGAAATACTAGAATGTCGGAACATTTCTCCTACCGCTATCCCTACTTACTATGGTTTCATGAATAATTAAAGCTCCGAAATTAACGTAAATCCACATTTAAATAAATTCAGGTAGTGAATAACGGTTATTCCCATATTGATTTCATATTGGCATGTAAATTTCATTTTATATGCTGTACTTTTCTGACACAGGTGTCCATGTAGCTTGTTGTATTCAGAGTTCATATTTGTAGGTGAAACATTGATTTTAGGATAATTAAACTGAGTATGCATTAAAATATTTTACCAGGGAATTAATAGACACACGTAATTGCTGCATTTATATATCATGAACTTAGTGAGCCCCACTCATTCTGATAAACTGCCAGAGACTGGCATTACTCCTTCGACACAACTAAATTGTTATCTGATAAACCACCAGGGTAATGTTGTCCATCTTCTATTCGACGTTCTAAAGAACATCTGGCGGAGAAAGTAATTGCAATTATAATGAACTCACACCAAGAAGCTCACGCTTCCCAATTATAAGAGTTCAACCGAGACCCTTAAATCAATAACTCTCCTCAATCTCAGAATGTCACTGGCCAACCTGGTCTGTTAGATGTTAGGCAGATAATCACCCGTCGTTTGAGTCCGACTGGATCAAGCTTGTAAGCCACAGTTTGAAAAGTACTTTTCAATTTTGATGAACACTAGATGATGTCGATATATCAGAGAAGTGACATCAGTGTGTCACTGAGGGTTATATCAGAGAGTGAAACTCTGAATGGAATGTATAAACAACTTCATCTACTGCTTTCATCTGAATTCGGATGAAGATAAATGCTACTCCACCTCACGTCACTGCACTGAGGGTGTCTAGTGTGATTTATACAATCAGTCTTATTCAAAAATCTGTTCACTGATTTGTAAACAGCATAATGAGAAGACGAGGATTATCTGAAAGATGTGGTGTATTAGCGCCAAACATTTCGAACATTCTGATCATACATGGACTTGTCGAACTACCTATACTTATATAGAAATTTACGGAAAGGGCTAATGAAGTTATTTGGAAATATAGGAATAGGAGTTCGTCTTTTCATGTCACATGAATTTTGACTAAAAACTATCATCAGTCATACACAAAGCTCATGATTTTTATTTGCAGTACTCTGCAATCATTTAAGAAAGTTACTAGGTGAGAATAGTTTGAATACAGATACTGTTTCATTGCAGAAGAATATCACGTGAAATAACTACTCATGACTTGTCTGATAAAAATGCTGAATGTTATCTGGTACACTGAAGCTGAAAGCTCAAATATTTCGCTAACAGGTGAAAACACTAACTTACTCTACTCAAATTATCTCTTCTTAGAAATCAAAACGAAGCAAGGAATGCTAATTTCATGTCCTTACATTCAGTAACATAAAAATGGGGGTTGCATTCATTGAGGATAATTTGCACTGAGAAGACATTTTGCCTTTCACCAAATCATGGTATTGATCAAATAGATAATTTTTGATGGAATTTACGCCTAAACTTGTCTTAGCAAAGCATCAAAATTGTAAGGTAAGTATTTACTTACATTATGTAGAAGATTCTGTTGAAATTGTGGGTCACACTGAATAGTCTCTCAGGTTATTCCATAAAGACTGTTCATATGTTCCGCTTTGCCTGAGAAGAGGTTCTTCACTATGCTTATATTTATTCACATGGTGTTAGTTGTAGGAGCTTCTTGAATTGATCAAACTGAACTTATGTCTCATTTATTTCTTCACAAAAATCAATGTTTTTACTAATATACGCTTGGGAGGTGAAAAGTCTAACTTTCAGTAGCCACTGGTCATCACCCTGCGGTAAGCGTTTTGTTATGATTTTGCTTAATTATTATGTGGAGAAGTGCATACCTCACTTATTTACCCACTTTCTCATTGCAGACAGTGAAAAGTTAGGTATTCAGATAGTATGTGCAATTACCGTTTCTTAAGTAAACAAACAGAACTAGCTTCTTTTAGTGGTGGTGGTGGTGGTTTTCCTTAGCCTTGTTTAGTTGGATATTTCCTGCTCGGTTAGCAGACCAATGCACCTGGATGCGATGGAACGTCGACAGATCTAAATATTGACTTGGGACTTGGAGGTGAGTCAAAAATCGGAAAGAAATCTCAATCAGTTTACGTGAATCTACTTTCTCAATGTCTGCTGTGTATAATCTTTTGATTTATACCATTTGCAGGATATTTTATCTAAAGATTTATATTTCTTTGTTATACCTTCCATTGTTACTTTAATAAGCTACCCTTTTAACCAAATTTGAAGCTGGCATCCAAGTCACATGTTAATGAACATATCTAGTCAGCATATTGTTACTACCCTGCTTTTCAAGAGACTTCATACATAGAAAGAGAACTTGCAAGTGACTTCTCTTTCTTGAGAACCATCGGTGCACAGTTTGTCGTGTGTTGCAAAAATTAACTGACTTAGCGCTCACCTTTAAATCAGCTACCTCTTCGTAGACAATGTTCAAGGCTAAAATCTCTTCCAACCTTTGCCTTTTCTGAACACAAACGTCAACTAGACTTGCATACTGACGATCCATTATTTGTTGAATTGATTGTATAACTTGAATCCGTTTCCTTATTTGTTTAATTTGCCCACGAAGTTCACGACGAGTCACCAGATTCTCAGATGAACCGTCAGTAAACGTTGTATGAGGAAGCACAGATTGCGGAGGTTGTTTAGCGTTCTTTCTTAAATTTTCGTTTGTCTGAATTGAATCAAGTTGATTCTTTAATCCATTTTTCCTCTCCGAAAACTCACTCAATAATTTCAGTGATTTTTCATCTTATTGCAAGACATAGAGTAAAAATATAAGATACTGAATAAAACCGTCATCAACACACTGTTAAAATCGAGTTTTAAGTAGCGGTAAAAGCGAAACTCGGCAAATTAAATGCGGTTCGCAAAAATATTGAATTTTTCGAGAAGGCTGAAAATCAGGCAGTCACTGTGACGGTGTTTGGAAACGGAATTAGAAGTGTCGTCATGTATCTGAGATCTCTTGGCTTGATTTCTGACCAAGCTTAGTTGAAACACATTTCTAACGTTCATTTGTGTGGGAGGGTTCTCATCCTACGAAGTAAGATGGAGTCATGTTATCAGAAACGACCAACATGGTAGTAAATATTTATCACATCTAGCTCCGTCTTGTGTCTTAATATCATTTGTTACATTGCACATACACGCAAGTTGCACTTAAACTTTACAATAATACAAAATTAAAATGCAAGAGTGCTTGTTTCGGTCGACTGAAATCTAATAAATCTGGAAGAATGCTAGTGTAGTAAATTATTCACATGGCCCATACTTGAACAGAATCAATCACACACATTTTACTGAGCATGAAGTTACCATATTATTGTGTTTTTTAAGCCCACACGCTGACATTTTCATCTGTCAGCACAAAGATAAACCTGGAACTATTATTCAATAGGATAGCGTGGACTTCATTGTAGAAATAATAGTGAAGCAGTGAATACACTTGCCACGCAGTATAATGCACACAATCAAGGAAAATACTTGGACATTTAACCAAACCAGATATTTTCACGTTTCTTAGACGCTTTTTATGCACTACCTCATTCTGCGAGGTGTGTTCTTTTCTGAAAAAATATTGTTGAGGTCCAGGTTGAGTGTGAGAATTAGGAGTGGCTGGCACAAGTCCTCGCATTTTCATACTAATCGTGCGGCTGTTAGATCACCAAGAAAAGCCCCACTTCTGATTTAATTAAATATTGCCATACTAAATGAAGTTTGAGAAAGAGTTGCTGCAGCTAACATGGATTACATAGACTAGATAGATGTGTTGTCCAGTAAAAGAATTAAATTTCAGAAACAAGTGACTGGTAGTTGGTAGCAATGTGGAAGAAGACTGAGTGACTGCCAGCAAAGCTAGTGAAGAAGGTAAGGCAACTTGCTCTAATCTCAATAGATATGTCATAAAGTGCTTAGATTCAATTCATCTGACATTATTTGACTTATTCCCTTCCTTGCTCTCGAGTAATTGTGTTTCTTTCACAGGTGTTCATGGATGTGCCAAACCTTCAGATTTTTCGTCAGTTTCTGTGGAACCAACACGATAACTTCCTATTTCGCTTTATTTTCCACCTCAATTTATAGCGCATAGTTTATGTGGTCATTAGTTTGCATCTTTGTTAGTCTAGTTGTTGACTTCATTAGTGATCAGTTGAACTATACGATATAGACTTACTGTTATACTACGAATAATCCTGAAGCTTAAATGCTACTAATGTTGATGACGAGGCAGTTGAAACGAAATATTTATTTGTCGCATATTACGAGTATTATTACTTGCCTTTTGGGTTCCTAGAGGAACACAGGGTTTCAGTAGCACGTCGCCATTTCACTCTCTTCTCTCCAGTCTTTTCAACCTGGCTGCATCACTGCCCACAAGCTTTCATTTCTTCTTCACACCATCTCCTCCATGTCACTCCCGTTGTTTCCCATGCGGGTTCCACCCGACAGTCTGACGCTTAATGTCCCCTAATGGTCTTCTCAGTGTATGCCCAATCCAATCCATCCACACTTTCTTCTGCATATTTGTTGAGCAATGGGCACTTTTTGGTTCCGTTCCAGTCAAGGTTCCTTGTTGCTGATTCGTTCTGGCCATATGATTTTCAGTATCAAGCGTAAGCAGCTAGTGACGAATGTCTGTAGTTTGGTGGAAACGCCATTCGTAACCATCGCATAGAAGCACTGACTTGACCGACGTCAGTGTTGAAAATTCGGATCTGGTTCACGTCTTATGCTGAGGACAATGCAGTAGATCTACACACTGATTTCGGGTTAATGAAGGCCTGTCCTGCTATCTTTCCAATCCTGGGTTGACGTCCCCATATGTGCCGCCTGTAGTTGAAATGATACTGCCTAGGTAAGTGGGTAGGTGAAGGAGAAAACTACACCTAGGTATCTCCCGTTGATGGTGATTAGCGCTTGTTGTTGATGCTGTTGTTAATTGGGTATCCTCATCACACCCGTCTCATCTACATACACCTCAAGGAAGTCCATCTTCGCTGCCTCGCCTCTTCTGTCAACTTCTTGATTTTCGCCTGTAGATCTACGGGTTTGTGCGACGAGATATTAGACACAAATCATCATCGTTGGCGAAATCCGAATCTTCTAGGGTCTTTGCATTAGTCCTGCCAGCGTATGCCCATCTTCTCTCTCCTCACCGTTTCTTGTATGATCCAGTCCAGTCGACCACAATCAGCAAGATCGTCGATGATGGTGGGCAGCCTTGTCTTAATCCTGTCTTCACTTCAAATGGGTCACTGAGCTTTCCATTGTGAATGAATTGGCATGTAGCATCACACAGCATCTAACTGTGGAATGAGGTTGATAAAAGTTTGTGCCACTCACTCCGTAGTGTTGAAGCAGCAGCTGCCAAATTACTTGTCGGATGACGCTATCGAAGGCCTTTTCAAAATCGATGAATATCAGGTAAGAAGTTGAATGCCATTCTATGCTCTCTTCTATGATGATACATAGCGTAGTGTTGCAGTTTGATCCACACATGATATGTTCTTCCCGGAGCCAGCCAGCCAGCCAGCCAGCCAGCCAGCCAGCCAGCCAGCCAGCCTGTTACGGTCGGAATCCAGTTGAATCTAGAGCATTTTCCAGTCTCTCCAGAATGACGTGTCTTAAGATTATGCTTGCTTTGGGTGGATGGTAGCATGATTCCGTGCCAGTTCTTGCAAAACTTTGGCCACTTAGGTTCTTTGGGAGTTTGGCTAGGTAGCCCTTCTTCCAATCAACGCCAGGTACATTTTCTTCCTTCCTTCCAAACCTTCTGCAGTAATGATGTGAGCATGTCCACCGATGTCTCCGCCTCTGTTTTCAGTGCTTCTGGAGGAATTCCATCTGATCCTGCTGCTTTCCCGACTTCAGCAACTTTATGGTGTGGCGCTCAGGACTTCACTTCTGCTTTTGTCGGAGGCTTGTGTTCACTGGTAATTCTGTGGCTGGAATGCTGGTGGTATTTCCGGACGAGTTGTAGGTGGTGGTGGTGGAGGTTAATTCTAAAGTTTTTCAAAATGGTCAGCCCATCGTTTCCTTTGTTTCTCCTCTTCGGCAACTAAGTTTCTTTCACTATCTTTCATTGGTTTCATCTGTGTTAATCTCTTCCCTCCTAGAATGTAACCTGGCTATTTGATATGATGTTGTCAGGTCTCCGTCTCTTCCACCTGCAGCCTGTTCTCCTTCACTAGCCAGTGTATCGTGGAAGTGTCTTTTATCTCTCCATACACTCTTCTTCACTCCCTTGTCCAGGAAAGACTTTAATAAGCTGTGTTCAGTTCCTCTTTCCGTAGTCATCTCTTCACTGCACTGCATTGGTTCATCTTCTTCTCCCTCATCTATCAGCTTCCATGTGTCCGTCGAGATCCATTGCTTGTCTTCTTTCTTCTTCCTCCCTAACACGGTTATCCAAGCTTCTTCAACATCACTTTCAATCAGTTCCAGTATTCTTCCACATGCGTTTCCTCGATGATGTTGCTTAATGTCTCTCGTTTTGTCCCGATGACTGATTGATGTGAAGATGTTCTCTGTAGTTTCGTCCTTCAGTTCGGTTTCTGTTCCGGATGTTGAATTTCAACTGTGGTCTATCACCAGCTTCTGTGAAGGCTTTCAACTTGATTGTGAAGGTAGGTTCATTTCACTGGATAGTGAGTGGTATGAACCTACATCTGCTCCTCTTCTTCATCTTGTGTCCAGTAGACTGCGTCTCTACTTTCTTCACATTGAGATGAAGTCGATCTGATATTTGGTGTAGTGTATCCATCTGGTGTCTGGTGAAATCAAATCCATGTTGCTGCCTTGTGAATGAATATCCTTGTGCTTGCAGACCCTGCCTCCAATCACCAAGTCATTATATCCACAGACGTCTGCAAACAGTTCTTCATTCTCATCCATCATTTTACCGAGTGCCTCTCGATCCATGATTGCTTCTCTCCCTGTGTTTTCTGTTCCCAGTTCGGGATTCATTTCATCCATTTCAAACCTCGATGTCACCAACGGAGATGAGATCTCGTCCCTCACTGATTTCAGTTGTCTGTAGAATTCCTCCTTCTCCTCTTGATCCTATTGATTATTTGTAGGTGAGTACTATTGTCATTGTGTGACTGCAAATTTCCTTCCTTTTGATTTGAATCTTGTTGTCATGATCCTGATGGTGAAGGAGATTAGTTCCCTCTGCATGAGAACCTTTGGTACTCTTGGAGACATCATGATAGCCATTCGAAAACTCAGTGTGCTCGTGGTTGTCGTCTGGGTGAGAATATCGGAGTAGATTATTGACTCCTCTCCAGTTGACAGTTTGGGGAGTTCACTTACATTTTATCTGCTTTCGCAGACTCCTAGCACTTCAATGCCATATTTTCTCATCTCTTTTGCAATCTGGGCAGCCTTGCCAGCCAGCTTCAAACATTGTGTGGCCATTCCATGTCTCCATGTTTACTTCCGCTTTCATTGAGAGAGGTAAGGCATATTGGCTAATTGGCTTTCCGAAGTTTTCCACCAACTGGCGTCATTTCGTCCCTCCGATTCCAGCGAGGAATAATTTTATTTTTACTTTTTATATTTTCTTTGTGTTTTGAAGTTTCTTTAGCGACTGGATTTGTTTTACGGGGTAGGGTTACTAGCCCTATGCCCAACCTACCCTGTTTATACGGGCTTAGGGCTGGCTAGTAACTAGTGATGTTTTAAACTAGGCGGGGTTATTTTAGCCGTATGCAGTTTTATTTTCCACCTTTTATTCATTGAGTGTTTCCCTTGTTGTATAGTTTAGCACTGCGTTGAAAGGTGGCAGTTACTTCTGAATTTCAAAATATTACGCCCCATGTCTATAGTATTTCCTGTTTTATTTGTAGGCTTCTATATGTAGAAGGTATTATCCAATTTCAACTTCTCAAGTAAAACTCATACTGAAATTAGGGTGTACCTAGAGTGCCACCTAGAATATTAAAAGTTTTTCAAATCTCTGACTGTGACTGCAATAAGTAACACAACTCTTTCATGTGCCACATTTTCCAAAGAATGCTGTATGAATGCCGAGTTAATCACGATAAGAACAAAACTGAGTCGCAACTTCAATGAATGAATCGCTACAAATCGTAAGGTGTCATTCAGCGTTTCAAAGCAGTTCATGACTACATGAGATTGAATTATAGTCATCCCCATTAGCCACTTTTACATGAATATAACTGTCTACTGAAGGTTGTGAGACCTCACACAACAGTGGAAAATAGCATCACATTGATCATTGATCAGTGACAACTGGATATTTTAAACCTGTTCTTGATACATATGATTATGAGCAATAATTTATGCTCGAAACGTCATCCAGTAAATAACACTAGATCACTGTGTGTTATAAATCAGATAAACAAATCTAATATGGAATTAAATTCTACCACAGTGCCCAAGGTTTACACCTATATTAATACGTCATTCTTTTGAGACAAGCACAAAGCATGAGTAGCAAAGTCATGAGTGATTAACTTTGAGATGGCTGTCAGTTTCTTCTGGTGACATCATAGTTTGGAAAGCATACGTGGCTTATCTGACTTAACGGTACAGTATCAATTCACTGATAGACCTAATGGTCTCTATTCACATCCTGCAAACGTTTGATGAAATGTATGCATTGAAAACCACTGATAAGTACCGTAAAATTTGTGACAAAATTGTTGGAATTTTTCCATCTGAATACATTTACGTGTGAATGGTTGACTGTTATTTTAGTTTGCAACCTTGGAAGTGAGTTTAATTCGCTGAGCAACATTTTAATCAGGATGTAAATGCCTGAACATTTTGCTAGAGCAGTGAGTTTGTTCTCACAGTAAACTTCATGTTTCTATAAAACACAAAGTTTTACAAAAGGTGACAGTGAATCATCCACTTTTTGTCACATAATTGACACGTAACAACTTTCAATTAAACACCAACTCTTGATACTATTCGCTTATTGTTAAGAGAACAACGGATTTGATCTATGTCAGGCAATCAGCTTCATAAGGAAGTTCACAAATGAAGCCGCAATGAATGTGAAGCAAGAATTTTTTACAATATAGCTCATCTTTCTTAAAAATATTGACTATTCTTACCATGAATTTAATTAAGATAGCATGATTTTCACTAACGACAAGAATTAAACTTCTGTCTACCTTCTGTATTCAGATTTTATTTGCACTCGCTTCTCGCACAGCCTAACTCCTAAGAACTTCTAAATATTTCTTACTGTTCAAATGTTGGCCCTAAAAGTAGGTTAAACTCGAGCAGATATTAATAGTATGTGAAGCAATCTAGTTAACCTAGACACCTGAAATACATTTTGCGGAATATTTTTGCGGTTAAACCTAGTGTCAACCTCGAAACACAGTCACTATTCAATAAAATCTTCCCGAAATTTCTCCACAGAATTACCTTTAACAAGAAATAAACTGCTATTTGGGAGAAAAAGCTCAATCCATCACTATAAACATAACATGAAGACAGTTTAAGTAACAGAAGAAAAAAACTCTACAGAAACAGTAATTCCCTTGTGTCTAGTAAAAAATATATATGACCTACAATAAAATATCTTTTTCATTTTTATAGAATATGACGCGAATTCTGTATACACATAAATTATTTAACAGGTTAATAAAAAATGGGGAATCACGAAATTCATAGAAATATGAGTACGAGTAGGATATTTGAGTGCAATTTATCCTATGGAGGGTGGGGGTGAAGATCTCCACTAAATAAGAAATTAAATCTACGACATTTTTCCATACTAATACGCAGAATTGAGAAGACTGTAAGTTTCATCGTCTCAAACAGACATGAACATGAATTATTTTTTTCATTCAGAGTCTTATTTGTTGGAACGCTGACCAAAGATTTACAAATGATCCTCTCGACTGATTCTCGTTTTTAAACATTAAATTTAGCTGAATAATCTATAAAATCACCTTAATTTCATGCGAATTAGTGTCAGGTTGTCGACGAATTTCCGGTCCATTCTACTTTAATATAGTATATTTCAACATGGTAAACAAACACCCATTATCAAGAACCTTAACAAATGAACGTCATTTCAAAAAGTTCCTAAATTTCCATTTACTTCATTAAAAAGTATTGTTGTTCGTGTAAACACTAGGAGAATTAGATTTACTCTTACGAGGTGAAATATTCTGGTTGAACAACTGTAATGGTAGTTTATTAAGAAAGTCATTCAGCTTAGAGTTAGTAAACGTCCAGCTTACAAAATTACTGAAAACCTTCCTAAACACACAGCAGAACACAACCAATAATGATGTTTTTCTTACTGACCTGCTGGAGGCTGTGTTCTGTGCGGTTATATGCCACACAATATATGAACGTAATTAAAACTTATTATTATATAAACTTTCATTTTCTGCTTTTCCTCTACAATTAATATCACTTTTTCTTATTGGTAATGTGGATAGTATCCATGTGCCAGATTTTTGATTCCCCTACCTTCTTATCATTCCTCATTAATATCTTTAATATTCTTATCATGTTATGCTCCTTTCAAGCTGTCGGTTTATCTGATATACATGCGTTTGAATTGTACCAACATTCACATAAAGTTCACTGCGGAAATTCAAAGTTTCATTCTAAGTGAAAACGTTTTACGCTATTACCGTGACTAGTATTTGGTGTAGGCAATATGCTCACTACAAATTAACTTCTGTTAGAATATGTGAAAATTGTGAGGCATTTAAAATATCAGAGCTTTGTACTAAAATCTTATTGTGTGCATCAACTTTTAGGAAAAATATCGCACGAAAAATAAAATGTTTGCCTGAGAAATGTAAACATTATGTTTTTTCACTGGCTCCGACTACTTCACGAAATGGAAATTGTCCCCATCGAAGACTTAAATCGAAACAGAATAATAAATATGAAAACTTATAGAATCAGAAGTTGTTGAACGGTAAAACGAGAACTATTTCAAACTGATTGGATTTATATTGACGCAGAATGCAGTTTGAGGTGGGCGTAAAACCAGATTTAGATATACACAATATTACACGCTAGCATCGGTCAGCTAATCCCGGTGTTTACTAATCATAAACACTATTCAACGCAGGTGACTGCTGTCGTTTACAGTGTGTATTTTCAAGGTGGAACTGTTTAGTTACAACTGTCATTTCGCGGAATGACTTCTGTTTTGTCACCATCTAGGTTGACTCAAATTTGGTCACTTAGTTAATCACAGTTTTGTTCATTGTATCGCCACTAATGAATGACTTTAACAGAGCCGATTGGGCAGTCAATACTCACAGTTTTTCAGTGATATACTTGAAAACCACCTTAAGTTTACTAGTCAGAATGAAAATTACAGTCAAATTTCTTTTACCAAATGGAGAACAAATTATTCAATTGACAGTTTTGGACATCAACTCAAAAAAAGAATAACAAAAGAGTCGAACTTGAGTAGTATGCAAGAGAGGTTTAAACCTAAGAAGTGCATTTTTTTCTAAAAAAAAATTTTTCTGCAGGTACCACGTATTCGTTACGTCATAGAAATGTAGAGTTAACTTCGCAATTCTGTTTTACCATCGGCTATATGACAGTATTGACAGGAGCTTCTTGAATTGATCAAACTGAACTTATGTCTCATTTATTTCTTAACAAAGTCGGTGTTTATTCTCATAAGCAGGTTAATTCATGACGAATTACTGAGTTGATCTATGTATGTCACGCTGTCAGCATCACAGGAAAGTTCACGAATGAAGATACATTAATTTTAAACAAGCAAACTATTCAGTTGACTGATATCAAAAGTATCATCCATATGTCTTGGACAAGTTGTCCAGGGAGTGGAACATTTCATGAGTACTTAACTTGATAATGAACATATGTGGAAATAAGCAACCACTGGAGGTTTTCCAGATCTTATCTCCATTTAATATGTCCCAATTTACACATGTCCTCTGAATGTGAATACTGCAGATGGTAGGCATAATTACAGAGACTAAGATTTCCCTTGCTTCATGATAAGACTGATTACAATTAGCTGTTAAATTAGTGAAAAATGAACGTTCTGCTGATTTTTATTTCAAAGTAAGCCGCATTCAAATGCTTTTCTCAATGTCCTGAAAAAGTATAAGTTTGAGGGATATCGTCCTAAGTGAAAAGTCCAACACCCACAAAGCATTCATGACCACCCAACTTACGTGGTGTATTTAACATGAAGAAGTGCATAAATTGTCTACTTTTTTAAATAACAAGTTTTCTGTAAACGTCTTGTATTAGGCGATTAGGCTGAACACTTTGATCAAATCCAAACTATTATCACCATCCACTCATTTCAGAACTTGACTCCAGATAATGAATAGGGAGTCACACACTGACAGTTCCACCACCGGTGATCCTTTCAAGGAAGTATTTGCATTAAAACATCTTTAGTCAGTCGATAATTTGATAAAAAACCAAAACAAACTGAAGGTAAATTGGAAACTTACTGAATTCTCGAACACAATTCGCCAGTAAATTATTCACTCGGAATTCAATGTTGGCATGCTTTTTCAACTCAGTTTTCGCTGTTATTGTATCTCGACTAGCTCTGGATTCTAACAGCAGTAGATCTTCACATTCTTGTAACCAACCGCGTAACTCAGCGAACTCAGCAAGATGCATGAAACACTGATAGCCTATATTCAAACGATCTGTACGTTTACTCAGTCTGCTATCCAAATTGTTTAAATCATAACGTAGCTCATTAACCGATGTGTGTAAATCATTCAGAATTTTTCTGGGTATTCGATAGTGGACACCAATATCGGTTGACAACTCTACTTCTGTGAACTGACCGTCTTCGTCATTAGTTGTCCTTTCGCGTGACACTTTATCGTTCGACGATTGACTTGTTGCACAACAAGTATTGATAACCTTTTCAAATATGTGCTGAAATCCTTTTATAATTTGGTCCGAGTCCTGAAGAATTTCAGATGATCGGAGAAAAATTAAGGTTCAGAATCAAAACCGTAGCAAAATGAGTTTCTCCGTATAGTAAATGTTGAAAACCAAAGGTATCAGTTTCATGAGTACTTATTATTCAAGGGATTCTGTCTGGTTGTGATAAGTGAAATTATAACGACTTCATGTTTCGAGGAGGACTCAGAGCAACTGTTTCTTGTTTACCGACTCGTCGCACATTCAACTGAGCAGACTGATAACCATCCATTTCATTGCTTCTCAAAATCAGCTTACTGACTGCATGATCAGTGTAATCGAGAAAGAACACGTGTTTCTCTCTCACCTCCATCAAAGACAAACCTACAAAAACTAGTAGCATAAAAGTCTCTACTACCTAGTTGGTGGTCTACTTTCTTGGTCACATCGATCGACAAGCATTCGAGTAACTTGGGGACCAGTTTATCAGATCCAGCTGAAACTACCGTCTTCTCTTTACTTTCACTGTTCATTTGTACAGCTGCTAACTGGAAGTTACTCATGCAATCTGAATAAAAATCCTGAACACGTAATGGATGCTCAGCATAAACACGATATCCTTTGTTTTCATTCCTGTAATCTGCAGTCTGTTTGTAAAGTAAGTCATTTCAACTAGACTTCCTCACAACTGAATAGTATATCTTGATAAGAGACTCAAAAGGACAAGATGTCAGTAAGAGATAAGTCTTTAGAACCAGACTTGTAAATACAACTTATATCTAATGTCAACATTTTCACTCGGTGCCTAATATTCGTGAAACTGTTGAGTCAAATCTTCTCGGGGATTCATATGGACTCGTAAATTGTTTCGGGTGCAGTGAATAAGTACTCAAATTCTGTTCACATAGAGATGGCTCTCTTTCCACAGGGGTTATGGTTAAGACTTTATTGAATTGATGCAAGTTAGTTAGTCTGTAACGACGATGAAATGTCCAAAAGCAACCACGGAGTTCAGAGAACACCACACAGTTTTCCTTCGAAATATTATTCATCATGTACTGACAACAATCGTAGAACCGTTGAAAACTTGGAAGCAGTGAAAAATACTTTGTCCTAGTATGGACGTTCCCATTAGGCTGCTGCCATCAGTCCTTTAGTGACTGAACCCGGGTCTCTCAAGGAGCACATAGCAATTAAGCCGCTAAGTGGGGATCCAGTTGTCTAGAATATCTCAAGTTATCAATGGTTCTGTGGTTGATTTAAGTCACTGATATATATGACTTTGAGACCAATCAATCCTCACAAACTACCGGAAAGAATTATCCCCCAGCTAGCTTGTTTCGAAATTTCAGAGCATTATCCGACAGGACTGAGCCGCTTATGTTGACGCGGAATAAGCAATAGGTCTGTAGTATGGTATGTATTGAACAAACTTCCGGCTGACTGTAATTAATTTCTAGACTAATGATGAATTTGAAAGCGCACAACTCTTGAAAAATACATATGTAACATCTGATCGTCAAAAGGCTGCAATCTAATGCAGAAAGCATTGAACTAATGCTTGATATATAAGATGAATATAAAGGCCTCCATCAACATATCAAACTGTGATCAGATGAGGATAAATGAAAAAGTGCTTGGTAGTGCTTTCCAGTTTCCAAGGTTTGTCTGAATAACATTTTATATAATTTGGTTAGTAATCATATCTCAAAGAAACCCTAGAGCTTCAAACTGATAGTTCAAACGAATGATATAATTTTTGCTCTAATTCTGAATTAAAGATATTTCATGAGTACTAAAGATCCATTCAAAGGCTGTTTTATAAAAAAAAAAAGAAGAAGAAATGAATTCACCCATATGAATTATACTCTTGGATAGTAAAATGATTCGCTAAAGCAACCTGGTTGTTTCTTACCAGCTCTTCAAACTGAATCTGCGTACTCACCCGAAGCATAATATCTGTTCGTTTTGTCCTGTTAGTCACCTCATTCAGCAAGAGGCGATGTTGTCTAATCAGCTGGTTTACAGTAAACAAAGATCTACCTATAAAGGTATCATTGGCAAGCAGAAGTTTTTCATTTGTCCATATTCTTTCATCTTCTAAGTCTCTGGAAGTAGTAGTTATAGTAAATAGTTTCATTAGAAAACTTGCATGCTCTGTGGCATTTTGGTTAACAAGAATTTGACACAATACAGTCTACTTCACTTCACATGATACACAAATCAGAAATTCGTCAGCATTCAAAAATTCAATTTGTTTCTTTATTTGAATATTTGAGTTGGAAATCGTAAATGGATTTGAAGACTGAGGTAGGATATCTGTCACATTCATAGCATGACTGAGTTGTATCAAGATGTTACTTTTAATATCCCACTTTGAAATGCATCGAAAAGAAGTTAAAATAATGAGCTTTCCTCTTCACCTTCCCCTTTATGCGTTTGTGTATACATTCGAAAAGATATCGATTGTTTCATACAGTTTAGCTAGGATTTGTTTGCCCAAGCCACTTTTGTGAAACGTTTATTTTCATTCATGGAATGATTGAGTTCGACAGAAAACCTGAATCTCGTCACTAGTGAGGACGTCAGTTCATAGGTTAAAGATATGAGACTGTGTTAGCTAAGTTTCCTGCCATAAAGAGTGTGAATGTCACTTCAGTCACCGGGTTTCTCCAGTTAACAGTACTTTCAAGGAGAGGTACATGACTTCTTAGTGTTCATCACACTAGTTTCGTGATAATATCTACGTTTTCTACCATGAATTGGGTTTTTTTTGACTAATTACGGTATCGTTCTGAAATATAAATCATAATTAGTGAACCAGGATTTTCCCTGGCAGTAAAGAAAACAGCTTTTCCGGATATCTGATTTATTGTATTATGTTTATCAGATGATTTGTAGTTGGAAGTTATCATCTGGTAAAACAGCCAAAGTTCGATTAAAGTTTAAATGCAATACATTTTATCGAGGAATCCTTAACACTCTCCCTTTTTCTTGACTTGATGAACTAATGTCTTCAGCCGATCACATCAAATTAGGCAGCATCCTACGCTGACCCTGGGCTCTGATTAGGCTTTACAGTGCAACCAGCTAACCGAACGGCATCATATCTTGGTGAAGTGAAGCAGATGATGATAAGTCACTGGTTCTTATACACATGAACAAGGAGTGTCCGCAATCTTTCAGTAACTAATGTTATGGCTCCAATATAGTGCTCACGAGAGTTATTAATCGATTTTACAATTACTTGACACAAGTAAACCATTGTTAAGTCATATATTATACAGGAAAATTAAAGTTTGCGCACACTAATCACCATCAATTCTTTCCACTAGCCACTTACTTGAGTCCCATCCAACACTACATTTATACCTATGAGAACAATAATGCAGTACAGGACCAGAGTCTAGGTAAATAAAGAATTGTGTCTAAGATACAACAAAATAATCAAACCAGGACAAACCTGCCTGTAATTTTCTTACTTATTATCAACTATTCAAGTTAAATTTGTTTACCTGCAAATGAAAAGATACTCAAAAGTTAGAAATGTTAACGTGAACAAAGCATTTTGGAGGGAATATTCTGGAATCCATCGTTCAATCTGTAGCGTACTGTTCGTTCCTTTAGAGATAGCCATTCGAATTCAGTTGATGTAAACAATTCGGCTCTATCAACTGAATTCAACCACATCGAACATTGATAAACTTGGACTGGAACGAACATGACTATCTGACGAGTAAATCACACCTACGCGCGAAAAAATATGCACGTCAGCCTGAGTGATCTCACATTAATTATGCTAGTTAGTACTACGTTTCAATATCAAATACATATTTTGGCATGGATACAGCTTTGTACACACTTTCTGTAACAACTGATTTGTTCCAGTATCATAAATGCTTAGTGACCTTCTGATTATCGAACGTTAACCTAATCCATTATCTCTAGAAGATGACGATTTTCATGGCCCTAATCATCGGTAATTGACAATCGTCCACTCAGAGGTGAGTACACTTTCGGAAGATTCTTCTTTTAAAATTCAATACCAACTCCTCACAATCAGATTTCTTAGAAGCTGAAAACTTCAATTTGGTCTAAAATTTCATTTCACACTAACCTACTGGAATTCGTACTACAAACATGTTCTGCTTAATTTGGTTTCCACTAGGCTTACTTGTCACTTTGTTACATGATTGAATTATCCCTATAAATAAAAACTTTGAAGAAGGGTTCGGCTAGAATCACCGAAACCCAACATCCAACATAAAATGGAGTGAGTATTCAGTATACAGTAAGAGTGATGGAAATAAGCCTAATTTATTACCTATAGAGTTGATGAATATGCTTCTGTGCTTTCAACTCCTCAGCATGTTGATGAACAAATATTTGAATTCTCCAGAATTTTCGGACCAAATCTTGGATTTTTGACCCACCTCAGGTTTACTCTTCTGACTGTCAAGACTTGACAGTACTTTTGAATGTTCCTTGAGAAGAAATTCAAAAGTGAAGAAGAACAACACTTGAACAGAAAACGAACTGATTTTCCAAATTCTTTTCTATTGGAAGTCACTTTATATGACAATCTGGATCATTATTACCATTGTCATTATTATTATAAGGGTCTCCTTAATTTCTTGACGCTGATAAATAGTTCATTTCACGAAGACTGGATTACATTGTCAGTAGGACGTCTCCTTCAGATTAGTCGATAGACATTTTAATTTCATGCATAACCCAATATCACCGGACCATCTAACATTCTATTCTGTGAAACAGGGTATTTTAAAGAAGGACATGCATTTCGAAGCAAAGTTGAAAATGTTGTTTGTGTACACAGAATGACCGGTCAAGTAAAAATTGCAAAATTCGACGAAGAGAATGAGTTAGTTTCATTTCGGGAATATGTAGCAGTAGATGTAAGTACTTCCAAATTATAAGGGTCACCAATGAAATGAGTGAAATAGTACAAATCACTTTAACCTTATTCCAAACGATATCCAGATGTTTTTAATTTGAAACACTAAAGAAGTGGAAATCAGCTGTATGAGTATGAATCTGCATTACTCCTCATATTTCTGCTGTACCGCTTCAAGAGGTGAGGATTCAAGATTGAAATGATCAAGAATCTATGAGTTTTCTGTCATGTTTGCCTTTCTGACATCACTCACCTCGTTGGGAACTATAGACTGGGGATAGTGAGGTCAGGTATCCGACCTAGATGAAGGAGATATTCGGTCGATCGCGTTGCAAGTGTGAATTGATTCCTACACACAGGAGCTAAATTACGCTTGCACAATCACCACAACCATTGGCAAGCATTTCTGGATGAAATGGGATTAGGCTTGAGCAAAGTCAAGACACAAGTCTATGAATTCTCATTTCGTCCCTCCACTTCTGTTTAACTTCTTCACTTACAATATTGCAAACTATGCTGACTTGAATTAACGTGCAATTTGCGTGACTGTTTACGATCACCTATTCGTCGGTTTGAGAAAGTGAATAGAAACAAAATTCTCGCCACAGGTCTAGTTGTATACACTGATCATCCACAGACCACAAACATATTGGAAATCAAGATCCCTATTTTCAGTGCGGTACAAACACAAAGACATTAAAATGAGTAAGCGCAAAGCTAATATAAACTATGAATACCGGGACTGTAACAAGGAAACCACAACCATTGACATAAAAGTCTGTGAAACGTTTACTGGGCAAACCTGTGTACAAACCTGTGTATCCCGGAAGTGTGAAATGACCAGTTTGCATGATTAATTTGTATAATGTCATGAGAGGACTGATTATATCACAGAAATGTAATTCACATGTACAACAGCCTCAGGTCAACATTGTCAAACACCTACTTCTCAGGATAGTTGATATTGAAACAATGAAAACAATGGCGATAAGTTAATCTTTAAGCTTAAAAAAAGGGATTCTAAGCTATAGGATGATGTGCTTTTACACCACCCTCGATATGGAAAGGAAAAAGCAAGTACCAGTCTTCTTCGTTGTTGAATGAAAATGACAATGTAAGTTGCACAGATGCTGTCAACTTTGCAACGCTGACAGAAGTGTTTGTCTCAGAAATGAACATACTTGTGGTCAACACACAGACGTAGATTCATCCTATTTTCTGGTCAAAAGTGAAAGCTATCTACAATGGTAAATATCTACTTGATCTATTTGTCATATATCCGAGTATAACAGATATTTGCTCGAAACAAATCAAGGTGTGTATGACATGTGGACAGACCAGGTGTCTGATCTGTTTGGAGCCATACCTATGTGTGTGTAGGCGTTGTGGCAAATCGTTTCAAGATTCAACACTGTCACACATTAGCTATCTCAACCACCAACAATACATGTTTTTCTGCAGACATTAGAAGAGGAGGTAGATTCAAACTGATTGTATAGTACTTTTGTGGAAATTTCAAGCTAAAAATACATATTCACACGTAGACATTGTAAACAGCAAGTATCAATTTCATGATGAACAGTCGCATATCAACATAACATAAAGTGACATTTTTCACATTTGCACTGTTAATGACATTTCCATTTGGTATGGTTCTGGTAGGCATTTTCAATTTAACCTTCTCGCTAAAATGATAATGCGTAGGTTGGATACCTGACAATTTTTGCCAATATAATGAGTTTACCACTGATCTAGTCCTCCAGATTACGTGTAGACAAATGTCATAAGAAGTAATGAATTTAACTAAGTGTCATGTGATTGAAATTTGCTTTCATTTTCATCACTCGCAAATTGTTTAGGAAGAAACTGCTGACGTAATCAGACGATTCTTTCCATGTCGTAAATACTTAACTGTGTATACAATGGTAACTTATATTCTTACTAAACGGCTAAACCCTTTCGACATGTGTTAACGGATATGATCGGAAGGAAAAAGTGAGGGTCACTTTAAGTTGTATCACGTGGTTTAATGGCCTCATGTGCATATGTTTCACATCTGAAATCAATTTCATTCCCACTTTATTTTTGTTGGGTTTAATCTACGACCATCAAGTCTGTTATGGAATTATTATTATTATTATTATTATTATTATTATTATTATAATTATTCAAGATTCAGTCAACGAGTTTATTTCGGAATTCGGGTGAACTCATATATACCTGTTGGGTGTCTGGCATGATTGGGGATACACGAGCAAATAACATTTCTTTGAAAATTAAAGTGGAATCCGACCAACAAGATTTTCGGCGGAAACTATCAAGCTTCCCGCTCTAATAGGTCGAGAGCAAAGTGGAAGCAATCTACAATCCTGTGTCCAATTTTAGTATGAATAACTTCAGACGGAAGTCAGTATTAGACTACAGATATTTGACTTTCTGTTTTGTTCGATTGACATAAGTACTTCGTGAGAGTTATCTCACTGAGAAGTGTTTTGATTCCCAAAAGAATCCGGCTATGCTAGTTCGCACAAAACTCCAAGAGGCTTCTGACTTCATAATAACTACACACATCATACATTGAACTAAATAGCCCCTCACTAAGTCTTCCCTGAATCTACTACAGAAAAAGAGAAGTACACAAGACCTACAGTGTATAATATACAGTAATACTTGTTTGATTTCCGTTCTACGAGGCAAGTTATTCAGTTACTTTGCAAATATATGAGGAAATCAAATAACTGTTTGCATTCTCTCAAAAATAGTCAAACCAAATGAATAGTTCAGATTTTGCCAGGTTATCAATCTGCCTTCTAGGTCAATATTTACCTTCCAATCACACATAAGTGAAAAAATCGGAAACGAGAGAGAATTTGAAATTAACAATGAAATCGGTGCATTTACAAGCTCGTATATTGCTATCTAGGCTAACTGAGATGAATGTCAAACTGTTATAGAACATTTTTAGACACTACTAGCTAGACGAAGCAGTGGAGATGAGCAGGAGATTTGTGACTACCACTGATTATTCGGAGTCATCCAGTCGTTCAGCAAGCACTGTGTGAGTACATTTCAGGGTAGCTGTGCTGCCGGTAATGAAGTTTGACCGAAAAGAGTGGCTGTTACTTCTTATCAGCTGTCTGGTCGACTCATGATATAACCTCAATTCACATTGAGGAGGTCCATCGTGTGACCAATGTCACATTTAGACGAAGAGTGCAGTGCAAAGAATGCAGTTTAACAGATGAGGTTGTATATCCCCAGAGATTCAGAATGCTTAAACACCTGATGGGGATTTTGAGACAACCACTACCTAGACGTGCAACATGAGCTGGAGGAGAATGAAGTTGGAGAAAGGCTCAAGGTGGTCAAACGAGAGTGTGTTACCGGACCGCAGCTATTGACTATCATTCTCAGTCGTGTAGGGAGGTGCACACTCTCCAGCTGGTGTCTACGAGATAGTAAGAATTAGTGCTGGAGACGCTTGATCACATGGCTGAAAGTCAGTAATTGTGGTGGAGATGAGTTCTTTAGGTTGTATTGTGTTCTCTGAGCTGGGTTGTTTAATCGTGAAGCTTTCATCGCAGAGGAACAGCCAACAGGAGAGTGTATACAATCAATGACACAACAGTCAAAGGAAACAACCAATCACAGACCACATCGTCAGAGCAAGCTACTAAATCACTCACGGAGAGATATTGACAGCTCACTTCATACTGAAGTTAGTACTGATGATGTCATCTAGCAAGGCGATGAAAGCTTCACGACTAAACAACCCAACTCAGAGAACACAATACATCCAATACCATCCATCTGAGCTACAAATATTCTCCTTCATTTCCAGATGGGTTCTTTGTTTTACGTCTTCTGATGCTACGAGATTTTCATTAACCCCGATTTTCTAATTCTTTTTACTACCGTACAGCATTTGCTACTTTGATGGCACTTGTTCACTACCTATCTATCACTCAAAAGCTGCCGTGAAGTGTGGAAACTGGAACCGATGAGAATCTCCGCCAGGTTCTGCACTGATTTTGCTTGTCTGTCTGTCTGTCTGTTTGTCTGGCTGTTTTATGCTGAAATCCACTAGAAAAATACTTTGTTGGTCATGACAGGAAAAAGTAGAAATTCTAGAGGTTACTCGAATTTATCTCACCTTTCTGCAAAATGTACAGAAGTACTGACCGCTGTATTCAAAATGACTGCCATAGACTTGGTTTACAAAATAATTTACTGTAGGCGGTGTAGTATGTGACAAAATACCACAATGAGTAACGCTTTCGACAGCTTATGCAGATGGAATTTCGAAAGTTGCAGAGATTACCGACAGTTATGAAACACACTTTCTTACATAAAAATGTCGTTATTTGAAAACTGACAACTTGTAGTGCTAATCTGCACTAAATATCGCCTAGTTGATCGAAATGAATAATCCATGAGGCTGCATAGTACAAGAAATGTCGTTTTGAAGGATAAGGAAAAACCACCCACCCACCCACACACACACACACACTCAGAATAGTCTACTTTCTGACAGAGTTCGATGTGAGGATTAGCACAGTTGGTTTGACATGTTTGTGACAACCTCATGATACTTCATTACAACAGAGGATATCTTTTTCGTGACCACACACAAAGATGCAGAAGAGTGAAGAATCAGTCGACCCCAGGAAATATCTATTTCGTGCATTGTGCCCTTCAAAAATCAGCTGCCAGACTTATTAAGGAAAGGATACAACTGTGGAAAATGCAGTCCCATATAAAAGGTCATGTTCGACCAACTTCGAGTTCATTCGTTTCTGCAGTCACTTGCACCTAATCACCTTCCTTCACAAATACCTAAAGTAAAGTAACTTTTCAAGATGTGAGGTGTTAAGGAAGGTGAGCAGTCCTCACACACCAAAGTATGCTCGAATCTCTCGACCATCAGCACTATTCTTCCCTGTTGCTTCAACAAAATTAAAAATTCCCCCTCTGAATCAGTTCACCACATCCAGTTCTGCAAAATGTAGTGATAATTAGAATTCATCAAATTTGTACACTTAGTCATCATAATTCTCACTTCAAGCTTGTCGATCACATGGCATAATAACAGCCAATAACCATCCTAATTAATCTCAATTTCGGTCCCATCGAGGTTGCAGATCCGCTTTGCTGACGAGTGTCGGCAAGCAGGAGATCCAGGTTCACTGCTGAAGTTCAACTGCCTCCAAACAACTACTGATCTAGATTTCTTTGTTTGGCTTTGGTCACTGCGCTAAAACAGTGCTATGCAGGCGATTTCAATGATGAGTCATGTCAAAATACTACACCAATCTACAGATAGCTAATTGTTCATATACCTCCATTGAAACCTTGTCTCCAAATCAAAAATATACAAGGTAATCGGAGGAGGAAGGCAATGGGATGATAGTTTAAGAATTCCAGGCCAGCAAGCGATGAAAGCGACTTTTCACTATCACTGCGTTTCGATAACAATCTTTTAGTAAGACATGTAAGTAAATAATATTGTTTTCTACTGGGTCTCCTCTGGCGTTAAACGAGTCTCAGTGTTGCTAACGCTACCCTGAATTTTATGCTTGTTAACTTTGAATCACTAGCAAACAAGAGCATTCACCACCTCTAACATTCTCTTTGAATTGCATCCGTTTCGTTTCAGTACTTCCGTGTTTCAAACAACTTTTTGAGCTTGTACATAATGTGCACTAATAAAAATATGATACATTGTACGGGAAATTGAAATTCAATACAACATTATCAAAAAGGTAGGACAATTGGCGTTTCCAGTGTGAGGAGTAAACGCATATTTTGTATTTCCCAGATCATAATGAAACAAAAGATGATTGATCTGTGAAACTCGAAAACATTTTTCTTCCAACAAGGGGTCTTTAGTATTCATTTGGACGGTGCAATGATAGACATCGGTGTAAAGGTGAATGCGATTGGACTACGTCAAGTTTAGCTATGCAATACGTAAACAATCATTATTTCTAAGTATCATTTGGCAAATGGTCATAGATTAGTGGCTCCGAAGGCTTGAATAAGGAAAGGAAAAGTAGAAATAGTAAATAAACTGTATTCTTTTGGTGGTAGTGAGTGCATCATTAGCTTTTCTAAAAGTCTTCACTTTATATCCTCCTAAAGAATCGGGCTTATGACGTCTTTGCCAAGATAAGTTAGTTAACGAACTAGTTTTCCTCATAGAGGGTGGTATGCTAGTTTTAATTATTCCGATTCCACAACGACACAGTCTGTTTGGAAGACTAGTCGCCATTGAAATAACACTGTAATATGGTTAAAGGAGGTATTTGCTGCAACCCACTGCAGCTTTGAACTACAAATTCTTGTATTAAAACGATGTGCTTGGCTTGTTCACAGCTTCGTGAAATAAACGTGACTATGGAATTGAGGTTTGACAGTAGCGTTTACAAAGTTTTTCAACTGTACGACATTTCAATTAGCTAGACATCCAACCTCAGGTTTCCTGTCAGACAGAGTAGTATATACTCTGCTTACCATAATGAATGTTTTACATTGTGGGGATTTTGCTGTCACCTTTCTTGCTGTGGCGGAAGTATCTTGATAACTTGGGTTCGAACTTCCTGGGTTTTGGAAAACTGAGTGTTGCCAAATGCCAGAATACGTGAAATGTGGAGTAAAACCTGCTCATCATTTATCTAATTCTTGGAAACTCATGGCTGTGGATGCTAGTTGACCACCGAGTGGGTAACACAATCCAACAACTATCCTGTGTAGTCTATTATGTCAGTGAGAATTCATGAGAGAAAAAGAAATGGCCTAAGCAATAATTTCAAAACTCCTAAGTGGGTGTTCAAATCCTCAGTGGTGTTACCATGAAAAGAAAGGACTATGGAAAGTCCATCTAGAATACTTTACAGTGGGTGACTAAGGTGCCATTTCAATTCACAAACTCAATTAGAGGGAAACCTTTTAACATTGAAAGAGTAATTCAATGCATTCAGGGTGAAATAAACTAGTCAATTACACACTATGCTTTACTCTGAACTATAATTATTTTACAGTATAGAATTCTCAGTTGCCTCATCGTACAACATTTTTCCAATATCTATTAACAACGGTCCTAGTTTACTATATAAAATCGAGAATAACCGGATTATTGAAATGCCTAATGACTTCAGAATCGTGATAACTGTTTGTCATTACAAAATTGATTGGTGGAACTATTTCTCACATGCTTTCATTCCTATAATACACGCTAAATAAGGTATGATTGAACTTGAGTATGCAGTTGTGCTTCCATAAATTTTAATGTATTTGTTTCTCCGCCTACTTTGAGGTCGGACATGGTGAGAATTTCGGATGTTAATAATGCTTTTAATCAGATACAGTATTTGCAGCTAGCTATCTACAACAACAATCAGATGCATATCCACAATAGCATTTATCAATACAATGAGTGGTGTACCACTCACTGTACTAACAGCCTTCTAAATTCTACGCAACACAGGATATTCTTTTTTCCTGAGTCTAGGAAAGAATAAGGGTTAAAAATAAGTAAGTGTAGGTAAAACGCGAGAATTAATGAAACGTCAGCATAGAGGTTGATTAATGCACGACAGCCTCAGTTTCCTGGGGTAAATGGTTAAACGAAATATTTTCTCGGAACTCAGTAAAATGTGACGGCATCAAGAACGATCAGAAGAAAATTGTATGCCAAGATGGATCACACTTGATGCTTTGGAAAATTTCAGCTGATTGGAGGCAGTCAGCCGGGAACGCTGAACCTACGCTTCGTGCTCGCTGGCAGTGACCAGGTAAGGCGTATCTACAACCTTGATGGGACTGATGTCCCGCCTGGGGTTCGAACCCAGGACTAGGACTGGGACTCTGGACTAGACAGCATAGAACTGGCTGCTTTCCCGTGACCAGTTAATACTAGAAACATTCTCCATCACAGATTCATCAATAAGACAAGGGTCATTGGTTGCGAAGCAGCTCATATAAGTTCTGCTTGCATCTGGAATTAACCATCCGACATCTGCAGGGATTGAATGGGTGGTCATTCAAGAAAGATCAGTGACAAGTTTCGGTTAAGAGGTTATTAAATTGTGAACAATCTGAAGAGGAGATGGGCGGCCCGGATACTGTTAGGCCATCCACGTGCCTAACAAATTTAGAAACATCTCAACTTACATGAAGTTCAGCTAACAGCTTCTTTTTTGAATCAAGTTCACTCAAATATTCAGTAATTTTGTTTAAATGTACGCTAACTTCATTCATACTGGTACACGCTGACTCATTAGCTCTTTTTGTCCAGCTTTGCTGCATATATCGGTTCTGTAAAAGGTTGTCTAGCATTTTATCCACGGGTTCTACTTCGCCATTTGTTGTCAAATCAAATTCGTCTGTTAAATATTTCAACAAATTGTCAACCACCACGAAAGGATCTTCATCAGTATGTTCCTGTCGAAACTTTACAAAACTGTCAGGAGGTCTGCGTGTGAGAACTCTCAAAAAATATTTATCCAACCAACGATTTAATTCACTGCACCCATCTTCGAATATGACACCTGGTCGTTGAAAAGAAATACATAAATATAAATTCGAGAATTTAGAGATGAAAAATGCAGTTAGTTAGAAGGAGGAAAGTAAACTCAACTTTAAAGTCTTCCTAGTTTTCTTTCGAAATCAATTATATTTAACTACAGCATGCAATGTGTTCCTCCTAATTTTCAGATGACATTTACTTTCTAAAGTATCCGAATTTTTCAGAGAAAAATATTTCAGGTAATAAGCCAGATAAAAATTCAGTTGCTGTTTAAATTTTTAGACCACACTGACGCATAACTAATAAACGAGTCTATCTGTACACCGTTGAGTAAGTCATAATTTTGAAAGGTGCTCAAGACCCTTTGTATTAATCATTCTCTATGGAGGACTTAACAAAATATTTACTTGTTTGTTTGGAACAGATGATTAGTCTAACTACTTCACACCACGAAGAGCAAACCAGTATTGACTCGTATCGAACTAGTTCGACCTCAGATAGTTTCTCAACCTTTTTTCATATGCTAATTAACTTTTGAATTGCAGTTAGTTGTAGTATGAAATACTTGCAGTATGTAAGAAATTCTGACTTCAAAATTCAGCCGTCGTAAACTGGGTATCACTACTACCCATTTTGTAGTTAGTAGAAATAGTAACCCGGTAAATTTAATGAACAAGTAGTGTGGATGAGTTGGAGGCTAAACTGAGAGTAACTTATTGATATTAAAAGCACAGGTGGTTTCATCAGCAAGATGGTGATGTGACGTTGTTGAGAAGACGTTTAAAAGACATTCTACTCAGCAGGACATTGTCATATCTCCCACAATTATCCTGTTCTCGGTGCAAGATTTCAGGATTATCAGTGCGGTTTTGTCAATAACTGGTCTTCGATTATCCAATATTCTGCTTGATTTAGGCATATTCTGTTTCAAACCACTGTAGCCTGATTAATTTTATCTGCTGTATACAAAAGACATTCGTGACACACTGGTGATTCTCCCAGCCACTAGTTTAATTTAACGCCATACTTCGATTGATGATCTTTTCCTGTGTTCTGTTCACATTATTTCTTTTCTTAGTTTTCTGCTGGCTTATTATACTGTAATTATTTATTGGTTGCACTCGGGAACTTTAGTCAACATTTCCACTTCCTTTTACGCATTTTGGAACTTAAACATAGTTATGTTGTCAGTGATCTCCATCCTTATTTCTTTAATTCGCAACACCATGAGTAACTTTGAATTCGTAGTCATTGTTGCTTTCGTTTACAACTGGTTGAATGATATTTTTTGTCATTAATTGTAAACCGCGCATATTAATGTAGAGACATGCATTGAGAGCTGATTGAAAAGAAATATTTTTAAGCTTAACTCACTGCTCATTTCAGTTAAGTGAGTCGATCTTCCTAGGTGGCTTTTGCAAGTGCTTACTAACTATACTAAATTAAAGGAACACAAACATATTTACCTAACACGCAGCCAAAACTCACAACTCACGGTTCAAAAGAACTTCTTAGCAAATACTGGTTTTCACGGTTAATGATATACTTATCAACAGTCGAGGATCGATACTGTGTACTTCTTACTTGATGTACCTTACAACTTGGAGGAAACTCTGTTAGTGCTTCTTGAGTTACCACCACCCTATACTCAACAGACAATCTACTGAAAAATATTAGTCTTGCTCTATCATCCTGTCACTTCATATCTTCTATTACCTTAGTTTCATTCGTTTGACCCCATTCTCTTCTTAATCCTCAAATAAAATTATTTGGCTGGTTAGTAAATGTGTGAACAGATTGTTCGGAATGTATGGCTAAAATACGTTACATTTCCGAAATGGACTCCGTCTTCTCACTACATCATTCTCATTATTTTTTACAAATGTACAACTGAATTAATGTTTTTGTATTATCCCGTCGTTCAGTGGACTGAATTGATCTATTGTTATGTGTGCTCCTCTATGGATGCCTCGATATTGCCTGTATTTCATTCATATATTCATGATAGATAATGACTGCCAGCGGAATCCGGGAACAGTCCAAAAAGGACAAAACGAGCGTTATGGACTCCACCACCAGCCACTTTCTGTCATTGTTACAACTGAATTCCCTGCACTCATGTTACCGTTGTCAACTAACCTAACTAAGTAGATTCATTATCAAAATTCACTGGAGAAATATTTCCCACAAACAATCATTATTTCAACACATTCCATACATGTGCACACTTATGTATTGTTATTTTACCAGCTAATTTAGTAATCTTTCTCAGACAACTGTACATAACTTGATTTCTTTTTCACTTCAACACCTTTGTCAACATAGTACTCAGGCCTATAGGGCAGGCTGTGAAAAGCTTTCGATAAAAAGAGACCTAGATCACAATGAAAATGCTGATTTAGATGCAGATAAATCTTCTGGCTTGTAAAAGTATTGCTAAGACAATGCAAGACAGTGTTATCATTTTGACTGGAAGTAGATTACACATTTAAGACGCTTCTTCGGACGAATTGTGTATCTAAGTGAGGTCAAGTCAGAAATGTCTGCTCTTCTTGGGGATAACAGCCCTTAGGAAGGAAGTGATCGCTGTGCCATCATGTACTGTGCGATGACAATTTTCAAATGTACTCCTTCTCAGTTAGGAACCATCGTTTGTCAGTGGACAAAGCCTTAGATAAAAAAATCGAATATTCTATCTTCGCTTAAAGTATAACTGCACTTTGTTATGCCTCCAGTCTATCATAATACAAATATCAAAGTTAATGAAAGGCAAACTTAATCGCTAGAAGCTGAAAGTGCAAACAAGATAACAGTTGGTTATCCAACCTCTCATCAGCTTTCACAACCACTTTCAGCTACACTTGAGATGATGCACAATGCAAAGCAACTGGCTCCGTTCATTTTTTGAAACCCACATTAAAATCAGTCAGAAGTCAAGTCAAAGATGAAAAGCATTCGGAAACTTCTGCTACATTTGCTGTGATACTGCGATAGCTGTTTTCCTATCTGCTTATTCGTCTTGCTACACTGAATAGATACATTGCTTGTTTTGCTCGTTTTAAACCTCTGTTGTATCTTGCTGTAACCTCAACGCCACTTCTTATCCTTGTAGTGACAGGATGTGGCATCAGTTTTATATACATACATGTGCGGACCCTTGAACAGCAACCTTTGGATTCCACTCGTAATAGTACCTTGGTTTCTCTGTGAATGGAAAAGGTGGTTAGATAACGAAGGTGTACTGTGACTTCGAATATACACACAAAATACAAGGGTTCATACACATTTTAAATGCTCTTGACTATTTCCAGGCCTTTCTAGATTTGAATGTCCTATTGGTTTTCGTCCTCCAACCAATATGATATTTACACACGTTGGATTATGTGCTTTCTCTCGAAACTTCGGCGCAACATGACTGATTACAAAATGCTTTAGGGTGATACGGCTCCTATTGAAGATTTTGTCGATATTACTCAACACTATAAAAGTTAGGTTCTATCACTTCAAGAAGAATAATTAGATTGTGATGAAAGTGTTAAAAATATCACGCGACAATTTGGTTAATATTGGTGCCAGGAAGCCATTTGGAACTGGAGACCGGAATCTTCGGTTAATAAAGCTCAGTACTGAAGTTGGAGCGAAACGTGAATTTAAGCTTTGTGTTCATTTGCATACTGAACAATCAATGACTTGTCATTCAATTCACAACTTTGTTTACTTTAACCTTGAGCTTTTTACTTAGCAGTATTTTCGATTGTCACCTGCAGATGTCACTTGGCTGTACTGATGCAAAATTTGTCAACTTGAACTGACAAGCAAGTATATCAGGTTGAATAGCACATATGACTACCTACAGCTTGGAAGTCCTTTCGTGTTATTTGGCCTCGAAGCAGGTCTAATTTGAGAGAAAGCGCGACATATATTTGCCTCCATCTCCCACTCAGCATCTTCTAACAATATGGATCCAGGCTGAAACGACTTATATCAAGTGCATTTCAATTTCAACAAGGCTATATCTCAAAAGCATTGGTATGTGCCTATACATTATATACATGACGAATGTGTCTCTATTTGTGTGACTTGGTTGTATATTTCCTTACTCTAGCATATTTCTAACTCAGTGTGCTTTTGTTCGCATCACGAATAGAATAAACAACCAATACTTACAAACTGAATGAAGTGGAATATCGAATTCGTTCTTATATTTTATACTTCATTTACATCAGCCAACTGGTTTGTTTCCTTGTCAATGAACCATATAAGTTGTGACTGTGGTTTAGAGTTCTCCAAGCTTTGGAATTAGATAGCAGGTTTATTATCACCTGACTTCTTTAAGTCACTAGAGCCAACTTCATGGAGAATATTGGCGTCATTGAGTCTGATGATGAGAAACTTGTTGTCAAATACTACAGATCACATAGTATTACGCCACTGACATCATCCTGAGTTACAAGTTCTATGAATTGTGAAACATCATACAGAAACGGATGATCCGACTGTATTTAGAGCTACAGCCTGGTCTCCCAGTTCAATCTATCTATTAACTCACTTCGTCTGTCAAATCCAATCATCATTCACACAGACTTGTGCCTTCTTATGGCCATCACCTGGTGAACAGTTTTAGCAATCCAATTCGATACAAACGTGAAAAATATTAAAAATAGACATTATATCAACCATCCAAATCATTCAAGTTCCATTAGAAAACTGTAGTGAAGGAGAGAAATCTTGAAAAACAAGGACTTTTGATAATGAAAATTCCAAAGATCAATAGTTATGATGGAATCAGCTTCACCTTGTAAATGAAGTAAGAAAATAATTAGAAAGAAATTTTTTCATTCAACGTACTATCTCATTCTCATGTCAACACTTTTTAACGGTTTATCAAAAATCCTGACAGATTTGGTAAATGGTTCCGGAAATAAAACATTCCACTGATATTCTCGTGAACAGAATGAGCAGATAGCGGCTAATTCGTTTGGCAGTATGAAGCAGTCGGTGATGTTTAAAAAGCCGAAATATTGTTAAATTTATTAAGGTGATAAGCAGATGTTTACGCACCATTAAGAAAATCTCTGAATTACCTCTGTGTAGCTGAACCATAAATGCTCCTCTCTCCCGCATCAGTTCACGTAAATTCTCCCACAGAGTCATTAATTCACCGAGCGCTTCGCTTAACTGATCTGCAATACGTGGATGCTGAACAATTGTATTCACTACAGCCTGTTAAAACAGAATCATGGTGAAGAAGTGAGAACAGCCGAAAGTTTAAAGAAACTGTTGTCAAATTATGCACCTCTGCTTACAAACAGCTGAAAAAACTCAGTTATCGGAATCAACTATTATTGATGGGATGATTCCTAATGACAACTCCCACCAGTTGATCATGTGACCATTTATTAATCAGTTTTCAAGGCAAGCAGGTTAACGTGGTTATTGGCACCAATGTAGATTCATCAGAGCATGAAACACATTCGCTAACTCAGTTGTAACGATTTCGATCTTGCCAGTCAATAAGCTGCATGTCTCAAGAAATCTCAAGACACAACAGCTCGAATCTGTCTACTACTTCGCGTTGCTAAGATATAGCATGAAAAGAGACGAAAAATTCCTCCCTTCTTCAATCTCATATAACTAATAAAAGTACCCAATGGGGAATACGGCTAATCCAAGAGGACTCTGAATGTAAAAGAGATTTGTGAGAACTATTTTAGTCGGTAGAAAAATTAAATTGGTCCTAATTCATGCGTAATTGGATTTAGACGTGAAGTATTTGAGTACATCTAATACAATAATGAGGAGAAAATAAATTATCACCTTTTTTGTCACAAGTTCTTCACTAGTTTGCAAACATCTTTATGAAATGTAACGATATGATCAATTTCTGGGATTAAATTAGCGAACGTGTATGGCAAACACTAAAAACATCATTTTGCTTGAATCACAGCGAGCAAGAGTAAGTCTGAGCAACGATAACTTTCTAAAATTTGCTCACTTCTATAAACGTTATCACATACTTCCAATGACATTCTAGAACTTTATCGATTGACGTAAGTCAGTACTAAGCATTAAGAGCCTTACAGGAACATTAGCTATCTTCTGATAACCGATTCGGTTACATTATCCAGTTCAACACGTAGCTAAACACGAATTGAACAACTATGTGATGAATTCTATAAAGTCAGCACTGAAGGATGCATGTCTGAGTTAGCAGGCGAATCCCTTCTCCTCAGGCCTGCAGATACGCCCTGTTATAGTGTGTCGACAAGCCCGGAAACCTAGATCCAACACCTGATGATCCGCTCATAATCTAAATACAGTAAGTTACGGTCTTGAGTCACATTTTGCTTCATAGCCAAGTCACAGAATGAGCTGATAAAACTTCATCCATGTTAACCCCTGAAGACTTGGCAAATACATTAATCTGTCTGTAGTGACCGACTGGAAGAAATTGAAGTTATCTGTCTAAAGTCTAGTGCAGGTTGAAAACTGAGAGCCTAGAACAACAGTCCACAGCTCCATGATAATTTGAATGGGAGGTCGTTAATATAAATAGAAATAGAGCTTGAAGAAAAGTGAGACGCCCATAATCCTCATATCTTTTTAAATTTTATGAGAATTCAGTCAAAAAATAAGTGGTAATTACACTGAATTTCTCGCTTTCTATGGCAACTTTCCTTGCTTCACCGAAATTCATAGGCAGAATGTGACACTTAGAATATTCCTCTCTCCCTTAGAGTAATTTGATGAGTATATGAATTATTCTTCCCATCCTCTTTTACTTAGGCAGCTGCGAATCTTGTGAAAGGAAGTGGAGCTCGATAGGCAACTTGTACACATTTATAAACTCACCCTCCACTACTTCGTAAGTCTCAATACCTGCTGGGTGACTGCAACCTAGTGCAGTAACCGTAATATTAGTGTGTTGTTTTTTAATAAATTTCCTGGTGCTCGATAAAGTCTAATCCATGAAAAACGGCCCAATCATTGTATTGGTAGCCTTACAATTTGGTTGCTGGTGGCTTGTGGAGAAATGTAACCAGATATTGCAAATATCATGACAGTTGGCCTTCAGTAATAATCTGACGTTGTAGTAGCATTCATTGGATCTATCTGATCAAAACTTTATTATACTAAATACTGCAAAAAGTTACCTTATATCAACTTACTTGAAAAATTTGTTTAATCCGTTCGTTGTTTGACTCAAGTTCACTTTCCAATAAACGATGTTGAGCATATTGTCGACTTACAAACATTCTGTACGGGATCATTGAATCCCTTCTCGACAAAATACCAGCTTCATCCCATTCTTCGATGATTTCTTTCTTTTCTTTCAACCATTCTTGAAGCTAAAGATCATTTGATTAGTTAATTTTATGTAAATCATACCAAAACAAAATTGGCATGCGCAGTAAAATACTGATTTTTCTGGTGCAGATGCCACTTGAATCCCCTTCGCTGGTTAATGTTTTGTCAAGCAATAACGAATCGATGATGTATGCAAAATACCATGCACCAACTACACCAGATTAAAATGTCATGGATCGATAAGATACATCGGTGGATATGCTGCTGATCGTCTAAGATTATCAGACAGTCTCTCTGACTTGATCCTTGAACCGCAAGCTACCTTACGCTGCGTGGAACTAACACAGCCAGTAAGCTGTCACAAATCATACATCAAGCTATCTTCAAAACCTTAAAAGATGTAATCCAGTCAGAAATTGAGTTTAGTAAATAATACTATTGCACTATGCGAAACATCTGATAAACAGACTGAAATGAATCCATTTTCTTGATTAATTAGTTTGGTTATTGGGAACTCATTGAGAAATAGACCGTAAAATAATCGTACCGATAGCAGTACAATCTACCTTGAAGTACTGTACGCTAGCGTTTCACTATGTGAAAGACAATGATCAACTATAAAGCTTTTTGTCATCACTAACCACCATTCAATGCATGCATAGTTAACACATAATATAAATCTAAGGAGTGAGCAAAACGTAGAAGAAAACCAACAGGAAGATAAGCTATGCTGTGAAATAAGGAGATAACTGAAAATGTCCACTTTTATCTTTAGTCTCACAGATTATTTCTGGACAATAACACCAGTGATTTCATCTAGTTATTTTTGTCTTCCTGAAACGAAACTGCATCTCATCCTGTTCACTGGCATACACACATTCTCATGTTGCCACTTTTCAAGGGGAAAGATGATAAGACAAGCGCATAATAAATGAGTTGTACAGAAAATAGAAGTCATTAGGTGATAGCAACGAAGATAACACAACCGTCTTCTCTAAATCTGACCCTAAAATCCTCAAATTTACAGAAAAATATTTGACAGTTTATTAGTTCCCTCCCAGTTTGCATATTTCTCCCCTCTCCGGAATTTCTTTCTCAGTCTTATCAAATCTATGCGTATATCTGTCCGTTTCTATTTGTGTCTGCAAAGGCTGATTGCCAAGGTTGATGTTTCAGCTGAATATAATCAACATGATTATCAATGACGAAATGAACTGAACTAATTCGTCTATTGTATCATAATTCTTCTGTTTAAAACAAAACTTTGTTAATAGATTGGAGTGGATAATTCTTTTAAATAAATCATTTCCCAAATACAGGTCATCGGTGAATGCACGTGTAAGTGTGCAACCACAGATGTATGCTCAGAGAAGCGATAGGTTTTCAGTTCGGCGATTATACCAACTAATCGAGTGTAACAATAATTTAAGAATGGACTCATTAAAAAATGGAGTAATTCATCAAACAAAACAAAAGTCAAGCTAAAACAAACTCCACTTCTAGTTTATTTTTATGGATTTGTGGACCCCATCTGACCACGAAGTCAGTCAAAAAGCTGTGAATAAACGACAGAACTGAAGAAACTTTGATTTATCCTTTTCTCTCAAATGCAAAATGACTTTGACAAACTGCCAACGTCTAAGATAACTGGAAAAATATTGTCTAAGTGATTAACGTCTATTCAAATTCCAATAGACACAGCATTTATAGACGAGCTATAATTTGGTCAACAATTGTTTCTGAAACGAAAGACCATAGAACCGGCTTTTGAAAGGCTGCGTCACCCATTCGTCTCGAAGCCGTTTTTCCTCTAATCTGACTAGTTATTGTAGAACAACTTTCATTTCACCAAGTATTAGTAAACCGTATTTCAAGTATGATTTTCCAGGAAAAAGCATTTTTAATAGAGAAGCTATTTTCCTTTTTACTTGTTGCTCCTCAAAGCTTATGAGATGAAAGAAAATACAATAACACTCCATAATTATAGTCGGTTAGTCGTCTATTATGTGCTGATTATAAAGTTTATTATCCAAATTTCCGTTAACCACTCAACTGAGAAACAGATGACCAGTTAAAATAAATGTGGTTCCATATTTGTATTCCTCGTTATGAATTAAAATCCAGTCGACTGATATGTTCGGAGGCAATTAATGGAATGGTAACTGTCATCATTCAACGTTATTTGAAGGACCGCAGCAAGAGAAGGGAAACAGTTAAGTGTCTCCATAGAAGTGTGAAACAATCTCATGGAATGTGTCATCAGATTCATGAATGACTGCGACATTCAAATCATTCCAAGCCAGTTTGTACAAGCAATAACATACCGGGAACAGTAAGTTCTGCTTACTGATACAATGACAAAATCTGAAGTGTCCAATAAACGTGAGAATCCTAAAAGTGCTATCAGAATAACCCATGTGAGTGAATGGGATGAAAATCGATCGAAGTAAAGTCGCGAATACACAAGGAACCTTTCAGTGGTATGAAGGATGGTGAAGTTTAGGCGAAAACTAATTCCTCATTATTTTGAAACAGTTAGTCCCTTTTATGGGTTTGGATGATGTAATTAGAAGATGTAGATTATCTGAACAATGATGTATGTGCGATACACACCTCGAACAACCTGATCACACATCTGCTTGTTAAGGGATTATATGTGAAAACTGGAAGTGGAGAGAGAACGAATGTAACATAGTGGGATTCAACAATAAGGAAGATGATGAAAGAAAAAAGTGGTAATATTTGAAGACAACCTTGATGATGCGATAAGATAAGCACTACCAGGTTAGGCTTAGTGTAAGAACAAACTGATTTCGCACACAAAATTTGTTTGTGGTTAGCTCCTCAACAAACCTAGGTATAACGCCCCTGACAGTTTCTGTACAAAACTGTAAAGGCTGTTTAATACCAACCCTGCGAAATTTATCAATGATATGTTTTACTGTGAATGATGGCTTTTCTGCCAGCTGCGCTTATCGATGTTTGTGAATCCAGCTGCTTTTGTAGCCATTCTGGCACATATTAATTGTTGATATTTCAAGTTGAAACACAATAAATTAGTAAGAATTATCGAAAATGACTACAGGGTTAGCATTTGTAATCGAACCAATCACATGGTACTCTCAGGTTGTGTAACTTGTTTCCTCAACTAAAAGTGTTGCATTTTAAATGCTTATTCCACCGAAAATCTAGGAAATATTTAATTATTTTCTGTGGACAATTCTGACGAAAGCTTCCCGTGAACTTGACAACAAACCAGACTTTTCTAGGTGAAACCGTTAATCACAATGATGCGTCGTTAGTCCGGAAGCTCACCAATGCAGTTCAGGTTGATGAATACCATGTAATTAGAGCTAGTCATAAAATAACCTCGAATCTAGGATTATAAGCTTAGTGGCACTATTCATCGACTGATATATGTAACGTCGATGGAGCATATATCTTTCTGAACTTCTAATCCTACACTGCTCATCGCTGGAGTAAAAATGTTACACTCGGCTATTCGAATACACATCGATCTGTTCGATAAGAATATTCGTCTTGTTCATTTTCCACAAGATAAGTTTAGAAAGAAATCTTCCAAAGTGTGGTAACTGTATCCAGGAAATATCAGCGTTTTGGCACCTTGAAACAGACTCGCCTAATTTGTCAACTTGGTACATACTTCCTTGAGACATTTGGAATTACTTGATGTACTCTACTTTTTCTTGGAAATGAGATGTCAGAGCTGCACAGCAGCCAGACTCTGTCCCACCATTAAGAAATGAGGAAACTCAATGTGGAAATGGTAGCAAGCTAAGGGAAATAAAACTCATGTAGAAACCTATAACCATTAAGGTCGATAAATATTCTACCTAAATATTCATTCAACATGAAGACGCAACACGTTCATCTAAGGTGAGTGTGAATGCGGTGATCTAGCATGACAAAAGAATGTTCATGATCAAATGCCAAGGCTATGCAAGCACCGAACAATCATAAACACATCTGGGCCTTCCATTTGCTGATCCAGTTTTCCCTTATCACTTACCATTTGAATTTGTTGCATTTCTTCTCGAAGAGCTATCATATCCTTAGTTGCATCCATTTGTGTACGAGCCTCATTGAGTAGTATATTATATCTAGGAAAAGATAGGAATCAATAAATGAAAACGATATATTCTAAGGTCATCTATCATGGTATTCTAGAAACAAGTTATTCCATATAGCACATTTACAAGCTGAAGCAAAATGACCTCATTGCCGACTGTAAATTGTGTAAACTAATTTCGAACTTTCCCCTTATATATAGTTTACTCATTCAATATGACAGGAATGAATGTGAACTTTTAATACAAGTGTAAGACATGGGCAGCCCTGTTGAGTATCTTACGTAGTCTCTGATGGCCCTCCCTTATACGGTAGCATAATAAAGGCCTTGAATTCATTTCCACTTGTATCATCGTTACTATTCACATTCATATTACTGCTATGATTTCCTTTCTTATGTGATCTTACGAATTTATTCACTAAATGTCGAGAATAATGATCAACTGACAGTGTTTAATTTACATGTTCCAGTTCCTCCCTTATGTCTTTACACTGATTAATGAGTTTTCTAGCCCTATTATTTAGACGGATATTCGACTAAATCCACCCTAACTGACTTTGGATGAGATGACCAGAAGTCTAGATACCTATAAGAAGGTGTTGATTTCCTGTAGACAGTAGTATCTAAACCACCATCTATTCTCCGTCTTACTTTGCAATCTAACATAGCTAATCCCCTTGTTCGTTTTCAACGTTGTAAGTGAACTGCATTGAACCTGCTAATGGGCTTATACATGTGAAGAATCTGTCAATATGTTTCTATTTCAACACACTAAATATGTCATCCATATGTCACCACCAAATCTTATGTGTAGGACTAAACGTTCGTAAACCTGAGTGTTCCCAAATATCCATAAACACATGTACTTCAGTTGAGGATATTGGTGACCTTTCGATTTGTCTTCATATTTCTTCTTGAAACTTGGAAACTATGGAGGTCAGGCACAACATGATTTCATCAACTAATTTTAGTCCTATAATACAGAAAAAACTCGGCTGTCGCCATTCATGCATTAACACATAAACACATAACCGGGTGGGATGAAACCACTGTACTCTAGTCCAATATCGTTAGATGGAGAGAGGGGTTGGTCATTAAATATTTGTTCTTTGAATCAACACCCAACACAATGGGAATGATGCAACACCTATACCATAGATGTGGGAAGTTTTACTACCACTAAAACGAAGGATATACGGTTTTGTGGTTGTAAAAATCAGATGTTGGAAGCTATGGGATTATAGTGATATGACTTTGAGCAATAATTTACTCTCGAAACACCCTCGAGTAAAGAATATTATATCACTGTGTGTCGTACCAAATAAACAAACCAAATGTGGAATTCTCTCATTACTTCTATATGAAATGAAGCAATCTCAACTCTTCAGTTGAAAATCACATTTTATGTTTCAACTCTGTTAGTATAATCATTTCGCTGTCATAAGGGTTGACGAGAAACTACTATTAAGGTCTTTTGCGATTAAGTAAATAGTCACATTTTTCAAGTGGGATGTGCTAATTCTAAATCACTTGCACAAAAATTTCCTTCAAGTGAATTTCTCGCTATTAACAAACTTGACACAGATCGATACACATTCACATACAAACTCGTAAGATATCTGTACAAGTCACCTCACCTCATCAGATACAGATAAATGAGAACATCCACAAGATGTCAGTTTATTACTCAAGATAAGTGTGTATAGTAATTGGGAATTGTTAACGATTACAAATATCTTCATATGACTACTCAATGTATTGCTAACTCAAGTAAACCTTTTCCTCTTCACTATGATACACCTCAGTTGATACCCTTTCACTTCACTGTCTCATAAATTCCACAACACTCAATAACTACTTGACATTAATAATAAATAACATCAATGAACACTAGTAAACAATTTTTTTTGCTAACCCATATAACGATAGTTTACTCGTGTGTCAAAGCTGACCTGCTGAAAACAGCATCAGTTGGTTCACATCAAATGACCTGATCAGAAGTTTTCTTCATGGGGAAGAGTGTTTGCTTATGTATATGTGCGTGTGTCTGTGTACAGAACATCGATATACGTTGTACACACGTAAAGAAAACAGTGTGGATTGTACAAACTCGACATTATTCTAATCATAAAAATTTAATTGTGAAGAAAGTAATAAAATAGAATGAAGCATGAGGTAATGTAGAATACTTCATCTCTTCTACAACCAAGTTACCAGTAAAAGAGGTTGGCAAGGGAAAGTGTTAGAAAGAGTAGAGACAATTGTTGTTACTGTGTTACCAACAACCTCTCTCATAATCATCAGTTTCACACAAGCATACATAAGTGCGAATGAGCACAGACACAAATAAAAGATGAAATATGAAACATTAAAAGGATTCAATCTTTAAGAGAGATGTAAGCAAAAGAGATTGAGTAAGGGTTTGAGAAGTTAACGAAGACACAAAGCGAAGTGTAAGAAAAGATGTACCCAACGTTTTGCGATGAAATTTCAAAACAAAAGACGAGACACCATTGTTTATAAAATAATAGAAAAGAATAAATCAGAATAACAGACCTATGATTAAATGATACATTCGCTCCAACGTATAGTTAGTTGGTTTGTGTCCATCTTTATTTCCTATTTGACAGTAATTGGATGATTTATGTTGTTGGGAAATGGCATAGTCTTCAGTAATCGGTTGGTTTTTGCACCTCAATACTCTATCAAATTCATCAGTGGTCCATTCTTTAGAATCGGATTTTAACAGATAGGAAAGATGAATATTTCAGTAGTGCAAGCGTCATGACAAATTTGAACGTCATCCTTGTTAATTATTCTGGTCAGTATGATTGCTTGTAGTATACCGTCGTTGATTGGACCGAATTGTTCGGTCTCTATTGGCATATAAACTCCTGTGTGGATGCCTTGATATTACCTGTGTTTTTAGTTGTAGTAATGATAGATACAAGCAGTTATACCAAAACTATGGCCGTCGCCCAAGAAGTGGCTGTTGTGACTCGGTGGTGTAGTGGATAACGGTATGGCATTTGAAGCGATCGCTCCCGAGTCCGAATCCCGGTAGGAACAACATCACTCACTGGGAGGCAGGTACATCTAGCTGATGAGTCCCAAATAGGACAGAATGAGTATCCTGGTTAGGTCAAACAACGACACACCTTAATCCAACTGGCTGTAATCACCTAATCATATCTCTTGGTCACATATCTGATAACGCCATCGTGAAGGTTAACCTTCATTGTTAAGACAAGTGAGGATGTGTCATTTAGCAAGTCAGATCTTTTTTTTTTCATAAAATTGTAGGTAAGTCGTTCGATATGTACTGAAAATAGTTCAACTTGACTATTCGGTTACAGAAGACACGCTACATTTTTGTGACAAAAAACATCATGACTTTTTCTTGTGGCACGAACCAATCCCATTTAAGTTTGGAAAGTGATATCATCTAATTAAACGTCTGATCCAAAGAGATACATTCAATGCAAACAAGTACCCTGATATCACTAAGTCATTCACGCACTAACAGATTCTACGGAGTTGTTTCCTTTCAGTATTGACAAATACATGTTATTGATGTTCTCAAGTCGACTGGATTCTTCATGTGTCACTTATTTGTCTTTGATATAAACGCAGACGACACTCATCGATGAACAAAAAAACAGTAATATTGGGAAGGTGGCAAGAACAAACTCACCCGTTTTTTATGAAGAATATTTTATTTTGTATTTTATCCATTGAATATACTCGTTCAGATACCAGTTCACCTCCTATATCACATAGGTTGTTCAACGACTCTTCAGCTGCGACTAAGCATTGAATGATTTCATTTTGTATTCCCAATGATGAAAGAATTGTTGTTGTATCCTTCTGTTTCTAGGTGGGAATAATTGAGGTAAAGAGTAGATGTGAAACACCTGCAAGCTGTAAGACTTCGATACGATAAAACAGTTTCAAAAAATATTTCGTAAAATAGTTGTAAAATACTTTCACTTAGGTAAACGTTGGATACCTTGGTAATGGTGTGACGTGTATCAGGAGTAAGATCAAAACTAATCACAAGTTTTGTATGATGAGAGACACATACTAATATAAAAAACCAGTTTTCTTTAACTTATAGAAATGTACCTACATCTGGTCTAATCGATCGTTTTGAGTTAATGACCACTGCGGAAAAAAATTAATGCACCACTTGACTGAACAGCTGTTTACTGGTGATTATGTTTGCAGATTTGAAGAAGGAGTTAGTGTACATACGGCATTCAGGCTGTTGTCTGACAGTTTAAAAAGTAGTTAGATGAGAAAAATTTCGAATATCGGCTGAACACCCTTCCCAAATAAACTCGAGTTGTGATTGACCACTGTTGTAGCTGTTATAGAGTCACTAATCTACAATTGTCTTCCCTACCTGCTCTTCTGTCATGACGAAACCATAGTAGTTCTTTTGTTATTTGTTTGATTCATTATATTATTCTTGGCGGCCTGCTTAAATTTTGGGCCACCAAAAATACTCCATCGAGTTGCTCCCTCTTGCTTCTTTTAACCACTGACTAATCTCAAAGCATACTCTCACGCATTCTAAAAATCTCTTCAACATATCGTCAGCCAGTTTAGCTGCAAGACTATGAGAAAGTATCAGAGTAGACGGCAGTTGGTCGTCTAACTCACAACAGTGCATCATATAGCTATTACAGGAACAAGTAGCTGGAACAGCAACTTTTCATACTGAATGACTGAACTTCAACAACCAAAATTACGTGTACTTTTCGATCCTACGCACGTGCAACAACATGCAAACTAGACGATGACCAAAAAACTACTGGTTGTTGTGCATTACTACCTAGCATACTGCTATTATTAACATCACTTAACTGTCATGTTTTTTTAACTGAAAATATTGTACAAGAAGTTAATTTGTTGAAATATCACACTCAGAACTCCAAAAAGTACTAGAAGTTACTGCCTGAAATCAAGTGATTATAATCATTATTATTACTGTCACACAGTAAAAACAGTATTATTTACGGGACGATCTCTCCAGTAGAATTCATCGTTCATCATCATATCCGCTCGATAAACCATCCATAAGCCACAGCTAACTCCAACACCAACCTTAGGAAGCCGATTCAGTAAGAAGAGTATCTTTTGAGTATGTACAGCACCGTAATGGTAATCATCCATAATAATTTCTTTCTAGCATGCACCTACTTCAAGGATATGGAGAGACATTCCAACTTGTCGCCCATTGGCGTCAGACCAACTGTGAAAGAAGATAAATCACATCATGACAGGCCACTGTTCGGTAAGATTGTCGAAGCATTGCTGCTCATCCTGGATTACCTGCCTACTTGGAATTTGATTATGTAGCTGTATGAACTACTGATCTCCGCTTTCATGAGCATAACAAACAAACAGTAGTAAATTCCAGCTTTACTGAACTGGAGGATTATAATATCAGGTGTGTGTTTAGTGTGGAGATAGAGGAACATGATGAAACTTGACATAATATACGGTCTGCTTTAGAAGCAGTGATAAAGATAGCTAGTCATCTACAACAGAAGTTTAGCAAAAGCCAGTTGATTTCTGCGATCATATTATGTGTCAAGTGACTGATGCAAGAAGACTCACTGCAACTGTCTTTGACCGTAATGAGGATCGCAAGTACCTGAAATGCAGATAGTGCAACTTTGGTAAGTGAAATTGTCTAAAAGGAATTTCTCCTCCCTGTTACGCTTCTCTTCTTCCACTTAACATGGAAGTCATCAGCTCGTCATAAGTTTCCAATGTAGATACCGTTGAGGCCCTTTGGGTTATAATCACGACTTGGTGTGTGAATATTTCTCACGAACACCATTTTCAAATTGTATCTGAATTCTACAGAATATACATATGTATATTTAGGTAGGGTTAGCCAACAATTCGCACAGGTTGATTCATCTCTAAGGACTGAACACGGTCGAACAATGCCGACTGATATGACTGGTCTATCACATTTCTTGCCGTTCGGTTCAGCCTTCATGCTCGTAGTGCTAATAGACATATCAACAATGCTCAGAAAGTTTTCCCCAAAGTGAGATTCAGTGGAACTGTAGAAATACCTTTCACCTCGGAATGCCAATCTTACAAACACTTAATTTAAAACTGTCGTGGCCACTATCACTACCTGACTACAATAAATTGGTGAGATCTATTCGAAACACAATGGAATCGGTCTATTTAGTAACTAATTCACAGTTCAGATTAGATCATATGGTGAGAAGACAGAGATCGTAATTGGCGAGTACGACAAATTAGTTTGTCGCAACTTAACACTTTTCTCTTCTACTGCTTAATGAGCAAATGTCACTTTTAATTATTTCTTAAACGATTTGAAGGTGACATCGAGATGGAAATAAAGCAAATGTTTTCATCTCTCTGAAGAGTATTACTTTTTGAGTGTTTGGGTAAAATATCTTTGTCTCACTGTCTGCCTATCGGTCTGCAGTGCAGATTAACTTTTCTCTGATATCTCAATACACATAAAATAGGCATATTTTGTATCGTCACAGTTTTAACCAACGTTATCTTCACCAAAATCTTTTCTAAGAGTTAACTTTTAAAAGTGATCAAGTGGGAAGTGAAGTGGTTTTTCTTTCTTAAGAAGATGGAAAAGACTAGTTTGAGTTTTAGCTCAACATCTTCGTCCTTAACTTCATCTCACCAAATCTTGTCGTTTTCGTTTTAGCATTATAACTACTAATTTTCAGTGTTCAGTGTATTCATCTTTGCTTAAATCAGAAAGTGGTGATTGGTGTTAGACTGTGAATAATTAGGTTCACTGGTTGACAATGTGAGATGATCATGGTAGACGTTATAAGCACGGTCTCATAAAATTTCACCAGACATACAAAAAGGAAGTAAAACAGCTCCAATTCATTATTTGGTATTTGCATTTCCCAATGAATGCAAAACAAAATAAACTTGTTTCAAATGACGTCTTCCTACTTAGAGTTAATAGCTTTTTCAAAATTTTGGTAAACTGGAGTTTATATCCAATATCCAAGTTTATGTATGAAAACTTGACAAGTGTTCTTCTTCATGAATGATCCTGTGTCCTCAGAATTGTAGAATAAAAATGATATCCATATGTAGTGTGTTGTGTGAATTACAGATTGAGATTTGTATGTACACATGTGTTGATAGTTCTTATTTCATGCATAGTGGTTGTGTCATAGCACAAATGCAACTTCTATAATCATAGGGTTTTCAATCTACGTTGTTTACGTAGTGGAATAACTCCCAGATCCCTACATGTTAAACCTCTTTAACATTATCACAGATCTATTCTTGTAGCACAGCATACCTCTCGTATATTCTTAAGTGAAAGAATACATAAAAGCACCGTAAATTTGAGTTTTAAGAAGTAAGAAAACGTAGTTTGACCTGGTCTCAACTCACTTCCACATACTGATATAACCAACATGCATATGATAAGAACTATCAACACATGTGTACTTACAAATCTCAATCTGTAATTCACACGCTCTTCACACACAACGCACTACATATGGATATCATTTTTATTCTACAGTTCTGGCGACACAGAATCATTCATGAAGAAGAACACTTATCAAGTTATCATATATAAGCCTATTATCATTATTATTTGTCCTTTGGGTTCCTAATGGAACATAGGGCTTCAGTAGCATTATCGCCATTTCCCTCTCTTCTCTGCAGTCTTTTCAACTTGGCTGCATCACCGCCCAGAAGATTTCAATTCTTCTTCACATCATCTCCTCCACAGCACCTTCGCCTCGGACGCCCAACTCGTCGTTTCCCATGCGGGTTCCAATCGACGGCCTGGGGCGTGATGTTCCTAAATGGTCTCCTCACTGTATGCCCAATCCAATCCATCCACACTTTCTTCTGCATATTTGTTGGGCAATGGGTTCTTGGTTGGTTGGTTCGTTGCCAGCCAGACTTCCTTGTTGCTTATTCTTATTATTCTGGTCATCTTATCTTCAGTATCAAGTGAGTGTAGGCGGCAGCTGTTGATGAAGTATGTCTGCAGTTTGTTGGAAATGCTTTTCGTAACCAACACAAAGAAGCACTGACTTAGCTTGACCTTAGTGTTGGAAGTCCGAACCTTGTTCTTGATGCTGAGTGCAGTGCAGAAGTTCTCCACACTGATTTCAGGTTAGTGAAAACCTGTCTTGCTCTTTCCGATCCTGGCTTTGACATCCCCATCTGTGCCTGTGCCACCTGTAGTTGAAACGACGCTGCGTTGCCTAGGTAGGTGGAAGAGACCACATCCTCCAGATTTCTCCCGTTGATGGTGATTGATGCTTGTTGTTATTGTTATTTGCGTATCCTCATCATACCCATCTTATCTACATTCATTTGAAGTCCTGTCTTTGTTACCTTGTCTCTTCTGTCAACTTGTTGGTTTTTGCCTGTAGATCTTCGAGTTTGTGCGATAAGATATTAAACATAAATCATCATCGTTGGCAAAATCCAAATCTTCTAGTGTCTTTTCATCGGTCAAATAGTGTATGCCCATCTTCTAGCTCCTCATCGTCTCTTGTATGATCCAGTCAAGAGCAGACCAGTGTCGACCACAATCAGGAAGATCATAGGTGATAGTGGGCAGCTTTGTCTTACTCCTGTCTTCACTTCAAAGGCATCACTGAGCTGAGCTTCCCATTGTGAATCACATGGCATGTAGCATCATACAGCATATAGCTGCTGTTGAATGAGGTTGATAAAAGTTTGTGGCACTCACTCTGTAGAGTTGAAGCAGCATCCACCAACTTACCTGTCGGTGGACGCTGTCGGAGGCCTTGCAAAACCGATAAAGATGAGGTATAAATCCAGTTGACTACCACTCTATGCTCTGCTCTGTGATGATGCATAGCGACGCAACTAGGTTTCCTTCACTATCTTTAGTCGGTTTCATCTATCTTGATCTTCTCCCTCCCAGATAGTAACCTGGTTATTTGATATGGTGTTGTCAGGTCTCCGTCTCTTCCACCTGCAGCCTGTTCTCCTTCACTTCCAAGTGTGTCGAAGAAGTGTCTTTTGTCTCTCCGTGCACTCTTCTTCACTCCCTTGTCCAGTGTAGTGTTTTACAGGTTGTGTTCAGTTCCTCTTTTCATTGTTCATCCCCGCACTGCAGTGTACTGCAGTGGCTCATCTTCTGCCTCACCATCTTCTCCTCCCTCATCTATCAGCTTCCATGTGTCCGTCGAGATCCATTGCTTGTCTTCTTTCTTCTTCCTCCCTAACACGGTTATCCGGGCTTCTTCAACATCACTTTCAATCAGTTCCAGTATTCTTCCACATGCGTTTCCTCGGTGATGTTGCCTTATGTCTCTCGTTTTGTCCTGATGACTGATTGACGTGAAGATGTTCTCTGTAGTTTCGTCCTTCAGTTCGGTTTCTGTTCTGGATGTTGAATTTCAACTGTGGTCTATCACCAGCTTCTGTGAAGGCTTTCAACTTGATTGTGAAGGTAGGTTCATTTCACTGGACAGTGAGTGGTATGAACCTACATCTGCTCCTCTTCTTCATCTTGTGTCCAGTAGACTGCGTCTCTACTTTCTTCACATTGAGATGAGGTCGATCTGATTTTTAGTGTAGTGTGTCCATCTGGTGTCTGGTGAAATCGAATCCATGTTGCTGCCTTGTGAATGAATATTCTTGTGCTTGCATACCCTGCCTCCAATCACCAAGTCATTATATCCACAGACGTCTGCAAATAGCTCTTCATTCTCACCCATCATTTTACCGAGTGCCTCTCGATCCATGATTGCTTCTCTTCCTATGTTTTCTGTTCCCAGTTTGGTATTCATGTCATCCATTTAAAATCTTGATTTCGCCAACTGAGGTTGGGTTTTGTACCTTATTGAATGCAGTTGTCTGTAGAATTCCTCCTTCTCCTCTTTATTTACATTATTCATATAGTAGCTTGGATATTGTAAATTCCAGTTTACTATAATTTTGATAAAGCTATTAACACTAAGTAGGAAGAAGTCATTTGAAACAAATTTATTTTGTTCTACATTCATTGGGAAATGCAAATACCAAATTAATGAATATCATTCACTCAATGCCCAAATTTTAAAAAACCATCGATTTCCAACTTGTTTTGGATTTCTGTAAAACAGCTACAATTTCTAATAGTAGCTTATTTTACAGATACCCATATCTTTTGTAACGGAATTACAAAGCTGTATAATAAATCAAGGAGAATAGAAACAATGAGTGTGGAACAAATCTCCATTTTAGTAATGCGTGATAAAAAAGGAACACTGAAGAATTGCAGCTGGTTGGTCAACTGAGTATACCTGATACACAGAAAAAACTCTTAGAAAGAGATTAGGGTTTGCAAAGTTTTGTCTACAAATATTTCGATTTCTGAATAAGAATTACTACGGTATCCAATCAAAGTTCACTAACAGACAACAGACAAAACCACTCAGAATAAACGGGGAGGAACAAATCGTTAGTTGTGTGCTATTTCTAATCCCATATGAAGAACCCTAACATGATAGTGACACGACAGACCTCTGCTTAGTGTCAATGTCAGTGACGAACCTAAAGTTTGTGTGGAACAGTCAACTCATCATCAATAAAAAGTGATCACTTTTCTACTATCCAACGGTTAATCCTCAATGTTCCAATTACTGCACACAAATCTAGACTATTCTGTTCATTTCATTTTCCTTTATTGTCTAGTCATAATCACAGATCATTTTCAACCCTAAATCTCATACAAAATCATATCCAAAAGTTTTTGTATTTACTACCGACATATGAGTTATGTCAACATTTGAAAATGTTGACATTTGCATTTGTCTATAAATCTAAATAATTTTTCATACAGTAATGCTTATCTCACAAACCTTACCACAAATATGCTCATGAATTCGGTTTAGAATAGCTAAAACGAGGGGAAATTTCTTTTAATGCATTTTTCTTTGAATCGATTTTGAAACCCTCATAAACCAGTCTGTCACTGCTCAGAATATCCTGTCACCATACATAATAACTTGTATAAAATTCAGCATAGCTTGATTAGTCTTAGCTGATCATGATAGTTTTGCAGAGTTAAACAGTGAATAACCAAAGCAATTTTTTTGCATTTATGATAGCTTCAACCTATAAAATTAAAATAAACACGTGTGAATAGCAATGTTAACTGATTATTCACTACCCTTTCAATCCGCAGCACCTTTGTTTCGTCATCAATATTTACATAAACATGGTGGCACAGCCGAAGCTTGATTGCATTCAATTTCACTTTCTGTATTTCAGGTAATAACACTTCGAAGTAATCTAGACCAAAGCCTGATGCATTCCACACCCGTTGGTTTCTAATTCCAACTACAAAGCGTAGAAGTCACCAGTTTCTGCTTTCTACAATCTATTCTCTGTTGACAGATACAAAAGTGATTTTAGACAGGGACTGTATTATAAACTAGTGTTGGAATCACACACATCTAACTAGAAATCTTGTAAATATTCGTGTTTGACAAGAAACTGATTGGAAAATTGAATACTTACTAGCAGTTGATAGCTCATTAGTCTGTTTTGTTGCGTTGATAGCATATTTTCAAATGAATGAGCATCACGAAAGAAAGTCTGAATACAGATAAGAAAACAGGAAGGAAATTAAACAAAGATTAATGGTAGATCATTTTATTATAAAAATGCAGCTGATATGATTCTGAAGTGGAAGACAACGGAAAATATTGCTGAGTCAACGGTATAAACACACTTCTACAATCTCACACTGTTAATGCTCAGTTCATAGTTGATCACTTTTTCCCAGAATTACTTACTTTTTCACAGGTCAAGAAGCACATGTTTTCACTAGATGCTCACCAGTACTCTATAAAATATCATCAAACCCACTTATGCTGCAAAACATTAAACATCATGGGAAAATATAGTTTGGAGATCCTATTAGGTTATTCAGAACACGATTATTACGAGAGTACAACTGTCTTAAAGTCCCCTTCAGACTCTACTGTTAGCAATCCATGAAAATAAGTGAAATACAATAACTAATGAAAGGCGAATTTGTCCTGACACCACAGTCGAAAGTGGAATAAAACCTTCGAGAGAAATCTTATCTAAAAACAGATATCCGAAAAGATTCATCGACAAGCACTGCTATTGCTTCAAAAGAAAAGCTGGTGTACATCAACCTACCATCTACGGGAGACGATGTACACGATAAAATCAAACGAAGGTTCAACTGATCTAAGAGATAATCTTACCAGGCTGAAAACGAATGTTGCTTAGTACTATGAAAACGACACTACGACACTTGTAACTGCAGATGCCAATTTTATTATGTTTATGGAACCAAATAAATAGATTACACAGAGATGTGTATATCTAGTCGTATGACTGACTGCTTGCAGGAATGGTTAAAGCGTTGAGAAGTAAAAATTCCGAAAATCAGTGCGACCAAACATCTCAACTGAGAGCATGATGTTGACGCTATCAGGTGGCTTACAGTAGATATTAAACAACGGAATAAGAAACTGCTTGCAATCATAGAGGTCTGTGAGATTCAGGCTCACAAACCAGCATTCTGTGTAACATTCTAACGCACTTTAACGTCACTGGTTGATCAATTTAGCTACTTTTAGCAAAGTCTTTTGCCTCTGTCTTATTCCAGTATTCTTCACTAACTTGTTTCATTACATGAACAGATTAATTACTCCTATTCAATTCAAATATGGTTATCAATCACTTTATTCACGATGACATAAATGAACTCTAAACCATAATGTTTTGCAGTCACTTTTCACGACTTTCAACTGCTCCACACATCCACCTATCATTATTTTCATTGTTTCATGTTGCTAAGCCTCACTGTTGTATTTGTGGTATTTAGTTGTCCATTTTTCCATATATTACATTACAGTATATATAATCCATTTTTATCACCTCTTTAAGATAACAGTGCTGGGAAACCCAAACTGTCTCAAACTTCATATTGTCTCAGCTGCCATAGCACGCCAATTGAGTGGATCTGTCGAAAAACTTTCACTGAAGCAAAAATTTTCGTCAGCTTATCAAGCGAACCAATAGTGACATAGCAAACCAAGCATGTACATTAACAGTGATGGTCACTCCCATGTGTCTGACATAGTAGGAAGACATGTTGTTAACGATGAAGATGATAATTGTTTGGTGTTACCCCGAGCTTTGACACTAGTTCTTGGACGTTTCATCACGAAGTTAATGGTGCTCAATTCGCCTCTCCTGGCATTGAAACGTTTACGGAAAGGGTTCACAGCACGAAACACACCAAATAATTATCAACTTCAGTGTGAATTTATGAGTTCAGCAGCTCCTGTAGATCTGGTTACACAGGCCGTTCTCAGAAGGATTTACCCGCACACACTCTTGAACATTTACTTGTTTTGTTAGGAAAGAAATGACAAAATGCATCAGCATTGAAGTTCTTTTGCACTTACTATATAGTGGATATCGAATCAAACTAGATCACACCTTTTCTGTGACACGTCATATTCTTTGCAATCCCTCGAAAGGGACATGACTATACCTATTATCTGTGACCGAATCCGAAGAAATAAACACGTAAAAGCTTAATCTGTGTTCAAAAGAGATATGTGCAACCACCCTATCTATCTTGGTCCAGAATAGGGTCAACACAAGTTTATGAACTTTACCACAAAATCGACATTTTAACCTCCTACTGCATTATTTTGTTTGATCTCCGCATTTCTCCTAGTGAATATTGTTTCCATATATTTTCAGTTTCATGAACTTCATATTCTCCATTCCGTCCTCTGAGCTAATATCTAAACTCAAAGAATACCAAATCATCATCATCCTCATTCTCAACTCCAAATCTCTTCTTTGTGGAGTGTTAGACAGAGTAATAATTTGAGGGGACGATTGTTTTCATACAGTGAAATTATTTCAAAGTAAAGGCAGTCTGTATTATAGGTAAACAGAGATCAGATCATATAGATGGAGATTTTCTCAAGTGGAACAGTACTCAATCTAGTCGTGCAACTAAATCATTATGAACAGAACAATCATAATGTGGGGAGGCGAAATCTAGAGATATTCGTGTATCTGGAGTGTGAATGCGTGTGTACTTAGTGAGGATCAAATAGCCACTATGTGGCAATGACCAACATATGAAAGAGGGTGAAAAGTCATGTGAATACAATAAGCAAATTACAATACAACAAATATGAAGCGTAACTTAAGCACTGAAAATGACTACTGGTGACATTACGAATGAACAAGGGCATGAAACTAAAAACGTATGAAAATAATTGTTAGTTTGTCAATTAAATGAGATAGAAGAAATAAAAGAATTCGATTGTGAGCCAAGTTGGACCAAGTGAATATACATATTTCTTTTGAAGACAAAGACTAGGATTTCATGTGTTGACTCCTACGGTTTTTATGGTGGATAGGAAACGCGTCGTGCCTCTTTAGCTATATAATGACAACTCGCTCCTGAGTGAACAAGCACACCCCTAAGATACTTTCATCTAAGCAAAATTCTATCATCATATCTAGATGTTGACTATTCATATCATGACATTTTGTTCATAGTTTTCATTGCAGAGTGAACACTAGATTGATTGTTATCCCACCTCCAAAAGGTTTACATTCATCTAACTCAATTTCTATTTACTAATAACACTAACTGTCTCAATACTGAAAAGATTTTACGGCATGCATTACGTTGGCTATCATATTTCACCTATTTTCGTTGGTTCATAACTGTATAGTCTGAAGAGGAAATTATTGCAAACAGCTGTCTACGCAAATTATCCTTGTTCTGGCATAGAAATATTTGGAGCCTTGACATTTTTTCTCCTCCATTAAACTTTTATTCTTATGTGAGGGATATGCTGTGGCATTATTAGAACACAAAACAGAAAACGGACAGTTGACTACGCAACACACACATTTGGCGTTGCATCATCAGTCGCAAATCCTTGGTGAATATTTATTTGCACTAATAAATTCTTTCCATGATCCTCAAAGTGCTATAAATCAGTAAAGGTTTCCTGTATGAGGGATGAAATTGCTGTTCACTCATTTCTGTGATCCTGTATGTATTGGAAAATATATTCCTGGACATCATATCATATCAGGTAGTTTGGTGAATAGAGTTAACTGTTAGATGTTCATGGTTAATCGAAAAGAAGAGCTAGATATAGGTTTTGCACTTATTCACACTCATCGACAAGATGCATATGTGGCTATGAAGGAATTGGAGTTCCTTTCATGACTGGGTAGTACATCATTCAGTGTTGTAGTAAAAACCTTTACGTTTCGGCTATGATCAACTGCCTGTGAGTGAATTATGTATATATCGCAGGATATCTCGTTATTCTGTCAAATCTCAAGTGCACTCCACTGACCGAAGTCTATCGATAAAATCTGCAATTTATTTTACTAAGCTCAACTACTTCACACTGAGGTGCACTTTGATGTTAGATTATGAGAATCAATATTAGCATGCTCTAGAACACTCTTCTCATGGTAGTGCCCCTCTTGGAACCTTCAATTCAACTAACAATGTATCAAGGAACACAGCAGTAATTACCAGATAAAGTAGGTCTTTAATCAATGTTAGTTAGTGATCCAAACTATTTTGAAAGAAGACATCCTTAGGGTTTAAATGTTGCCCGTAGTTTCATACTCAGTTTGTTCTAACGTGTGAGTGAAACATATAGTCGTGGTCAGTTAGGAAATAGATCATTCCGTTACAAGTCATCGTATATATTAACGTCTTTGCTATAAGTGACCATTTTGTTGAACAGACGTTTAAACTTTAAAAATACTTCTGCAAATGATGCAGTGAAAAGACAGAGCTCAGGTGTAAATCCACCACATAGGGAGGTACAAGAGTTCATAGTTTATCCCTACTAGGTTTGGTCATTCACACCAAGTGAAATCAAAGGTCTCCGTACACTGCATTCACTACTTTATTCTGCCTCCAAAATCTGACATTTATTCAGCCATTTAACCTACCGGTCAACTACGACTGATTACTCTGTCTAATAATATGGATAACCACGGGGTGTTTCATTTGTGTACCGTAATCTTACAACAGGCTACTTAGTTAACAGCTGAATTCAGAAAGAATTTGTTGTTATCTATCCCCATAAATCAATGAGGATTTGCGATCGAAATCCTAATTAAATTCGCATAACAACATAAAACCCTAACTAATGTTTGGATAATTAGGCAGTGTGAGATGTTTGCCAGAAGCAAATAGAAGAGTCATTTATTGGGCTACTTTGACAAATGAGGTACACAGATGAAGTCCTATTACTTAGCACAACTGAAGCTGATATGTGTTGTTTGCGGATGACTTTTGGACGACACAATATAAGCAAGTTGTATGGTAACTTAGAATCAACTGAAATGGCTCTCACTCCGTTTCATCTAGCTAAGATAAGGAAAATGCATTGTTACTACTGTTCTGAATATAACGCCAGTTAAAAACAGAATGCAAGCGTGTAGTGGGCTATTGCATTGACACCTGCTGCTGTAATTTTCTACCTTCGGAAAAGTATCTCCAGAGGAATGACGATATCTTCCTATTGAATAGCTAGAATCTTCGAATTACTTACGTGACAACTGATATTTACTTTCATCATGCGGTAGGAAGCATCGTGGTGCATCGTGATGCTAAATCCATAACTTGGTTACATGACTCGAGGCCTACAATGTTCGCTTCATCTTCTGCACCAAAAATGAGAACAAGCTTACAGAAAAGTAAGTTTAGTAAGTTAATATTTTGCCAGACAGAACAAATGTATCAATTCTCGTTCACCTAAAAAATTGAATGAAGCCGAAAACGGAATATTCTACGTTCTGAATCGATACAGACAGTCATAATTGGAAACGTTTAGAAATCACCATGTCATCAGATGCAATGAAATTTGAGAGTCGCTGGTATCTAATTTTAAAGTTTCATTTGGTTGAACTCACCTGAATTTGAACATCCTGTTTGAGGAGCTTTTGTTGATATGTCCACATCTGCATTAACTCAGACCATCCGTTTTCTAATCTGTCTAGACGTTGATCTAATTGTACATAGTGTGTATCTGTTTCCCCTGCTGTGATACATCGTCCATAACTGATTAAATCGGCAAATTCCTCTTTACGTGCCAAAATCTGTTCACCTAATTCTTTGTGTAGATCAAGTTCGATTTTTGCTTCTTCGACAGATTGAGGTATTTGGTGTGTAGCTACATTCATTTCAATATTGCGCAACCATAATTGGTTGTCATCCAGGCCCTTAACCGAATGGAGAAAAATATGATATGCATGTGCTGATGGAGAATGAAGGGTTTAAATAGTGTTTCTGTAGGGAAATTGAGCAGAAGAGTATGTTGCAAACGTGAACACTTCCGAACCGGTAACTTTTTAAAAACATAATTTCACATTGCAAAGCCAGCTCATCTTCCATTATTTGAGAATCATCCGAAACTATGTCAATTCATTGTACAGTCATGGAGATTATCTCCAGTTGATCTATTATGAAGGCATATTCAAGCGTAATGTGTCTTGAAACAAAATCAGTCGTCAGTTACGTTCGCACAAAAAGTTAGTGCACTTTTATTTAGTTACAGTTCGTTTGCTTCCCAGTGAAGTGTTCTGCAAACATATTTAATACCAGCAGACTAATATTTTACCTTACTTCCAGTGATATGCATTGTTCACTAAGATGAACTTTTTGATGGTTTATCTCTAATCTCTAGGCCGTCAAGTTAGAATACATTAGTGAATGACCCAAACACTGGCTTTGTCTCCCAGCTTAGGCAGAAATTTATTTTGATCAGACATAGCACAATAAATGCAGCTGATTGCCTATTGAGCTAACCTGAACATCAATACAGAGTTACATTTATTACATCCAGTTCACTTTGGCACCCACATCTCAACACACCGATTGATAATTCTAACTTGATTTCGCAATCACTTCACCATGAAATAATTTCGACTTTAATTCATTCATAAAATCATAGATATTTATTTGTGAACGAATCATTTCAAAATTGTAAAGATATCCAACAGATTCAGTTGGAAGCCTTTCAGTAAATGCATGCAACCCATTACTGAGATATTCTTGTAAGGTGTGAGTTCCCCATCACTACCGTCAACAACGTTGAAGATACTGAAGGTGTTATCCAGTATCCCAGCAACTTAGAATGCAATACTACTAAGAAACCGAAATTATCCGAGAAGTGCATGTAATAGAGATACGATGACAATGGTCATTTTAGTCAGGTTTACAGTATGGACACTGATATGTGTAACTTTGTCACTCCTTGTAATACATTTTTTTAAGACACCATTTTTCAGAACTATTCATAAGAATCTTGAATTTCTGACACCAGTAACCTTGTGAGTGAAACGAAACCTCACCAGTCGTAATCGAAGACAATCAGCTAACAAAACGAGCCACAAATTTATGCCCATCTGATCATCTGTGACACTGGCATTATGAAACTTCAGTGTATTTAGTAAGGTTTTTTTTGTTGTCATAACCGGTTACAAAGTGAATCAGCGTTACTGACTACCTTAGTATAGGAGTAAACATTGGAAGCTGAATGACTATTTTTCTTCTCTTTTACTATTTACTATAATTTAGTAATATTTGAAGAAGATACTACAGCTGTGCATAGCTTGTTTACTTCAGTTAACAACTTTTAGTTGGGCTAGTAGATATCATTGACAGCCATCGAATTTTATTCCTTTACATATAGCACTGATGACAATAATATATTCAGTAATTTTTGTTAATACAGCTGACTGACTAATTGGTAGCTTGTCTGGGTTTCGTTTGCATGCAATATCCGAATATTGACATAAGCGTCTCATTGAAGTGTTCTTGAGACACAATAGAGGATCCGTTAGTCTTGTTCCCTTTTGTTGCAAAAAAGAGCATTCATATGTAAAATAGATGACACAGCTTTAGGGCACTGCGAAGTGATTGTACACATAACTACCAACAAATCACTGGCATCTAAATATTTGGTGAACGCAGGTTTCTGAATATTTTGGTGAATTTCTTGTCTCTGTATCATAAGCATAATGACGATTAATACTAATTGAGTGCGTAAGGAAGAGCTATAACACCAAAATTTCTTGACGAGAAAAAGACAAAACATTTAAACGATTCTAAATAGAAAATTTCACCGTCTTGTAACATGACAAGCAGTCACATGGTCATACTGTTGGAAAACCCAAATGAATCTAATTCATATTTTCAGTGTAATTTGGAGTAAAGTGTGAGGAGTTAATCAACAGAAAGTCGTTGATAACTCAGATTTCATGGTTCTTGGCACTCATCAAAACATTACGGCTTCAATCTTACCGTATGGTCCCCTACTTGACACTGAGGTGACAAACTTTAACTCCGTATCCAGTCTTTCATGATCTTTGCATTCTAAGATTGTTTTTGTAGGCATGGAAAGTGTTCAGGTGGCTAAGGCCAAATTCAACCACCTGTGGTATCGGTGACATTTTTGAATGGCTGCTGACCGCTGTCCTTTCAGCAGCAGTTCATCCTGTTCTACTTTGTGGTGCGTAACTTGACTATTAAACGTAGAAGGGAAGCTCAAGCTTTAGAAGTCCTGTAACCCTTGTTTTAGACGCATTCCTATTTTGTGATTGGAAGACCCCGTTAGGAATGCAGAAACCGAGAGTAGAGTCTAGGATTAAAAAAGCAAGTTAGCTGATGTGGTAGAGGAATTAAATAAATTCAGATCCCTTATCGTCATTTACCTTGTCACATAATTATACCTTATGTAAGTTTGGACTAAAAAGTGGTAATTGGCACCCAGACTGAAACTCGACATATTTCCATGAATTATCTGAACGCAGACTTCCCTATTCGGGTCTGTTTCCAAATTAAAAGCAGTGGATTTATGCTTTAAGTGGTATGATTCAGAATTGACTTTTACTGGTGCGGATAGATCGACGTGTTATTTCCATCCTAGTAGTGATATTTCATCACATTATTTTTTCACTCAGTCTTCTCATCCATAAAACTTCTACAACCCTTGTTTGCATTTTTCTATTCCTGGCTCATGTTTCATCTAGCTAACTTGCATCTTCATGTGTTGCAACTATAACTACTACACAATAACACCAAGTCCCACGCTGACACTGACTGATACACAGTATTAATTTTATAGTTTTCTTTTAACAGGAATATCCCCGAATCACCAAAGAACTTGCATTTTTATGTATGGAACAATTGGCTGCTTTCTAGTAAAAATATGTATAAAATCTGCAACTTGATTTATTGGAGCCTTGCTTCGGAAAAACCTAAGTTTTTCAATCTATTGTAGAAAATAATTGTAAAATGAGATTGCAATTCATGATTACGAGGTTGCCACTAGTACATCATCAATGTAACTAACATGAATATCATTTTTAGTAACTTCAGACATGTTGTATTAAAGAAAACTGAATAGTTTAAGGACTACTGATTACCTGAAAGAACTGTTGTAGTTCAGCGGAAGCAAGCAATTTATCTTGACGATTTCTTAGCTCCAACTGCAGCAGCTCCCATTCTTTATTCAGTTCTATTCTCAGTTCACCAACTTCCTTTGATGCATACAGTTCACCTGACGTGAGATACAAATCCCTTCTTTGTGGAGCTTCTTCCACTAATGCCTTCATCAGTTTTTCACTTTCAACAATTAAATTTTCAATTTCAGCCTGCAAAGCACTGAAATCCCTTTCCCATCCTAAAAGTCTTCTCTGCAACTGCATGACACTATTTAAATCTGTGCCTAAATCATCCGTTGAAATCAGTAATTCTCTTTTACGTATTATCCATTCTTTGGTACTTTGGCATAAAGCATGGTGTTTTGATAAGTTAGCCGCTAACTCAAACCGCTCATGCCGTGAATCGATTAAAACCTTTAATCTTTGCCACTTTCTAGTTACATGATCTAATAGTTTTGAATATCTTGATTTGAAGACAGTGATATCACTCTTTTTTTCCTTTCCTTTGACTTCTTCACCCTCATGTGTATCAAAGTAGTCAATCTTCTTGTAACATACAATTGCATCATGCTTTTGTTTGTTTTCTTCATCAGATGGAACCTCTTCCTGGCTTTCGTCGATGAACTCACTTTTTGCCTCTGCATCTTCTTCATCAGCATCCTCATCTATCGATAAGTTTAATTTGATTGTGGTTTGAATAAAAAGAAAGATATCGATATCCTTTTCTTTGTCAAGTTTACCTAAAGTATCACGCAGACCTTGATCAAGCATTCCAATTTCACTGAGTCTTAGATTTGCATGACTTATTAGTTCATTTTCAAACGTTTTAAACCTATAGGCTTGCACAGATAGTTGAGATAGGGAATGAATGATTTCTTTTGTAATTGTAATTGGGCTTGGTTTTGGTAAAGATTTAATAAACGCCAAAGAAGGATATATTGGAGGATTGAAAGTCAATAAAAGTTTTTCCCTTTAGTAGAAATGGAAATAATAGGAACTTAAATAAGAATTGAATTATAAACCATTGGGTTAAATTTGTTAACTTAAAAAAGAAATTATTTTGTTCACAGAATGTCATGTGCAATAAAAAGATGTTACAAATTCAAACCACGAAGAAAATGAATAGTATATATTTCAAAAATACATTTTTTCTAAATATGCAAATCTAACTATTCCTTTACTTGCATTTACCATTCAGAAACCTGATACTATATTATAACTGGCAAAATGTTACCAGCGCCCAAAATCAGCAACTAAATTTGGAAGATTTCCAACTGTTCACGTAGTCTACGGGGTACATTCAGTCCTGGAGGTGAACGGTTACCGTAGAACAAAATATAGTGGTAATAGTTGACAATTTTATAACTTCAACAACACAAATTTCCAACGATTCTGACTTATCAATCCACACTATTGTATTTCTTTGGCCTATCGGTTTCTGAAGTGTAGTTTTCATAGGCTGAAAATATATCATCACTGCAACAGCAAAATATCATGAAATATTTGAGTGGATAATTCTGGGAATCTGTTCACTTCTATGGGGTAATCAACTTATATCATAAGATTGACAGTAAATAGTCTAAAAATAACTAGTGTATTAGAACTAAGCAGCCTCACACTGAACGACAAACATCAGTACGTATTCACGTCAAATATAAGTTATAACTATCCGTCTAGATAATAAGCAGCGAAAACCGACTATCAACAGACGATCAATTAGATGCTTACTTATCTTCAATCCAATTCTCCAATGATGTAATATTGTCAATAAGACGAAAAACGTTCCGCTTGATTTCCAAAGTGTCTCTTTGTCTCAAAGAATCCTTCAAGTAATCTTCCAAATGCATATGAATAAAATGTAAACGATTCAGTAAGTGATACGCAATTGTTGAAATATGTGGTAGCAACAAAATATTTAATTCATGTGCTTCGGGAGAATTAAGTGGAGTCTTGTAGCTTTTTTCGCAATATCCATTATCCCCATCATCTCTAAACTCTTCATTTGGAGATTTAGATAGGGTAGATATGAATGCTTTTCTATCTCCTACAGATTCATCAGATAACGACATAATTTGATCTTCGATTACTTCAAGTTCCACCGATTTACTGGATAAAAAACCCTCAGTGGTTTGGTTTTTATTTTCCCCTTCTCCTTCTTCTTCGACATTAGGTTTGTGTGCGATAGAAATAACTTCATCTTGAAATGAAGAACTGACAGTTGGTGCACCAGTTATTGAAACATTATCGCTGAGATTGATACTGCTATCTTTTTCATGATCATCATCTATGGATTGAACGGACGAAAGTGAACACTGATTAATCAGTTTCCTTGACGCACTGAGTTTAGCCAACTCAGTTTTCAGGCGTAGAAATTCTGTATGATCGTTCTCATCTAAAGCTGATTTTGATGGCAAGAAAGCATAGACCTCAGTTCTCAGTTGTTTCAGATGTTTCGGAAACGATTTGAGTTGTTCAATGACCTGAAGATATAAGGAAGAAAGTGGGTAATATATTTCAAACCCTTGTAGGCTATGTTTAACTGTTGTGTTGAATAAAAACCCACTTTTAACTTTGTAAACACTATCATACCTTTGGAACAGTGAAGCCAAAGAGTGAATAATACTTAGGTTAGGCTACGTGTTTTTCTGAGTGAGAAAAATCAGTCACCAAAGAGTGTGTGAACTAATGAAGCAAAATGACTCTGACAAAAATTGAGTGTGCTCACACACTACCCAGTTTGTTTATCTATGGCCCAGTAAAAACATACGGCCATCCAAACAGCCACTGACCAATGATTTCGGAAATAAAGACGTACCACGATCTTTTTAGCGTATTTCAAACGGCAATAACCAATAACGTTAAGCATAACATGACATGAATCGAAAAGGATTTTCTGCAACCGCTATTAGTTAACTCCTTGCCTTATATTGAAAGTAACTGGTTTATTTTCCAGGTGCATAAGCCAAAAGTTACGCAGATTAGAATAGCGATTAGCAAAGCATATTCTTACTGTACTGCATTTATTGACAGATATCAACAAGTTCTTTCTGATCTCCTCCTGTATCTCTCACTATCCTGGTGGAAGACACTGAATTGTAGACCTCCGAAACAAGATCACACACTGTGTCATAAACCAACGACATTACATGGGAAGTTCTAAACCACAGGTACTAGTTTGTAGATTGTACTAACCACATCACAATGTTACAAAGGGAAAATCCAGTAATCCGTAACACGAATGGTAACGTTGAACAAAAAGTTGATTAATAATAAAAATAAATACCCACAGCAGAATACACTTAGATTGAACGGAAAAGATTTCAAGAAAATAGTGGTGGATGATATGAATTTATTGAGCATGAATTCAGCAGGCATTGAAAAAAATGTCTGTTGACTTTTATTTCCCATCATGCACATCAGTATATTCTCAGAAAAAAGGTAGTTTTGCGATTTAAACAACCCTAAATTCTTCGCAGTACTTTTTCGTTGTAATTAACAAGTAAACTGAAGAAAAACTAAAGCGAATTAACAAGCTTTTCGGTTGGAACTATGGCAGGAAGTGTTGATGGTTTATTGAAAACTCAGAATTCACAAGAAAAAGTAGTCACATAAAAGTTTTTGTTACTTGAAAAGTCCGAATGAAATATGGTCGATAAAGCATACAAAACTTGTTTTGCTTTTAAGACTCTAAAACAGGTAGCGTGCAGATCGCATGAAACGTAAGCATAACTGTGGAAATGGTTCTAACGTTTTCAGAATTTGTTCAGCTTTTATGGACACTGTGAAACAAACGGCCTCCGAAATAACCTTTGTTCGGAAAGGAATTCATGCAAAGAATGCGTCAGGAGTCAAACGATACACTCAGCTAAATTTCCTATGGCAGCCTTTTTTTGAAAGTTTGCGAAATGCCTTGTAGCGAGAAAAATTAAGATATTAAGGAACCTTGGAAGTGTGAAAGCCTTTGGAATGCAGTTTATATCAGCATAGAGAGAATGCCAGTAGCAAGTGAAAGAAAAAGCTGACATCGAACCAACGACTTCCGTGTTTTCATCCTATTTCTTGAATTACTGATAGACAAAACCGAAAAAGCTAACTCAATCGTCGGTTTCTGACAACCATTGAGTGTAAAGAAATATTCGCAGAATACGATGCGCATATTTCATTGAGTAGCTTACTATCGGCTATAAACAACCCACTATCACAAATATGATCACTACCAATATGTTAATGTACTTAAACTGCTTCAAGTAAAAGTCAAGTTCAAAATTCGAAGTCCACTAAAAGACCACATATATTATTAATTTGCCTTGCACACTCATTAAAACAGTAGTTTGAGTTCAAAGCCAACACTTGAAAATTTGGAACTACGATAGTTTTGAAAGACTGCTTCTCTCGCCTGAACTAATCAAAATGTGCAACTGATGGACTGTTCAGAACAAGTGAAATAGAAATCTTAACTGTTTACTCCTTGAATTTTACTTTGAAGTAACACTGGCTGGATGTCAGTCGGTCATAGTCACTCTTAACGATGTTCTCTAATGTGTCAATAGAATCTTCATAACAAGCAATTATATAGTTACTTTTATTCTTTGTCATCATGTCAAAAATAATGTCTACAAATATCTACTTAATCTTAGAATTTTTAATTAGTATCATACAAGAATATAACCCACATGATCCATTTGTCTTAAAGTTGAATTAATTACAATTTCCTTATCAACAGTAAGAGCCTTATGCTCAGCTATGTCAGCAGCTTTTTGTCGAAAAGCTTCTTGTTTGACTCCTTGAGTTTCGGCATTACTGTATTTCACTAATGATTCATATTCAAAGGAATCACTGGAATCCTCAGTATTGGAAATAAGCATTATCATAGAGTTAACACTGTTATATGTTTCACATATTCTCAGATTAGCTTCTTCAATTCTCAGATCAGTTATGACTAAACTATGTAATGCATTTAGATAACAAGTGTGTTGAATTAACTTGGTATTTATTGATTTGATAGCTTCGAGTAATTTACTCCAGTGTCGTTGTAGTAAATTTATAAACTCTTCAGACTTCATCCTGCGTTCTTCAATAGGTATCACTTGAATGCTTGTAGTGATTGTGTTAGTATCTATAGGGATTGATGTATTGCTCTGTGTAAACAATTCTTGGACAGACTTCAGAATATCTTCATATAGCTTTATCAATATACACTTGTTTAACTGTTCGATTTCTTCAAGATACGGTTCTCCACTCAGTTGCATGACGTTAACAGTACTCAGTGCCATTACATCATTTATGTTCATTTGACTGAAATTTTTTGTACTTAATTCAAAAACAATCCTATGTAACTGTTCACCTAGACTGCTGTCCGACAATAAAAATGGACTTTCAAAATGGTTAATTCCATATCGTAATTGAAGTTCATTAACAAGCAGACGTGATTCTCTTCGCACTTGATGCGTTCTTTTGCTAAATTCAGAAAAATGTTCAGCTAGATCACTTTTCTCAACGTTAGGAGGAGTAATTGAGAATTCTTGATCCTAAATATCATATGGAATAAAAGCAAGAATAAAGACACTTTTAGAAAAAATCGGTAAAAAACATACTGAAGCATTTAAATATACTAATTACATGCTGAATTCTTCATTTTCTTTAGGACGGTGTTATAGTAAGCACGTATGGCATACCTTGGAACAAGGATTTACAATAATTACGTTGCTCTTCCGACGAAATTCTAAATACTTTTAGTCTTAGATTATTAGCACACTCGCTGAAGGGATAGAACACAATAAGCCTTTTATGATGTTAAAAGATTCTCTGATGAACGGCTCTCAAATAAGAAGCATTTGTAAAAGCTAAGATGTTTCGGTTTAACAAATGCTAGCAAACATATTCTATAAAATTTAATACATTTGCCACAAGAAAAAGCCTTAATTATATAAATACTTTGTAAAAAGTTGTCTATGATGAACGCTGCAGCTGGTTATCATTTTTTCGCAAAATTTCTCACAAAGCAATCCTTGATATGCATAGGTGAAGAGTTATGAGAACTAGTTGTTGATTTTACAGATCATTATTATCCTTTATTCTCTCTTCTTGTCTTTAGTTAGCGACTGATCTGAAGTTGTGCAAAAAGAAATATATATTAAGTTACATTACCAGCTAATTCACTACCTCTGATCTCCCTTCTTATCATATCAATTGTACACTTAAACTCACCCTTCTTATGTTAAGTTAATGTAGTTTCGTCGATCTGCATCGCTTTCATTTGTTTTAGATACCTGATCATTATAACAACTTTTATCATGAATCTTGCTTTTGGGAGATGTGACCTTTATAATTCAACCCTGGAAACAAATTTCATCTCATCAAATTCTTTGCATTCCGTCAAATTAACACATTGTACTATCTTTCGATTGTCTGAGATTTTACAACCAATGTAATGTTATCATGTCAGTCGATAATTGTCTCTTGTATGCAGTTAACAGTAACGGTTTCGCACGCAATTGTTTCTTTAAGAGTTTAAATTTCCTTTAATAGAGGTAGAAATCATAACATACAAAGATGAGCTCCTCACTGAAATAGGCTTCAAGAAAGGAGTATTTCTCCGACAGTAGTTGAGAAAAAAAGTAGAACTACTGTGTAAAAATCTCTCTTTCTCTATCTCAGCAAGTCTCTAGTGCTTGAAGAAAAAGTATTTTGTGCAGAAGCTTATGAAACTATTCAAAATCAAATAAGATATCAATTTATCAATGTTCAACACTGGAAAAAACGTGTCTTCTGAATAAATGAAGTAATGCAAGAATGCTTATTACAAATTTTGTTTAAAAGCCTTTGTAATACAAGTCAACTAGAAACAAATATGCATTCAGCGGAAAGTTAACCTACCCACTTCTGACTACCGCTTTCAACTGAAAGAACATCTGCACACTTCCAAACAGTATACATTGATTTTTTGTCAGACCATATGATAGTACTAATGTGAGCAAAAGGTTTTTAGAGTACAATACTATGAGTGGTCAGAAAATAGGGATAGATTTCAACAAAGCGAAAGATCTGAAAACCAATGGTCAAATACCAAATATCTCACATGGTATCTGTTAACATTGGCAATGCTTTAATCAAATGCAAGAATTTCTGTCTCTCCTGTGGTTTATTAACCATCGAACAAACTTATATTTTCAGGTTAAATAATTCCATATAGGTGATTTTAAAAAGCGACATAATCTATCTACTTTAAGTAGATATGTTTAGAGTACTTTATAAAATCTAGCAGTTATTAGGTGAGAACACTGTCAAACGTCAGTGTTTCCAGGTTCGAATCCCGTTGTGTTAAATTACATAACTGAGTTATCATCAAGTCGCTAGTCAGTGCATCCTTTGATGAAGATGCACTTCACTCTTGATTCATGAGTTCTCAGCTAACAGGCAGATAATGATTTTTTAAAAAGCTGTTGACCACATCGAAGTTTCACTGTCCAATAATGACTACGTGTTTCGATCGACAAACTGTTGTTCCTTTTGTTTTTATGGACCATTTCATGTGACTATCCTGTAACCGCAACCATTTATGGGGAAGCACATGATATGATTAGCTCACTGAACCAACTGGACACTTTCAGACTGACTCTGCTCTCTAGTAAAACGTGCTCGATAACTCTATCCAGCCTTGCTTACCAGCTACGAAAGAACAGAAATGCATCTTCAGCTCAATAACAGAACACCTTGTGAATCTAGATCTCTCAGCTCCTTTTGAGAACACTTTCAAAATCCTCTACAGGATTCGATCAAGCCATTCAAATGAAGTGAGACTAAGACATTTGAGTCTGGCTGGAGCACTAGCCATCCAGAAGTTCACACCAACAATATGTGTGCAAAAATGTATATTCAACCTTTTACATGACCGTGGTCATCTTGAAACCTTGGCTGTTCTAGATAAATCCTATACTACATAGTTGCATTTGTCTTCTTAATTTCCTTGTTTGCTTTTCCCACTCCAAACCCTCATTCGTATTATCCAACTTCTTTTTCTACTTAATATATTTTGACCCTTGACCGGAAATAACTCTGGAGTTTCTAACCCATTGCGATATATATTCACGTATTTACAGCTAAGTAGATAATTTCGTTAAAAGAAAAAAACTTCTCTTCTTTCCAACAGTCCTCCTTGTAGTTTACTATCATCAAATGGGTGTGTTCCGCTGATCCGAGGTGTATTTCCAACAAAAGTGGATGGGCAGCAACCTGAGATCTGTGCCATGAACATTTGAGTGGCTGAAAACGTTTCTGGCTGAATCATTTGAAGAAGTTGGACAAGTTTTTATTCAACAATCGATTACCATTTACTTCAGTGGTCATCAAATTCTAACAGATACTTCCATTAATCTCCTTATGTGCTGTACTATTATATCACCTCCCTAAGATTTGCATGATTCTTTGATCCACAGGGTTGTCTATGGAGTATGCTGACTTCATTTAGTTTCTAATAACCATTCCATACTAACTATATGTTGTTGGATTACCCTTATTAAAATTTTAAAAATCCTGTGAATTGTTTCATTTTGATAACTTATTTTGGAATACATGTAACAAGCTGAAGAGAAGGTGATGAGATAAAATAAGAAAAATATTTCATGACTGTTGTCCAGAAGAACAGCTATCTATTCAAATCTATCAAAATGTGTTTGTCTTATTTTCCGTCAGACGAACGTCATCCTTACAAACTAAGAAACAGATTGTCTTACGTTGCACGAAGAATGCATCCGACATCGCAAATAGATTACTGAAGATGTTTGGTATCAGTGTAGTTCAAAAGCCTACAAGGTCTTTTCACTCTGCGTGATGGAGGTCAAAAGATACAGTAGCAAAGGAAAACAAGCCAAACGTTATCAATAAAAATAAACCATAGAAACTGTGAGAAGACTACATCGAACAGGGTGACCGCCCTCTTTGCTTCCATCTGGATGAACACCGACTAGCAGTGAAGCGTCGTCATATATCTTCGCTCATATCAATAAATACGGACAAATGTGGACATGATTTTGACTGAGAAAATGTGAAAATCCTGGGTAGAGGAAATACAAAGAATTTTAAGAAGCATGATGTTCAGATCAGCCAGTTATCAACAGACATTGACATTGACCAAATTTATCAACCAATAAGTTCAGAGTTCACGTTGACAAGACAACCAATTGCTCTATTTACATTTGTGATGGGAAAAAGTCGTATGCAGTCGAAACACGTACGGAGACAATATTTTAACAGAAACAAACAATCACATTCAAAACCATCAGGACAAGCTGCTAAACCTCCTACACCTCACTTCTTCTGAAGTTTGTGCAGGTGATTCGGCATAGAATGAAAATGAAAGTTTCATGATTAAATCATCTATCTCAGAGAAGACAACACCTTCACAATCATCCCCCTGAGCTAAAACTGTTCTCCGTCATTCATAAAATGTCACTGTATTCTATAAAAATTTATTGTTCGTTCTCTTTTCAAGGTTTCATAAGTGTATGCAACTCATAACTGACATGAGTTCACTGTATTTCCCTCTTCTCGTTTTGTACTCAAATTCAGCAAATGTGAAACTTTCTGATAAGACAAATAACTTATTAAATGATCAACTTCTCATTTCATTTTTCTGGGTAAACATAAGTAAAACATCAGTGTGCTTTTCAATCTGTAAACTTACTTTAATCCACAACTGTTCTTCATTTATCTCATTTAGTAAACGATATACATTTTTGACTGCTGCATTCCATTGACTTGTCTCGAATAAATTCCTCTCAAGGTTTGAATGATACAGCATGATATAATTTAAACTATTTGATATATTTATTTGTAGATGACTTATTGGAGCAGTGTTATCATCAAAATGTCTATTCTCTGCATCCTTTATAGTATTTAACAAGTCTTTAACTGATTCTATCCATATCACTAACTGATTCATATCAATTTGAAACTGATCTAAGCATGTATCAACAGGATTAGTTTGATTCATCTCAGTTAAATATTTCAACTGAAGCATTTTACTCTCAAATTTGTGTAGTTGATCATTTAACTGTAACAAGAGATCCAACCAGTCCTGACACAATTTCAAATAATTTTCACGACTTAATAATTTCTCTTGTAATTGTCGATTTCTTTCTAAGATCATATTCCATTGTCGTTTGTATTTATCACACTGACTTTGATTCACTGATGATGTTAAAACCTTAAAGATTTCATGTAGTCTTTGTAGTTTTAAATTGACATAAGTTTCTGTATCCGTGATTAAGGCAGCGTGTTTATGTCTAGATGATGTAATTTGATGCCGATAAGTTATGAGATCATTTTGAGAGAATTGATGAAATCCTTGATGTTGTTTACCACTAATAGTCATGAAGTATTCTTCAAATGAATTCATTTGTTCCAAAATTTTTACATCTTCTGTACTTGATGCGATGTTCATAATCTGAATATTCTCTTGTAACCAGCTGAGACATAGTTCAATTTTGCGTTCATATTTTTGGCCTAAAATTTCTAGATTTTCCTAAATGATTTTCAGACAGGATTATAAAAGAAGAAATAGAATAACTCATAATTCAGAAGTCACTTCAGCTTCATTACTGTTACTTATCTGATATTTGATCGAATGTTATAGAGCCTCACACGCGAAATAATTATGACTTATACGTTACACTTTTACACAGTTACCTCAACTGGTGAAAAAGGTATATCCATATTCTAAACCAGTAGCAGATAGAGCAGCTGGCATAGCCTTGTTGCATGAAAGAAATGAAATGACTGTATACTAAGGGAATTTAGTATTAGCAGTGACTTGTTGAGATAAATTGCATTCACAAAACTAATTAAACTCGCATGCAATGAATGAAAAAAACCTTGGAAATGGGGAACAGAAATCTGTCTTTACAATCAATGCTTTTAATTGATTGAAATCACTCCTAAAAAATCGAGCTATATGTGTGCGCTTAGAGTTTGTAATCTATTTAGAGTTAGATATACACATTTCCTGACCAGAAGGAGCTCTTATAAAGTTCAACTATAACTAATACTTTAACAAATAGGTGTGAAAAACAAAACAATAAAAGGTAATATTTGGGGAATTTACGAAAAACGCTAACAATAACCACTTAAAACTTAAAAACCAGTGAGCTTCCTTCTACTAAACTATTATTATTTTTCCCTTCGGTTCCTAGTGGAATATAGGACTTCAGTAGCACGCCTTCATTGCACTCTGTTCTCTGCAGTCTTTTCAACCTCGCCCCACCACTGTCCACAAACTTCCATTCCTTCCTCAAATCATCTCCATGTCACCCTCTCCTTCGACACCCAACTAGTTGCTTCACCTTCACATTCCACTTGAGGGTCTAGTGCGTGATATCCCTGAGTGGCCTTCTCACTGTATGCCTAATCAAATCCATCCACACTTCCTTCCGCATATTTGTTGGGCAATCGGTTCTTGCTTGGTTCGTTCGTTGCCAGTCAGAGTTCCTTGTTGCTTATCCTCATGATTCTGGCCACATGATCTTCAGTATCGAGCCAGCCTAGGCAGCTGTTGATGAAATATGTCTGTAGTTTGTTGGAAACGCTTTTCGTAACGCACACAGTCTCTCAGCCATCACTGACTTGACTGACGTTAGTGTTGAAAATCCGGATCTTGTTCACTCTTTATGTTGAGTGCAGTAGATCTCCACACCGATTATTTCAGATTGATTCAGGAAGGCCTATCTTGCTGTCTTTCCGAACCTGGCTGGCGTTGACTTCCTCATCTGTGCCGCCACCGCCTGTAGTTGAGACAATGCTGCTTAGGTAGGTGTAGGTGAAAGAGACAACTTTCTTTAGGTTTCCCCCCTTATTGGTGATTGATGATTGTTGTTGATGCTGTTGTTGGGTGGATATCTTCATCACCTCTGTCTTCTCTACTTCCACTTGAGGTCCCGTTTTCGCCCCACTGCCTCTTCTGTCAACTTGTTAGTTTTCGCCTGTAGATCTTCGAGTTGGTGAGACAAGACGTTAGATACAAATCATCATCGGCGGTGAAATCCAAATCTTCTTCTGGGGTCTTTTCATCGGTCAAGCAGCGCATGCCTCTCTTCTCGCTCCTCACAGTTTGTTGCTTGATCCAGTCCATTCTAGTCGACCACAATCAGGAAGATCATGGTTGATAGTAGGCAGCCTTGTCTTACTCCTGTCTTTACTTCAGAGGCGTCACTGAGCTTCCCATTGTGGATCACTTGGCATGTAGCATCAAATAGCTGCTGTTGAATGAGGCTGATAAAGTATAAGTAAACTAAAGGTAACTAATTCAAAGTCTGATTTCCGAAAGTTTTTTCGACAACTGAGATATACTTATTATTCCCTCTACAACACTCAATATGAGTTGCTGTGGTATGCAAACCAATGTCTATAATTAGTCACACTTACACCCGATCTATCCAAAACTTCATGAATGTCATTTGTGGCATGCGATGCAACTTCGGTACAGCTGTGAACAGACATACCTGTATCTATGTATACGGCAAGTGATCATAACTACAGGTCAGTGGTGAATTTCATTCGTCTGGTGATCTTTTATTCTTATTTGACATAATTTGTTTAGCACACCAACGATGTACTGAGTAAAATACACTATTCATCTAATTCGTATGTTTTATGTCCGTCAAAGGACATCCATTCTCGTTTTGTTAATGAACTTTGTCTGTACGTTTGAGTTTATAGAGATTGGCTTTGTCGCAGAATAATGCTAAGTAGACCTACGGTACATACATGAAGTAGTTTCGTGAATTGAAGATGCCGAAAATATTCTGTATTCTAAACAATTTGAGTGATTATATGAGAATACTTCAGATGCATTTCTAACCTCCAGAATGCAAATTGTTTCCCCAGAAGTAGTCTCTGCTGGCACCTTATCTAACAGATAAGAAAAGACGTCGCACCAGGCTTGGTTAGTTAGTGATTGACGAAACCTCGGCACCGATACAAAAGGCTCACTTGACTTTTGCCGGTGTTCCCCACCTATAGAGCGGGTGTGTATTGTCTAACTATCCATTAACGACTGACTATACCGCTCTGTAGTTCGCCTCGCGCTACTATATGCCTGTAAAACATTACCACTAAAACCAGAAGGAACGAAAAGGTTTGAGTTTCTTGACCACAACTCCCCTATTAGTGTTGGCTGAATCGTAGAAAAAGCACTTTATAAACGTAGAATTCAGGCACACAGTTTCAGGCAAGTGGGGTAAGTCATCCAAAGCAGTGGTGAACCTTCATAGACTTAAGTGGTTTTCATATGTAGTACGCACGCATTGTTACCATTTACCACCTCAATGTTGTCTGCTGTAGGTTTAAGCCAAAAACGTTTTAATACATTCAGAGCTGAAAAAGACATCGGCCGATGGAGTCTCTGATTATCAGACTGAACCGTGAAGAGGGATGTGGACTTCCAAATTGAGGTTAGATCAAAGGAAGATAAATGGTTGGAGACTGTGGATGACATGGCTTAGAAAACATTTGGATGATGCACACTGATCTGCAAATTATCCTCACCCTAATCATCTGATCACATTTTTTTTCATTATTTACCGCCTCTTCCTTTTAACTAAATTTCATTCACTTATGTTTTTGTACCATTTTTTTTGTTTGACCTCACTGCGTTGTATCTTGCTACAGTGATATGAGGTAGGGAAAGTCTGACAGTCGTGAAGTGTTGCCGTGTTTTGCGCTGATACTGACTGACTGAAATACATTTTTCACTGTAGTATACATTACAGATTGGTGTTTAGTTTGTGCGAGTAGGTATGACGCGTATAGCTGTGAGGATAAGACTAGCTCACAGTGACAAGGATAACATGATGAAATGGAGCAAAGAACAGCAACTGACGATAATGCATTCATTCAGTGTATTATTCAAGCTGAAGAAGAAACAACTAGTCACTATTGTAGCCCTAAACAATGAAGAGTATTAGAAGCATAACAATCTCCTAGATGGAGGTTGAGAAATAATATCACCCAGTGCCTACAAAAAAATACTAGATATGCGCCAACACTGAGTTCTATAATCTCAAAGTAATAATTTCCTACTATTCTCTTCACAAAATGCAGACTGTAGTCGGTGATCTGGTTATGGTTCGATTCTTCGTATCTTTCTTCACATCTAGCTTTATCAAATGTCCTAATAAGCGTTTTCAATAATTGATATTGTTGTTTGGGATCTTTGATTACCGAAACCATCTATTAAATCAGAGTAAGTTGATTTGATATCGGGTTGTTCATTTGATATGGCACATCGAATTACTGATGTCTCTGACCTACTGGAGTGACGCTGTAGACGACAAACATTTGGATTCGTATAGCCATAGTCATCTTATCGAATTCTAAGCATTTTATTTACTTACCTCTTTACCGTTATGTTGAGTAACGGAGGATAGGAATTAACTACATGACTATTTATGCTAACATGGCTGGATAAAAAGCTTCAACTTTACAATATCTATCACAGAATCCATATGAAAGGAAAAGTTTTCAAAACGAATTTACCCACCCAATATGTAACTTTTTATTAGAAATAGTAAAATTTAGTTACATGGGAATGTAGTGTTGCTTTCCTCTTTAAGTTTGCATACCAAAACTATGGAATGATGAAAAGTTGGAAAACCTAAGTACTGCTTTTTCATCAGACTTTGAAGAACTCTGGTAATCAAATGACATACTTTTAGCTTAAGGAATATCCAGGTACATAAATCGAAAAAGGACATCTTGTTAAGTTATTATTGTGTAACTCACTCGTTGAAGTAATTCATCTATAATAGCTAGATGACAGTTATGTTCAGCAATAGTTAAAGATTTCCATGATTCCTCTAAATCACTTAAATGAAAACCACTTGGAGGTTTGAATAATCGATGTGATGCGGCTAGTTGACTAGTATGAATTTCACTTAGAAGTGTCTAAAAAATCAAAGAAATACAAATTTAAAAAAATCTGCCATATATGTACTCATGAGCATTTTATAGTTAACTTGATGCATCAGTGTGATTCTTATTTTAATTATATCACCTATCCTTCACATCTAACAGTTACCAAAAACACTCAAGCTTTTGTGGTAATCCATATAATAAGAGTTTAGTGGAACGTTTACCGTTAAGTTCTAAATCACTGTGACTGGGAACTAAGCTTATTTTTCCAATGCAGAGAACCATTTTGGAAATAAGGATTGAAATGCTTGGTCTATGTATCTGGTTCACTTCTCTAAATGGACAGCTTTCATTCCCGAAGCTTGGAAAAAGTGTTGTTACCTAGAGAACTTCTGGTTTCAGTGTCAGAAATATGTGGCTTTTTGTTGAAAACTACATTCACCTTACTCATTAGTACTCAAATCATTTCCCTAGTTCGAAGTTTTGTATCAGTTACTTTCAGTCATACATACCTTTCTCTTTAGAAAAAGGTTTTGATGTTAAGTGAATTTAACTGAATAATCCTTTATCAAAATGCATCCAAAGGATTTTCTTGGTTATGGTTTGAATTACTTCGCATACCATTCATTACATGTATGAACACAGAAAATAATTAAGACTATTCAATTATTTTTCCTCTCATGTGATGATAATAATAACACCTGATTACCTAGAACAGAATCATGAGTTTATTTCAGAAATTCGAGTAAGATTTCCAAATTACATCAAACAAATACTGAGTATAATCAGACAGTCTCAATGGTTCATTTAACCAAAGTGAAAAGATTTACTGTCTAAATCTTTGAGAAACATTGCTCACTATAAGTATATGCGGTTTAAGCATAGAAATATCATTACAAAAAATTTGTAATACTTACCTCCAAGTGAACTAAGTCAGACATTTTATCTGCTCTTTCTTTATATCTCCAAGTCAACAGATTTTGTAATTCCTGTCTAACGTCCAATTCATTTCTGCTTTTATCATTTGCTTCCAGTTTAAATAGTAATTGATTTAACAGTTTATTATGAACACTACACCATTTCAACCATCGTCTTGCATGTTTAATATAGTCTGATATACTATGACTTATAGTGAAACTTTGTTGAATCACCTTGTTCACCCGTTCACATGACAATTTTGTGTTATGTGAAGTGGTTAACCATCGATACCATGTTGCAACAACTGTCAGTACACAGCGTTCCTCTAACCAGCATGTTTGTATAAAATCTCTAGATTTAATTAGTATAGGTATGCCTAAATGTAAATTAGCTTGTTGAAAGACAATATCTAATCGTACTTCTGAATTATCAACACAACGAATTTCATCAAAATCAATCAGATTTGGATAATGTCGATGTAGTAAGGCTGCAAAGGCTAGACTATCACGCCAACTTTTTGTAAAATCAACAACATCAACCTATGAGTAAAATATAAGAAGAAACACTGTCATGCAGTTTTAAACAAGCATAGAAATAAATGACAATTACATTTGTCAGTTGGAATTTTGAAACATCACTAACAGTCCTCTGTGTTTCATTTAATCTTGAGTTAACAAATTAAAGCAGCATAGAAAACCATAACACCCTCTGAATTTAATGCACTTCCATCTGTTGCCACAATATACTGCGTCGGTAGTAATGTTCCACAGAGGAAACATTTTTAACTCACCTCTTTTTCGTAGAGAATTATGGTTTAAATAGAACCTAATAACTCAAATTATCATCTGATTTCATTAAGTAAATTTCGTCTTCAGTAGTGTGAGCAATGAGTAGGTAAGAGTAATTCAGATGCATTTAACATTAAAGTATGCTTTAGCTAACGTTCTCGAAAATCTTTTGTATATCCTACTCTTCTTTTCCTTCATTTCTAACTTCGAAAACTTTTCACTTGGATAGTCTTCAAGAGTTAAGATGTATTTTGCAATAGACGTCAAGATTTTAAAACTCCCGATTACAACTTTCCATAATGACTATCTATATATACTACCTTCTTTAAAATGAACGACAATCTGTATTCAAAGATAACTAACATGAGTAACTATGAGTTTGTGTTTCATCAATGACATACAAGCAAAGAAGGCTGAATTCATTTCTTTGACTGTCTACTTATTACATTTCGATGATCACTTTTATGTCCGAAAACCACTTCATGTTAACTCACAGATACAGAAATATCATCAGTTCGAAGGTTAGAAAGAGTCGTTGTTTCAACAATTCATATATTTCTTCACTGATACATGCCCTGTTCTTATTCGGGAATAAATGGCTATATTTCATCATATCAATTATTATTATTATTATTATTATTATTATTATTATTATTAGTCCCTTGGGTTCCTAGTGGAACATAGGGCTTCAGTAGCACGCCTCCAGTGACCTCTGTTCTCTGAGATCTTTTGAACCTGGTCCCACGACAGCCCACAAGCTCTCATTTCCTGCGCGCACGACCTCCTCCATGTCACCCTTGGACGTCCAACTCGTCGCTTCCCATGGGGATTCCACTCGAGGGCCTGACGCGTGATGTCCCCAGTCGGCCTTCTCAGTGCATGGCCAATCCATCTCCACTTCTTCCTGCATATTTGTTGCGTGATAGGTTCTTGGTTGGTTCGTTCCCAGAGTTCCTTGTTGCTTATTTTTTCTGGCCATCTGATCTTCAGCAGCGAGCGTAAGCAGTTGTTGATGAATGTCTGTAGTTTATTGGAAATACCTTTCGTGACGCGCCAAGTCTCTGAGCCATACAAGAGCACTGACTTGACGTTGGTGTTGAAAATCCGTATCTTGTTCCGCATGCTGAGTGCAGAAGATCTCCACACTGGTTTCAGGCTAATGAACGCCTGTCTTGCTTTTCCGATTCTGACTTTGACGTCCTCGTCCGTCCCGCCTGTAGTTGAAACAGTGCTTCCTAGATAAGTGAAGGAGGTTACTTCCTTTAAGTTTCTCCCGTTGACGGTGATTGGAGTTTGTTGTTGTTGTTGTTGATGGTGGTGGTGCGGTATCTTCATCACTTCTGTCTTCTCTATATTCACCTGAAGTCCCGTCTTCGCTGCCTCTTCTATCAACTTGTTAGTTTTTGCCTGCAGATCTTCAAGTTTATGTGACATTAGGCATAAGTCATCGGCGAAATCCAAGTCTTCTAGGTTCTTTTCCGTCGTCCAGTGTATCCCCCTCTTCTCGCTGCCTACTGTTTGCTGCATGATCCAGTCCACCACAATCAAGAATATCATGGGGGATAGTAGGCAACCTTGTTTCACTCCTGTCTTCACTTCAAAGGCATCACTGAGCTTCCCATTGTGGATTACTTGGCATGTAGCATCTTCATATAGTTGTTGAATGAGGCGGATAAAGGTTTGCGGTACTCCGTAGTATTGAAGCAGTTTCCAAATTACTTCTCGGTCGACGCTGTCAAAGGCCTTCTCAAAGTCGATGAAGTTGAGGTGGAGAGGTGATTGCCATTCTATGCTCTGTTCTATGATGATACGAAGCGTTGCAATTTGGTCTGCACATGATTTGTACTTCCTGAAGCCTGCCTGTTCCGGTCGTAGTTTTGAATCCAGTGCATCCCTTAGCCTCTCCAGGATGATGCGGCTTAATATTTTACTTGGGGTGGACAGGAGAGTGATTCCGCGCCAGTTCTTGCAAGCACTGAGGTCTCCCTTCTTCGGCAGTTTGACAAGGTAACCCTTCTTCCAATCGTCAGGTACCTTCTCTTCCTTCCACACCTTCTGCAATAGTGGTGTGAGCATGGCCGCTGTTGTCTCTGCATCTGTTTTCAGTGCTTCTGGCGGTATTCCATCTGGTCCTGCTGCTTTCCCGCATTTCAGTAGCTTTATGGCGTTCAGGACTTCCATTTTCGTTGGGGGATTAATGTTCACTTGTAGTTCAGCGGCTGCAGGTGGTATTTCTGGACGAAGTGCAGGTGGTGGTCGATTCAAGAGCTTCTTGAAGTGGTCGGCCCATCGTTTCCTCTGTTTCTCTTCTTTTGTAATTAAATTTCCTTCTTCATCTTTTATTGGTTTCATCTGTGTTGGTCTCTTCCCTGATAGCAACCTGGTTATTTGATACAATGTCGTCAGGTCTCTCTTACCTGCAGCCTGTTCTGCTTCACTTGCCAGTGTTTCGTAGAAGTGTCTTTTGTCTTTGCGTGCACTCTTCTTCACTTCTTTGTCCAGTGTTTTATACATTGTGCTCAGTTCCTCTTGTCGTTGAGCATCCTTGCACTGGTTTATCTTCTGCTTCACCATCCTCCTCTCCTCTATCAGCTTCCAGGTATCCGTCGAGATCCATTCCTTGTCTTCTTTCTTCTTCCTTCCTAATACTGTTGTGCAGGTTTCTTTCCACATAGCTTTCAAAGACTTCCAGTGTTCTTCCACACAGGTTTCTTCAGGGATGTTCCTCGATGTCTCCCATTTTGTCTTGATGGCTGCCTTGAAGATCTCCTTTGTAGTTTCATCCTTCAGTTTCCGAGTGTTGTACTTGAATTGAGGTCTATCACCAGCTTCCTTGAAGGCTTTTAACTTGATTTGGAAGGTTCCTTGCACTAGATAGTGGTCTGAACCTACATCTGCTCCTCTTCTTGACCTTGTGTTAAGTAGACTGCGTCTCCATTTTCTTGAGATTGAGATAAAGTCGATTTGATTTTTAGTGTGTCCATCTGGTGAAATCCATGTCGCTTTGTGGATATCTTTGTGCCTGAACACACTGCCTCCAATCACCAAATCGTTGAATGCGCAGAATTCTGCAAACAATTCTCCATTCTCATTCATTTCACCTAGTGCCTCTCGACCCATGGTTAGTTCTCTTCCCGTGTTGTCCCCTCCCAGTTTGGCATTCATGTCGCCCATCAGAATTTTGATATCGCCAACTGACGTCTTGTCCAGTGTTGATTGAAGTTGTCTGTAGAAATCCTCCTTTTTCTCTTGCTCTGCATTATTTGTAGGTGCATAACATTGTATGATTGTGACCTTTCTTCCTTTTGAGTTGAATCTTGCTGTCATGATCCTGGAGGAGATTGGTTCCCACTGCATGAGAGCCTTCGATGCTCTTGAGGACATCATGATAGCCACTCCCTCAGTGTGCTCGTGGTTGGCGTCTGGGTGACCGGAGTAGATTATTGATTCTCCAGTTGACAGTTTGGAGAGTCCACTCCCATTCCATCTGCTTTCGCAAATCCCAAGCACTTCGATGTTATACCTTCTCATCTCCCTTGCAATCTGGGCTGCCTTACTGGGTTCAAACATCGTGCGGACATTCCATGTCCCCACGTTTACTTTCGCTTTCATCGAGAGAAGACACATCGGCCAATTGGCTTCCCGAAGGCTTTCACCAACTGGCGTCATTTCGCCTCTCCGATTCCAGCGGGGAATAAGTTTGTTTTCATTTTTTATATTTTGTTTGTGCTTTGAAGTTTCTTTAGCGGTTAGATTTGTTTTACGGGGTAGGGTTGCTAGCCCTATGCCCAACCTTCCCTCTTTACCCGGGCTTAGGACCGGCTAGTAACTAGTGAGCTAGTTAACCAGGCGAGGTTCATCATATCAATACTAAAGGTAAATTCTTATCAGATTTTACAGTTACATTTACAAATTATTCGGTATACGCAGATGATACCACTATAGATGACGGAATTGGGGCGAATGAATTATAAGATAACAATAAAGTTGACAATAACAGTGACACGAATACTATAATTGTATCTGAGTTGAAGTTGAAAGCTATGGGAGAGAAATATCATGAACAAACCTCTTTTGTGCACTTTAGTCCCGCTTAAAAATTCTAACTGCTACGGTCTCTACGATGCCTTACATTTGCAGATGCACAAATTTATAATATTGTGGTAGCACTTTGCATAGAAGCAAAAGTATTGAGATTTGATCTATCGGAGAGCCAGATCGAAAAAAACGTGAGAAGTTAGTGAAGGTTTCCGTTATTTCTCATCAGATTCACTGGTAGTATTCGATTAATTAGCATCAATATGCAAGTCTCTAGAAACATTCCAATTTAGGTCAACTATTTAGACTAGCCATAAATAATTTCATCACTGTTGTTCACATTACAAATAGAATGATTTAAGTTTGCTTTCCCCAGGTTTGACACAAATATCTGAACCTTCGATTCTCCAAACCAAAATCAACATCCAGTAGTCATCTTGGTGATTTGCAGTGGAGTCTAAGATGAATTCAAGATGAAAACAACACCGTGAATATCAAGCAGTATCGAAGCACCAATATGGGAGAGCAACTGCCAAAAAATGTCAAGTAATTCGACCCTGTATTGGAACGAGAAATCGCAAGTATGAACAACTACAAAGCCAGCATCCTTACGAGTTTACAGTTACATCGTTGAGGACTTGTCAAACTGTCTTTTAAATATTCTTACAAAGCAAGACCTGAATAGTAGGAGTGGATATCCTTCCTAGCTTCTAACAAAGCACATAAATGGTGGGGAGAATATGTCCAAACTGCCAACTCCAAAAACCTAATTCTCTCAAAACTGTAACTCAAGCATGACTTTGTTACTGAAATTATCTAGTAACGCATAAGGCGATTCCTGAAAGTCGCATTTGTAGATACTAAATTATATCCCACTCTCTACAGTTGGACGACTCAAGATGTAAGAAACAGAGATTCCACCACTTCCATGGGCATTTACCAGTTAAACTGCTCCTGTGGAACTATTTACATAGGGCCTGCTATGGATTACGGATTCTTCCACTCCACTTAGCAAAAACTATTGCAGTACACCTTTACAACCGTGATGCTTTCAAAAGAAATTTGTCTAACCACCTGAATTATCATGACCGTGAACACATTGTAACTTCTAGTATTACTCTGTACTCCTCTCCACTCCTTGTCTCATTAACATTCTTCTCCTTTTTTATTCTTAAGCAATTAATTAGTTATTGTTTACGGCTAACTACTCGAGAAGACAGTTTATTTACTTTGAATTTTGCCAAAAGCTAATCTATCCCACAATAATTATGATCATTTTTAAATCAGTTGATTATTTGCATCCTGATTTCTTGAATGTATTGCCTTCACGACTTATTAAAAATCTACAGTTATTCTTGATCACTTCTCATCACCTGATTAGTATGTCAGTAATTGCAAAATTTTATATTAAAGGAGAACCAAAAATGAAGATTTTATTGAAAAGGACAATATCTTCTCATCCACTCAGTTTTTTTCTAAAAGTCCAAGTCGTTCATCGTTTGTAATAAGAAACTGTGCCTGTCATTCCTCTTTCAAAATTTCAGTGACATTCACCGTTGAATTAAATTCACCGCAGAAGCTGATTCAAACTCACCATTTCATTCTCTCAACGTTAAACTTGAAAGAAGACCTGATAATCTCATTCAAAGATTAATCTACAGGAAGCCCTCTTAGAACGAATAACTTAACAATTATCGGAGTTGGGTGTTTTTAAGTCATAAGAGGAACCTTTTAGGATCACCCTTATTAAGAATAAAAAGGTTTACAGTGGTGATACACTTATTCAAGAATTAGAAACCCTCCGAGAAATACTGTTAAAGAATTGCTAACTGTCAAGACTTACAAAGAAAAACGTGATGGAAAAGGAGACCATGGAACTGATTCAGGCAACTCTGAAGAAAATTTTCCTGGCTGAATTACTTCTTCTCTTATCTACAGCTCGACGGGCATGCTTCTTCATCGGAAACACATTTACAGAATCTAAAACGTAAAGGTGATATTGCCATAGTTACTCTCTGTCAACGAAGCAGTAAACCTGCATGTTGTCTCTACGTGTCAGTAGTTGACTTTTCAGTGTATGAAAGACGAGTTGATTCATTGGGCCTATTTAGTGTGTATTTACAGGTTCACTTTTGTGGAACTGAAAACGTCATCAGCCATGCTATGCGCTCACTGAACAACCGCGCTCGCAAACACTGCACAGCTTGCTCACTGTAAGGAGAAAAAACACCCGTTTCCAGTTCAGTCGTTGAAATCCTTGGTGACTCTGGAGATCGAGCTCCTCTGAAAACCTCCTTCAAATGTTTGTTCAAAGTTGAACAAAGCTGTTCAAAAACAGTGAGGATCAGACACTTGCGACAGTAGAAGCTTCCGCAATCAACAGCTTCAAAACTCAATTATGTATTCAAAAGGAACATATACAAGTACTCTGTTTACCTCAGCCTTAAACATAAACTGTACAACTCTGTTTATGTTGTAGTTATGCATTTTATTTGCTCATTTGTTCATGTATCCATTCGTTTATCTTCTTGATTCATTTTCGTCAATGTTGTCAAACTTTTACGGACATCTGTTGTGCTACGTAATATCATTTAACTGCTCATATACATCTACTGATTAAGTTTGACCTTTGATCAGGAAATAGTCAGCAACATTCTGTCATTTAACTTACATATTATTGAATGTACAGCTGAGAAAAAGAGTCATCGAAAAGATAATTATCTTTGCTACCCTCTTTCTTCTTCTATGGCCTCTTGAGGATGCTTTGGTATTTAATTTTCAGTGCAAATCGTCTGAGTCTAGTCAAACTATGCTTTAAATATTTTCCGTAATGTTTAAGAAACTCAACATTATAACGAACCGGTGAAATATGTTTTCTTACAACATCCTAGCTAGCCGACATTTTCCTCATTATCCGTCTTCCGGTAATGCTAGAAGTATGATCATGGCTGACTTAGAGTTCTATGCTTGTCTCATCACCGATGGCCACTGTATGAAATTCTAATAGTCAAATCCCCTAATTTAGCTGGCTTTTAATCATGGTCAGAGTTGACTGGAACAAATTTCAGACCATCAATTTTTTCAAGTATGGTAATCATTACAAACCAGCATTTGTCAGTCACTGTTGGAAGTTCATTACCTATAATTCTTTTCAAAGAAAGAAATCCTATTTAATTTTGATAAAGATTGTTCGATGACGTGATATTATCATCCAGAAATTTTTCATAAGTTCAACCTTAAATTCTCATCAGGAATCCCTCGACACAGTAGTAGTACTGGATTAGGCACACGACCCACCTCCAAATTATAGTACTTAGTTATAACCCACTTTCCGATAACACCTTTCCAAGAAATCAGCATACCTCTACCAACTGTACAATCTATAGGTGCAAACTTACTAAATTTACTATTATGATAAAGAAAGTGACAGTGACATATTTTGTGCATTACCTCAGGATATCCAGCAGTTTTCAGTTGACACCATAAGAGTAAGGCGTCCTTTGCATGTCGAACTTCACCAGTTTCATCTGATTCCTTAACAACTATATCTTGAACCTACAAGAAAATATGGGAAAGTTTTAGGATTACATTTGTTGCATTTACTCATGGTATTAATCAACAAAACACAAGATTTTCCTGAATAACTGGTCAGATAGATTTCTGCCGTTTGCTTTTAGTGAAACAAGCAATTTTGCCCAAAAATTTAATCATTCAATTTTGCACTTCTCGATGTTGTGCAAATTTTTGGCACAGCTTCGACATAAACGACTGATGGTATTTATGGCAATGCCTGAGTAATACGTATCCTATAAGAGTGAACAACTCAAGCTAATGGCTTGCTTTCTCAGTAAAATTAACGTATTCTTTATACTATCATTTACTCTGCAATTATTCAGAGGAGGTCCGCTGTTTAGTCGGAAAGAAAAAAGGCACATTGGATAGCTAAAATGCTCATATCTAAATCTAACCGAACAATTTCTTCACCAATGCGATAGTCCTCCACAGGTGAAACATCTTTAGTTCTTGTTGACTCTTATTCGGGAAATTGGCCTCTGAAGTTGTAGTTCTTACACTTGTTTCGCAATGGTTGTCATTTCTTGACCCACATTCATCACTGGCACCACCGTCTTATTCACTAGCAGCCTGCTTACCTTTGGTAGTTTTCTGGTGTCCATCGTTTGTGGGGTGTTCACTAGGTGTAGTTGTTGTGCAATGCCTGTAGATGCAATCTTATATTAGACTGCAGTTGTTGTAGTAGTAGAAAGAAGAGCAATTTGTTCGAAAAATACGCGCAAATGGATCAGAATTAGTGTGTATTATTGACACAATGGTAGCTATTTCGCCAATATGCACAACCAAGTGCCAGGGCTTTAGACGATGCGCATTAGCTGTCCACACTGCAGAGGGTACGCATTGAAGACTTTTTGCGTTTCAAACTATATGGTTGCAAAATATATTTCCCTTTCATTTTAACTACAGGCTTACAGCGGCAAGTGTTGAGAAAGGACTTCCTGAGAGAGGTAAGTGTGATAACTGACACCACAATATATGATGCATTCTCGATGTATGAAAGCAGAAAAGTAGTAAAAGTAGAAGTGACAGTAGCAACAATCATAAAGAAAAGACTGAATATCAGCTAGATTTTCGAAAAATGTGCAAAATTATTCACCCGAGGGATAGAACCATGCTTGCTTTGTGATGAGATGAGATATGAGTTTCCAACAAAAACCAAAGAATGTCAACATTTACAAAGCACCAAATTCTTGTACAATTAGAAGTCAATGTAGAACAACGGGTTTGAGAGATTTTGAAAGACAGAGTAACTGTGGAAGCAGACAGACCGTACAGGTCAACACTACTCTTTAGTGAAGAATTTCAATGAAAGTGTAGATCCTAAGTCAGTTTCTTAAAACTTAGCAACACCAAAGAACCAAAAACATGCGCGATGACGTTAATGACAGAAATAGTAGATCACTTACAGACCCCGAAACTATTCACAGTTTTGGATTTACAGTCCGGCTACCCTGATCTCCAATAAGGGGGGAAGAATGGGGTGAAACAGCGACAGATTCTTGTAGATAGCTATGACGATGAGTGCTGCATATACTCGAGTATGACTTTCCTTACAGCGCAAATCTTGAAAAATGAAAAACTCTCCAAGGTCAGTCGGTAAGGTTAAGCCTCTAGAAATAGCATAGGCAATCAGAGATAGCAAGAGAGATCCATTAAAACTAGTCTGTTATCGGAGGTTCGATCCTAAACTCAGTAATAATCCGAGCAATAAATATGAAGAGATGGATGCTGACAAACAGGCGCCAAATAAGGAGTCAACTATGTTGTCCTGGAAGGACAGACGAAAAATGAGCTTTGACCTAGCAAGATAGCAATAAGTATTTGATAACTGTGATACCTGAAGGTCAACACCATGATACAATTCGCTAATTTTGCCAGGTACAATTGCACTGCCAGGACGACAGACTGTTTATGAGAGACGACTTTGCAAAATATGTACTTGTCTGTCCTCATCGCGAATTGATGAAGGGTAATTGATGCATAAAACAGTTACTGTAGTCGATTCCATCAACATTAGTTGGTGAATTATGTTTAGTATATGCAGTAAAACTGTTTCCCCACACGGCTAATGGTAAGTAACACCTGTTGTTGATGATACGCCATGTTTAAATAGCGAATGCCAACAAATCATACCACATTCATATGTGGTAACAGTATAGGAGTACGTGACACCGTTATCAGTTCAGGATGGAGATGTGAACGTGTACCCCACATGTGGATGGGTATGAAGGTGTGAGAAAAACATTTTGAAAGAAAAACTCTGTGTATCTACTTCAGTTATGACTAGTGTGTATGTGAAGCGCTATGATCGGATATACTGTCCTACTTGGTTGAACAGTTAGGTTTTCCTTTCTGTTGAGTGCATTATGATTCAATATAACGTGAAATGTCTCAGCTATCCATCCAGCAAACTGATTTCTTTATCTGTAATAGTTTTCTCATAGCTTCACATTCATTTATATGTGCACACATATTCATACCTTCACTTTGACCTCACAGACCAATAACTGACAACGATGAATATTAGTGTTTTCTTGCAACTTGTTACCGAATAATAATTATCTTTGGTATAGCTTAATATATATCGTTGAAAGGTTTGTACATTGTGGATTGGATTAACGTATAATGTGTAAATTTTTAAAGAAACGTTTACACACAATGATCATTGACAGTAATTCTCATCTAAAATTATCAAAATAAAAAAACATCATTGTGTGTAAACTTTTCATTAAAAATTCACTAATATTACATAGAGAACGATGACACTTATTCCCGTATTATTATCATGTATCAACAAAGTGATCTTATGTGTCACCATTTGCTGATGAAAAGTACGATAACTTGTGCAAGTTCTATTCTCTGAAGAACGGACTTCCATGAGGTCGCGAAACGTCAGAAATATATTTTTCTACCTCATTGGGATTTTAAAAATATATGTCATTTATCTTTATTCTTCTCTGAAGTATTTAGAATTTCTCCTCCCTGGTTTGTTATGATGAGAATGAGTTAGTTATATCTAATATATATGCAGTTTGACACAAACTCAGAAGCTACGGTCAGTGATGTGACTGTCAAACTGAGTCCAGTTTATCTTGATCATGTTGAGCCAAGGGGTGGATGAGGAAATCAAAACGAACATATAAACTTATTTCAAAGCGCTTAATCCATTTTATAGATTTGCATTGAGTAATTAGGAGATCTAATTTGTCTGAAAAAAATGATATATATTTACCCCATACTTTTAAGAACAATCTGATCTTGCATTTACTTGTCAGACCACTTCATATGAAAAACAGAAATAAAATGAGGTCTAGGACAGCAAATATACCAATAAAAATATGATAGTTAAAGAAGGTATAGCATGAAAATAAGTTTTCGAAACAAATTTTGGCAATAGAACATGATAGATATCAGCAGGGTAAGTTTAGAGTAGGGACAAATTGTCTCCTAACACACAAATCAAGATCTTTGGCATATTCTCAGTGGATTTTCTCTTAATAATAAAGTCAAGATTTTCCTGAAACAGGTACGTCAGTTATACTTCAAAAGAATAGAAAGTACGCTCGAATAAGACGTAAAACTTTGACATTTGTTAGTCTGCAACAAAACTAACAGATACACACAGCTGGTTAATCCTATAAAAGACCATATTACTGTGTGATATACTCTAGCATAGACAGTCAAGAT